AGCAAAGTGTCGCATAAAATGACAATCATCTTCTGGAAGCTGGGGAAACATGCAATCTTGTTCCCAACACCACTACGCCCTTCACCACCGCCTCCACCCACAAGGAGCAGGCCATTGTTTCGGGGATCGAAGTCTGCGGCGAAAAGCGGACATGAGAGGGTAATCTTCGCGGAGGAAACAGTGGGAGCCATGGATTGGAGTGGTCGGGATCGGACGAATAGCGAGGAAAAAGTAGAGAAATCCAGGTCCCCTCTATGTGAAGGAGAATTACCAATGCTGTGAAATAAGATCGTGGATGGACGTGTCGATGCCAGCAAGGATGCCAAAAAGATGGCTGGCAGACGATGGTTGGTGCATCTCAACCCAACGTCATTTAACCTTAAGCATGTGACTGAGCATCAAACATTTCGCCCTAAAGCCATAGCATTTTCTAAGCTGCTGTTCTGATTGCTGAATCTTTTATGTACAGTTTACAGGTTGTCAGAACGCAGGCTATATTGCTTCTAGCTAAGAGAAGAAATTGGGTCTAATATCGCGTTCTCTATGCCTATCTCCCCATCTAATCCACTTCTTGTCCCAGGAACTCGGGTAGTCTTTTCCTGACATCTTCCCAAGTCTCTTCGCCTTCAACCAGAGATTTAACCGCTTTACAAATTTCATCTTCGCTAGCGCGAACTTGTTTCATGCTGTCTCGGTCCCGTAAGGTGAACGTGTTGTCCTTAACAGACTGGAAGTCAACGGTGATGCCGAAGGGGGTTCCAAGCTCATCATTTCTGGCATATCGTTTGCCGATACTTGCTGAACTATCATCGACACGATTGGAGACCCCCATGCGTCGAAGCTTGAGCGTGAGTTTCCGCACAAGTGGCTGGAATGATTGATGGCTGGAGAGAGGAACAAGGAGGACTTTCGTTGGCGCCGCGAGAGGAGGGAATGATAATACCTATTATATACGTTAGGTCAATTTGACTGATATAAGGTGAGGAGCCTAAGGGATGAAAATCGTTGAATATGGAGAATATACTTACACCACGGGCCTCGTCTCCTTCTCTTGACCAGTAGACATGCTCCATCAGGCAATACAAAATTCGTCCGATACCAAACGATGGCTCAATGACGTTAGGAGTATATTCACGGATATTTTCCACTCGAGTGCGTTTCTCGATCTTAACGAGATCTTTCCCAATCTCAACCTTTCCATCGTTGACACCCTCCACGTCAATCGTGATCTTCCCATCTTTGTCCAGATCCAACGCAAGCTTTTCACGAAGCTCCTGGGAAAGTGCATCGATGGCTGCCTCAACAGTCTTTCCGTCCTTCTTAAAACGCGGCCCGAACTTTTTCCTGTCAATATCAACCTGCCACTCTTCGATCCGGAGAGGTTCCGCTCGTGTTTCTCTAACAACCAAAGGAGCGCCGGTCTTGTTTTTGTGCACAGAAAGATCATAGGCGCTGCGATCAGCACAGCCGACGCACTCAATCCAGCCATAGCTGCTGAGAAGTTCAGCATCCCAACAGTCTGTGGCGTAGTGGGCCATCTCATTTGCCATATGCTGTCGCAGGCGGACTTTGCTCTCATCAATGCCAATCTTCACGAGGAACATATAAATGCGAGCGAGGAAGTAGCCCAGAGTCTCGTTATCCACTAACCCAGTCTCGACCGCTTTGCCGATCGTCATGCGAAGCGGTTTCGTGCTTCCAGACAGCTGAATTTCTCTGCTTAGGAAGGAAAGCTCTGTATTTTCAACCTCGTGGAAACGAGGATGTTTCTTACCACCCTGAGGGTCGACGAAGTGCTCAATTTCTGCCATCAAAAATTCGCGGACTCGTAAAAGGCCAGATCGGGGTGAGATTTCGTTCCGGAAAGATTTTCCAATAGACGCTGAGGCGAACGGCATTGACTGCTGGTTAAAGTCCAATAATTTTTGGAAAGTAAGGAATTGTCCCTGTGCGGTTTCTGGCCTGAGATATCCAGGGATATGCCCGCTCGGCCCAATTGCAGTCTGGAACATGAGATTGAATGACACTGGAGGGAGCACATCACCGCCAGTGACAGGATTCTTGATATGGTGTTTGACAATAAGAGCACCAAGCTCTTCGCCATTATAGTTATCGATCTGCGCAAGGATCTCTTCGTATTCCGCGACCACAGCATCATCAAGTTTGACTGCCTTGGTCTCCTTGGCCTTCTTCTTCTTCTTCGCTTCCTTCTCCTCGTCAACCTGCACCTTTTCTCCACGAGCCTCTTTGTCGCCCTTTAGTCGCGATTCTAAAACTTCCTCCACGAGATGATCCGCGCGGAAGATTTCACCGGTCTTAGGGTCCTTGCACATCCAGTCGGCGAATTTATCCACGTGCCCACTTGTTTTCAAGACCTCGTGGGGAGTAAGCATTGTGCAATCCACCTCTAACATGTCTTCTTCCAGCACGAAATGCTTTCTCCAAAGGTCCACGATGTTCGCCTGGAGAGCGCATCCTGGTGGACCGTAGTCGAAGAGGCCAGATACCCCACCGTAGATTTCGAAAGAAGGAGTGTAGAATAGCCGTCGCCTAAGCATAGAATCCAGGGCCGCCCGGTCCAGGGGCTGCCCAGCCTTGGTAGTAGCCATTGTTGTAACGGCTGGTGGTTTAATCGAGGCTTTCGCCTTGTTAAGGATTGAACTGGCCGAGAAAGATCTCACTTGATCCTGTCTGAGTCGAGAGGTAGAAGAAAAAAGCCGTAAAAACGCAGAACGGTTCATTCAAGGCCTCGGATGGCTACGAGGGCCGAGATTAGACGGTAAAGTAAACAAGAGAACGAAGGACAGGGGGATTGCAATGGCGGGGTCTGCATGCGGTCGCTGTTTTATATCGAATTGACCCCCCAAGGTTTTTTGAGTCATAAACTTTGGTTACCGGCGAAAAGATTTTCCGACAGCCCTTTTTTTTTTCTCTGGGGAAAGATCAGGACGTTAAGAAGAGAATCCAGAAGTCGGCAATGCTTTTGAGAGATTGAGCGCAATAAGTATGCCGTCGAAGAAATCTAGACAGACCCCATTGGGGGCTCTGGAGCACAAACCAACCAACAAACTGCAACGACAAATGCTTCATATCAAGCGGAAACAAGCCAAAGACAAGCTATCACGAGCGGAACGGTTCGCACGCAAAAAAGAAGAGGCAAAGGATCCCAGGCTAAAAGCGGAGCGACTGAAGCGAAATATACCTTTGACTCTGGAAAGGAAGAGAGTATGGGATGATGTGGGCAGCGATGTGGAAGACGGGCTGGGTATCAGTTTCGATGTAGAGAGAATAAAGCGGAGGAAGCAGGACGAAGAGCAGGAGGAACAGGATACCGCCAATACGCAGGCTCCAATGCGTTCGGAGGGTGATGAAGAGCAAGATGAAGTGGATAGCATGCTTGATTCCGATAGTGATGGCGAGGAGCATGATCAGGAGAGCTCCCGGAAGAATGAGTCCAAGAAGTCAATGCGCTCTGCAACAGAGCGCGCCACGAGCCCGACACAATCTACAAGGAGTACAAATCTCGATTTAGCACCGGATGCTCTAGCTGCCAAATTCCCGAGCCTCTTTCCGAACGAAGCGCCTCCAACCCCGAAAATACTCATCACGACATCACTCAATTCTACACTTCACGACCAAGCAAGTATCTTGACCGAATTCTTCCCTAATAGCGTTTATATCCGCCGTTCCGCACATCGTTACAGCCATAAATTCTCAGTCCGGGAAATCTCAAAGTTCGCCTCGAACCGGAATTACACTGCGCTAGTTGTGGTTGAGGAGGATCAGAAGCGGGTTTCTGGGTTGACAGTGGTACACTTGCCGGTCGGGCCGACTTTCCACTTTTCCGTGAGCAATTGGGTTGAAGGAAAGAAGCTTCCAGGACATGGGAATCCTACAGGCCACTGGCCAGAATTGATCCTGAATAACTTTCGGACTCCGTTGGGTTTGCTCACGGCGCATTTGTTCCGAACTCTTTTCCCTCCACAGCCAGATCTGATCGGGCGGCAAGTTGTCACATTACACAACCAACGAGATTACATCTTTGTACGAAGACACCGATACGTTTTCAGAGATAAGCGGGAAACGGAGAAAAGCGTGGTGGATGCGGACGGTAACGAGATTAAGGGGGTTGAAGGCATCCGGGCGGGCCTACAGGAGTTAGGCCCCCGATTTACCTTGAAATTGAGACGCATAGATAAAGGGATCCAGAGGAGGAGCGGACAAGAATGGGAATGGAAAGGTCGCATGGAGAAACAACGGACGAAGTTCCAGCTCTAAAGGCCTCCCTTTTTTTTTTTCCCCCTTCTCCTTTCGTTTTCGACTTTTATATGATACCACCATCGATGATATTCATGATGCCAAACTACCTTTTCTTCCCTCTTCTAGCCTAACAGATTATCCCGTGGCTTGTCCTTCGTTTTCCAAGAACAGAAGCGTTATAGGTGCTTTTGTAATACACAGACGTAGTCTGCAATTTCATACATCACTTGGACGACTTGTGTTGCCCCTCGACCGTGATCGAGGAGCTGAAGCTTGAGGTGAGCTGCTCTTATGTTCGCATTCAAGCTCTGAATAGGCTTCTGTAACACTTGGCCGAGAATAACTTTAGCTGATGGTGAGCTTAATTGTCCGATCTCCGCACGCATCGAGCAACCAAATGCATCGATATCATACCAAGACGAAACTTCTCCGCGGCGGGTATTTATAGCCGACGTTGAGAGCAGTTAACAGCTTGGATAGAGGTCAAAGTAGGTTTAAATATGTGACGGTGGCGGCAAAAGGTTGTATGTGGGCCGCCACACGTTACATACAAGCTTACTACTCTTGCAGCACGATAGTGCTTCTTTTGGTGTGTGATCGCACTGGCGATGTCCCGGCGTACGCAACAGAATTGCGGGGGTTGTGGAGCTGGACCGGAAATTTGCGTTTCTGGGGAGACACGTCTTCCCCGTCCAGGCGTGCGCGCTGGGAACTTAAGTAGCCATCATCGCAGCCACGATCCAGGGTTGAGAGGTTTTGACCTCTCTCTCGACGATGATGCGGGGATTTTATAGCTGATGCAGATTTCAGGCCAAAGTTAACAGTCATGTCTGTTCCAAAAAGAGTCACTTCGACTAGTTCGGACGCAGCTCCATATCTTACAGCTCTGCGGCGAGATGGCTTCGTCTTGATTCCCAACATCATTCCGCTAGAACAGGTGGCTTCGCTTCGCCGTGCAGCCGCAAAGGCAACCAATCTAGCCCGTAATGGCCAATGGCCACATATCCGAACAGTCCCAAAACAATTCCCTCCTTTTCCAACCACACCGCCGCCTGCGTCTGAAGGTGGAATATGGGGGGTGCAGCATCTACTACATCCAGATATGCCAGGACGCTCCGAATTTGCTAATCTATACTTCTCTCCACACATCCTTAGCGTTGTTGAGGAGCTTGTCGGGCTCAAGGGAAAGCCGGCTTCCGACGCTGAGCCACTGACCATGGAGCTCTTCAACCTCTTAGTCGCTCCAACATGCAAGGACTTTGCTCTGCGCTGGCATCGCGATGACATTCCCACTCCACCGACACTTACACCCGAGGAGGAGTTGAAACAGCTCCAGGCTAAATCTCCCGCTGAAAGGCCCCAGTCCCACGCGCAGTACAATATCGCTCTATACCCCGACTCTTCGCTCATCGTCATCCCTGGGTCTCATCTACGCGCGCGCACACAAGCTGAGCGTGATGCAGATCCGTACGAGGAGAACATGCCAGGCCAAAAAATCGTGGCGTTACAGCCTGGAGATGCAGTCTTTTACGATAGCAATATCTTCCACCGCGGAGTGTATAAAGGTACAGCGATCCCAGCTCATGAAAATGAAGAAGTCGCAGGCATTCGGATGACTCTCCACGGCAGTGTGGGTTTAGTGCAGCCAGTTGAAGAGGGCAAAAAAGACCTTAGGGCGACGGTGGTCTTGCAGCACGGCGTGGGCCAGTGGGTAAATAGGGAGGACGCCAAGTTCGACGGGTTAGGGCCAAGGGCGGAAGCGATGAGGCAGCGACTGATTGAAAAGGGAACTGGAGAGGGCGTGGGATACGCATTGGATGGATGAGGTATTTCATCATGGTTTTTGCTTGGGGCTCTTACGGAATAACATGATGGTTGTGAGGCTTTTTCTGGTTAGTAAAACTGTACCTTTTCCTTCGTTCGTCATTGGGAGGCCGTCGGCGGGTTTAGATGGACTTGTTGCGGTGGGACGTCCAGACCGAACTTATTTCCAGTCAAAATACGAGTACTCCGTAACTACGGAGTACTTACAGTTTTAGTCATTCCTCAAATTTTCCAGCAGTATTCCGTACTCCGTAATTGTCGCATCATGGGGTTCTGCAGCTGCAGTTGTCGGCCTGGAGAAAACCGCTTCTCGAAGGATCCTTGTTACGGGGTGCGTGGGCGTGCAACCCCATTTAGAATCCGTCTCTCGTATGCACGTCATCACCTGCCCGTCGGAAGGGCAAGCCTAGGCTCCGGGGTGGAGCGCATTTTAGCGCACCTGGAGGGGTGTCTTTTCTTTCTTTTCGCACCATTGCAGGGTATCCTTGACATGACCAAAGATCGAGGTTTGAGCGCAAAAATGGGCTTCGTCATCATTGGGTGTCGGTGCCTTCAGGTATCCATGGACCCGGGAGAGCGTCGCACCCAGGGAGACGGGAAGAAGGAAACACAGAAGCACCCTGAATGCAAGCCCCGGGATACCTGAAGCTGTTGAGGGAGGGGTATTTTGGACGCCGTGACTGGCGCCATGCGCAGACCCTAATGCATCGGCAGGCGGGACAGATTGGGATTGGCTTGAGAATGATTTAAAGCATGGGCCAAGTTTCATGCTTGCGCCCATAATTAGCGTTACATCCGTTTCAACGACTGGCTGCAGAGCTGGTTGGAAGCCAGCCTCTCTCTCAATCAGGCTTTAGGCTCCAAAGGAAAGATTGCCTCTCTACTCCGTACTCCGTACTCCATAGGGACCAAGCTCCGGTCTCATAGGCGCTCGTCCCACCCCGACCTTTAGGCACCTTTAGGGGGCCTCCGACCGTCAAAACATACTCAAATCTCGAGTATGAATAAAAATCCATCCAGAGAGCCCTGAGAAAAGGTACTATCTGCCTTTCAATTCGTTGAAATTTACAGGTCTGTAACTCGGTTTAATCACCAGCCATTTTTCTATCGCATTTCTGAGGTATTCGCGGAGATAACCAGACGTGATCTTCGCTATAAGCTCAAGGACATCAAACCAGTTACAGACCTGAAATCTCTGTGGTTGTCGTGTCCTCACTTCGCTTACCTCGTCCGTCCTCAAGCAGCTTTACCCCGTGCAATATTTGACTCAGGGCAGCTCCAGAGAATCTGAAGCTCCTCAGAAATGTCGACTTTACTCAAATTGGGTAGTTTGTGGAAATCAGCCATGTTTGATTAGGCCATTGCAATTGGCCGGGACACTTTCGACGTTTCCAGAAAGGCCGCGTGCTCCTGTTACGTACGAAGTGAACTTTCGAGCAGCTCTCTATGAAGGAGCGTCTTGACACGGAACCCTTTATTTAAGGATTAGGAGGTCAAGAGAAGGGTTTGATTCATACATATATGTCTCGCGCGCTAACGATACCGGGAAGCTTTTCGATAGTCGCATTTTCGAACACGCATCGACTACCGCGTTACGAAGTTTTCGAAATGCTGATACATTCGGCTTCGGATTTTAAGCGCTAATCCTAGAGATTATGGCAGCCATGAGGACTCACGACGGTGTATACGCACAGTACACAGTACACAGTACTGACATTGCCATTATAAATGCGGACTATTAGGACGACTCCGTAGGTATATGTAGCACGCTCTTTATTGTCGTGCTCAGCTACCATGCAGCAGGCAGTAAGATACGTCAATTGGATATGCAGTGCCCATGCAGCGGAGAATTTGACTAGGTAGATGCACCAGCCAAAACAACCGTGATTTGACGGCTTAGAATAGTCTGGGAGACCCAGGAAACGAGATTTCTTCGAGGGTTTGCTTCGGAGCCGTGACATTGTCCTTAGTATATGCTAACCAAGCCTTTAGAGCCTTCAGCTGTACCTTAATGAAATAGGTTTGATAGAATGGCCCTGATGGAATGAGCTCGTTGCACTCCCAAAGCTTCAGCACCTTGTAATTGGCTTTGTTTTGGTGGTGTCGTGCTCTTTCGCGTCTTTTATTGACCAAACACAGGACCTAAGATATTTAAGGATGGACAGTACCTGTTTCGATAGTAGCCGCTCTGGTGGTTGGAAGGCCACCTTTGATGCGATTCGCAACCATCAGAACCAGATCCGGATGGGACTTTCCACGAAGTTGAATTTAGACATCACTGAACAGCTTAGCTTTGACTCACTGGGGGCTACGAGTAACCCAGTTGTTCATGAAATTCGTTGGTACGACATGCACTGGAATCTAGCTCACCATCTTTCTCGTTCAGGAGAATTGGATGCATCCTTGAGGTACACTGTTCGCGTCTCATGAGAAGTGAGGTCCCGAGAGTCGTTTAGAGAGGAACTTACCATGATGACACCGAGGGATAGAGATGGAGAGGAGCTCCTCGAGGTACTTTTCTGCTGACGGAATCATCAGAGATTGAGTTTGTTCGTTCATAACTAGCGAGTAGATCGGATCCCCTTTGTCCACGCAACAGACGAATGTATGTTTATACAGTACGGAGTACATGATTACCATCCCCGTCCATCCATATTATCACGCATCCAAGATAGTTGGTTCGATAAGTTGAGGTCCATCACGGGCAGGAAGCATTCAAATCTAGGCAGCTATTCAGCACAGATCAACAGTCCTTCCAACATCTGGCGCCAATCCGGGTCTTAAAAAAGGAGAACAGTGGGTGTTTGGAGGACAGAAGGGACGTATCAATAGTGATACGCCGCTTCTCAAGCTGTGCTCTGGAGGATGAATCAAAGAAGCAATTACGGAGTAGATTCCCGGAATTCCCAGGGAATCAGCGGTGCGATGTGCTGCTTGGCTCATCTCCACCAAGCCTTGTTCGCGCACGGAGAGGGCTCCGTGCGCCCTACATTCTCCATCCTCCCTAAATTTCCGGTCCCGATAAACGTGGTAGAGTGGTGTTCAGCAGATTCCGTTGGCTAGCAACTAAACAATGACTCCAAACAGCCCAGATGATGACCATCAAGGGTGTTTGTTTTGTGAAGAAAAGTTGACCCGAAAGTGCGGGAATATGGCTAAAACAGATTGCTGCTTGGATCAGCCCTTGGCGACGGGAGGACGGGCGCCAGCGAATGCGGTGCACAGATGGACCGTGGATGGGTTCCTGCATGCACCGTAAAACTGGATCCGGACACGGCCGTGCCCTTTTCGCTTCGGGGGGAGGCCTCCAGCGACTTGCGACGGGCCTCTGGGGACTTGGGGTATTTGGATGGAGGAGTCCGTCCTCTGTCGAGAGTCCACTTGGCCTGTTATTTTGTATTTTAAGAGGCCGTCCCAAGGCTAGATTTCCACTAGTTCGCTCCCCAGTGTGGCGCTGCCCGTCCCTTCGTGAGCTCGCTAGCTTGGCCGAGGAGTTTTTTGACGAATCACGACGATCTTATCCGCGGAAGCCAAGCCGGTCAGTCAATATCTCCACGGGCAGAAGAATATCGAGCCGAGCGAGTTATCCTGACCCTTCTCAATAACGAGTTCTCCCGCTATCACCGAGTTTAATGGCAAGGGTGTTGACCATCAGGCATCGTCCGTGGAAATTATCGATACCCCAGCCATCCAAGCCATCCCATAAGCCTCAGCCTAACACACGCGGACATGCTGATTGCACGGTGGAGAACCCGTTCGAATTAGACTTCGAGTGCACAGTGAACTAATGTCGGGTGTTGCAGCAGCTAGCACCGCAAGAAGATGCAGGGAATATATCCGCGGCGCGTTAGGTCGGATCACCCTCCACCAGGACTCGTTCACCGTGGTGGGAAGTTTTCGACCGTCCGAGCTTTTTTGGGGATAAAAAAGCAATTGGACATCCAGAACTCAGTCTAGGAGCGTATGATGTGCTCGCCCTGCTAGCTTTTTGCCTTGAATACCCCTGATTCGGTGCGAACTCCCGTCTCATTTTGTCCCATCTTTCTCGCCTGCCCAAGTAACGAGCTAACCAATCTCCCCAAATTTGAAGGCTGCCTCCCCGCCATGGGACATCAGTGAGACCAGCGGAACCCGCTACCGGCTCATCTTCGCTCCTCCAATTCTCGCCCTCCAAGGCTTGTCCCCACAGCTGGTTATCGACCATCGAAGGAGTGAGTTGCCTGGTCCTAGACAACTTCTTTCTGCGCAGAATTTTCCTCCAACATGTCAGGCCCATAAACCCCGGAAGCACAAAAACGTCCTTTCAACTACCATCCTTCCCCTCTCACTTCGTCTCACTGTACCTCGGATCGTAATGAGCTGCACAGATGTTTTGATAGATGCGGCCATTTCTGTCTTACACGGCATATTAAACCTGTTGCTCTGTTCGAACCAGCTCACTGATAAGTACATCTCGCCCCAACTAGTCGGCTTCTTTAGGAAAGGCTATAGCACCCTCTCAGTCATGTCATGGACGAAGCAAGCTCTGTTGCAACGAAAAGTCCCGTTCTCCAGGAACGCGTCGCAGATATGGCTAGAAAAGACGAAAACGCAGAAGTAGTCCATCAACAACACCGCCAGCAATGTTCTAGCTGCTCTCACAATGGTTCCTCTAATAGATCAAACGGGAATGATACTGGAAATACAGGGTCAGTCTGTCTATTTTCGAACTTTTGGCTTTGGTACATCACAATTCAAATTCTTTTGCTTACAACGCATATACTCCGTACAGATCCACCAAATCATTGACTGAACATGCTGTTAAATACGTCTTTGAGAATGGCCGCCGCTACTGCAACAATATCTACTCTATGCCTAACGACGAGGTCGAACAGACGCGCCAAAGTATCTTGCACCAACTCTATCTTACCGCACTAGATGGTCAACTGACACTGATACCCCTTCCGGACTCTCCATCACGTATTCTAGATCTCGGTTCCGGACCGGCTGACTGGGCAATTACAATTGGAGAAGAGTATCCAGACACTGAAGTCATCGCCACAGACATTAGTCTTTTTGATCCCCAGTCCGTCAGCATTGCTCCGCCGAACGTGTATTTTCAAATAGACGATGCAGAGGGCAAATGGACATTCCACGAGCCCTTCGACTTCATCCACGTCAGAGGGCTTTCCCGAGCCATCTCTAACTGGCCACGACTTTACCAGCAGGCATTTGACCACCTTAAACCCGGCGGGGCAATCCAAGTGGTCGACGGAGACTTATCGACAGAATCTCTACCGCCAAACTCATATTTTAACATATTCGTCTCCGCCATTCGTTCCGCTGCAGATGTGGCAGGATATATGCCTGAATACGGGCACCTTCGTCCCAGTGCATTGATAGCTGCTGGCTTTGAGGATATTCAAACCTATCATATTGAAGTGCCCATAGGAACATGGCCAACTGACCCAAAAATGAGGACAATGGGTAAGATGGGTCTGATAGTGGTCCTGGAAGGCCTTGAAGCAATAAGTATGCGTCTCCTGACGAAATACATGGGATGGAAAGCAGAAGATGTGATTGATTTATGTGAGAAAGTAAAAATGGAAGTTGTGAGCTATGAAGGGGCCATGGGATCAGCGAAGATCGTGGTTGCTCGAAAACCTCTAGAGGTTAACTGATTATTTTCACCTATGCATCTACCTTTCGCCTTTTCTTTTATTTTCGCGGAAAAGTGTTTGTCGACTTTGGCGACTTTGCGAAGGGGTATTATTAGCATCATTTATTTCAACGGCGCCAATTACATACGAGCTCCGAGCACCGAGACTCGACTCCACTATGCCTAGGAGATATTCTTCACTGTTTCAGCGGAGGAAGCAGAAATGAAAAAGGTCCTATGGATTATGCTTCCACCAGACTATGAATGGAGTCGAGGATCTATCCTGGGGGCAGCTTTAATTTGCTTCTTCGCAATTACAGAATACCTCCTTCTTCGACACGGCTATCCACCCGCACTGCACCGATGGACTTGAAGAATGACATTTTTTCTTTTATTATTTTTTCTCTTCCTTTCCCTCTTTTGAACTGCATTATCGGCTGCCATCCAGGTGGGATGGATTCGCTTTTGATCATGTATGCATGTGTTGGCCCGGCGACCAGCAGGCTGCCAGCTGTTTCATTTGGATATTTCAGAAGGTTTCCTCTCGGTTAAAATAAGGCAACAATCTCAGAGGACTAGTTAAACATGACATATCACATACTGTGTGCAGTTGTGGTAGCTGCACGCAGTCAGTGCCGCTTTTAGCAATACCCGAAGAGACATTATGCATGATGGAAACTGTGGCTATTGGCTTTGTGTTATATTACCGCAAGGCGAGAGAGGACGTCCCTTTGCGATCAGTCCTCTCTTGAATTACAGGAACATCCCACCGCTGGCGGCTGACAGTCCAGTTCATTGGAAAAGCGTTGAACAGAGGGTCCGTCACTGGAGATTTGTGGGCATCCATCAGCTCCATTCCCAATGGCTGAAATGATTACCTTGGCCGCAGCAAATTACACAGCTATATAATTCCTCGAACTATCCTGTCTTCTTTATGTCTGTGTGCGATTGCCGTATCATGGATCACGAAATCAATATATCCCTGCGGCATTCATTTGCGTAACTTCGATGAAGTAGGTCCGAATGGTGCAAACTTCTGACTTTCTACCAAGAAGGTATGGAAACAACCTTTACAACCCATGTGCCCCATTCTAGCGTAGCATGTGAACCTCACTTCACGGCATTTGACTGTGATGCCCCTGAATAACCCTGGGCCTGGAAACCTGCTCATTTGTATTCTGATGCCTTTGGCGACTCGATAACTGCACATAACTGCTGGGCTATAGGGCGAAATCAGTGAACAAGCTGAAGACCAGCCTCCAAGCCTTAGGCTGATGAGTCCTGAGGGAGAAAGGAAGCATTTAGACGAATGGACCAAGGCCTGGCGTCTAAATCAACCAATAAAATCCTCGGTTAGGGGGTGTAGTTAATGATGGCTGCCTACATCCAGAGACACGACATGCACAATCCAGATGTCATATGCAGTGATGGTAACGAGTCGCTCTCTTGGTGCACCTGCTTTGCTAAAATGGCTTTGTGCTCTTTCTGTTTTAGGGGAGGTTAAAGTCTGATTCTATGAATGGACTAAGTTTCAGCAAGATGGCCTCAAAATGCTTGGAATATACCACATATTATGAGGTTTACGTTCTAATCACAAAAGAACCGGCGAATCTGCTGCAGGTTTATATATTGCTATGCCAGAATTACAGCATCTTTGACTAATCTGGACATTTAGCTGCATACAATTTCCACATGTCCACAATATTTTTTTGCAATTCATCACCATGAGAGAGCGGTAAGCTATAATGGACAACATTGAGATGATGATACCAGCTGAGCTGGAGCCAGGCAGTGCGGAGTAAGCCCACAACATGCTCTTCCATTACTCATCCAGTGCTAGCACGAAGGAGGACAACCATGAAACCCAACACTGAGCTGGATCCCAAGGACCTTCTTCAAAGGCTGAGGCACTTGTCAATCTCTTTTTGACGAATTGGCAATCCTTCAAAGATCACTTTAAATGGTTCCTCAGAGAGCTTCACAATGCGCAGCATTCATTGGATGTAGCGCTGCTAAAAAAAAGAGGGCTTGGTTAGAACACCCTTATATACCATCACATGTACAAGCTCACCAACGAGATACAGAAAGGCCCGTTGAAAAACCCATAGATTTGGGACTTCGACTGCCCTTCTCCAAACTTATCTCCATGAAGGACCCCAGTCATGCACTTCTGGCACAGCCCACCAGCAGAATAGGGAGCCTACAAAGCAAACTGGCGCCCCATAACAGCCGAACGATACAATAGTCTGACATCGTTGCGCAGCAGACCAGCCGGGCCCTTTGAAGTCGCGGTGCTTCCAGCGAGGGACAAAAAAAGACTAAGAATACACTGGAACTATTGATTTCATGGGAAATCCAGTAGAGTATTCTCGCCAAATACGGCTTTAGCTTCGATTTCAGAACTTTCAGCAGAATGCCGTGAGCCCGAGGAGATGTTTGCCGAGCTCTTGCAGGAAATGCGCGATTACCGTCGGAGTGAAGACATAGAGGGTGGCAGTCACTTGGAGTTCAAACCCGCAGAATAATCAAGGTTGGACGAATGGAAGGAATATCATTATGAGGAGGATCGCAGGCTAGCGAAACTGAAAGAAGAGGCGAAAGCGGCCCAGCAAGAACGAGAGAGCAAGCGCCAGGACTGGGGGAGACAGCATAGGGATAAAAAGCCGCGCGGTCGAACGGATATCTATTGGACTGGGTGGGTCGATCCATGCGTGAACGGGTGCTTGATTGTTGAGTGGTTTGTGTACGCTCCATCGGAAGAGCGGCTCCCCGATATTGTCAAGGAATGTGAAACAACAGCCATCGCCAACTCAAGAAACAACGAGATCATCAGGGTATGAGTCATAACACCATATTGTGACCCTTTCATTCCTTCTGGGGAGTGGGGGGATGAATAAAAATAAAAAAATAAAAGTCAATAAAACAAGACAAAAATCGAACCCGTAGAAGGTTGCAATATTCATTTAAAGAGCAAGCGCGGATCCTCGAAACAATTAGGTATCGAGATAGTTCACATTGTAGACATCATGCGCCCGTAAGTCATGACCATAAGGATTACAGCTCTATGCCAACTCCGGGAAAATGCTGTCGTTGAACGAGAAAGCCTCCAGGCAAGACCAGATTCTAAAACAGAGAAACAGATAGGAGGAAAGAAGGAAAGACATAAGAAAGATGTCAGTACAGGGACAAATGCTGAGGCAACGGTGCTGCAAGTATATATCGAGGAGAGCTGCCTTAAAGACGGAAAAACGAGGTCCATAAACTGGCACCAAGAAATGCAATAATTCAGCCTGCACAAATGCAAGCGTAAATCACACGGATACGTATGTGGCAGCAGCATTGAGTATACTGGAAATAGAAAAGGTAGAGATAAAAGACCGGATGCTGCTCCGGAGAACGCATTCCTAGAGGGCAAGAAGTTGAATCCAGAGTAGAGCAAAATATCCGTATCCAGGCCAGTAAAGAAAGGAGAGAAAAATAATAGTGTCATCATCGGAAACAAAAGTGGATGATTTACAAGATAAGAAAGGGAAAACGGGTCCAGGGCTCTAAGAAAAGTCGTTTCATGATCGTCACGAGAAGGACCGTATATACAACTGAAAAGAATTGGATGAACCAAAATAAACCCAGAAAGACTCGCAGGCTTTGCGCGCTTCGTACCAGGCAGTCCTCCAAGCTTGGATAACTACATCGAGGCTAAAGAGGTCTAAACTAACAAAGCCGAACTACCAAAGAACGACTGCAGCCCAGACCACTCCCAGCCCCAACTGATGCATATCCGGCGATGACCTGTTAATCGAAGGCCCAAGGCGTTAACGGAACGCCAGCAGTCAGGAGACTGTAACCAGGTTCTGTAGACACAAGAGAATGAAACACGTAGAAAAGTCGTAAGATATCGTCGCGACAAAGAGCCAAGAGTGCGAAAAGATATTGACCCAAAGGTGAACCTAGAAAATGCGAAAATAAGGTGAAAGCGGAAAGAACTGGATTTCCGTCTACGGGATCCAGGTAAAGCGTATGACGCTGATCGGCTTTTGGACTCCAGGGGGGCAAGGCTGCTTTTGGTAATGAGCACGCTTTCAAGGGTTGATTCGCTGCACAACACCGTATCGCTACGCGCGAAATCGCAACCCAGAACGACAGAGCGATTAAAATCCTTCTTCACCAGCTTTGCAAAGTCTAATCTCGCGGACCCATTCTGACTTCAAAACCTGAGAAGCTGTGATACGGCGACTGGGGTTTGGGTCCAGGATGGAGTATATAACGTTACGGCATCGGGCCTGTATAAAAGTAACGGTCAGCAACTAATTTTCACATGGACATCACTTGAATGATAAATTGGGGTCTACATGCCCGATGCAGAGTTTCAATGGGAGCATAACCATCCTCATCCCGACGGCCCTCTAAATACCGCTCATAAAACTCGTCTTCATCCTTTTGTGCTACTCTCCAAAGGTGCCTTCCGGTTCGCATGGCCATGTATATGACACCGGTAGCCCACACGTCAACCGCCCGTGGATCAAACTCTTTGTCGGTATATTCTTCAGGTGCAATGTACGGAGCAGAGCCACATAATCCCGCTGTCATGTGAGCTTCTTTTTCCCACGCCATACGGAAACATTCTCCATTTCCAAAATCGGTAATTTTCAAGGCGCCATGCGTAGTCAACAACAGATTTTCTGGTTTGAGGTCACGGTGGGCGACTCCCATTTCGTGCATGTATTCGACACCTCGCATCAACTGTTTGAAGTAGCAATCCGCCTCCCCAACTTCTAGCTTCCCAGCTGCAAGAATTAGAGTGTATAGATCTCCTCCTGCGCAATATTCCATAACTTCACAATAATCTCCTTTAGAGTCTTGCATTAGATCTAATGTATGGATGATATTGGGATGGCGAAGCGAGGAAGAAATACAAAATTCGGAGGTCAGGCGTTTTTGGTATTTTTTAGCTGTTTCCTGGGGACGACGGCGAAACTCCTTGACGGCGTACAGCTGCTCCGTCTTCGAGTCCTTCGGATCAACCTTGTGAGAGATTCGGACAATACCAAACGCACCACGACCAACAATTTCCTGACACTTGCCGTACTTATCGACCAAAGATGCCGTATTGTTCGGGCCACCCTTCTTGTCTGAAGCAAGTTTATCTCTCTCTGTTTTCAGTTGGTCTACCCATGTGGACATGAGAGACAGCTGCTGGTCTTCAACGTGGTCATCTTTCTTTTTGCCTCCACCAAGCATATCCCGAAGCATACTCGAAAGTTTCTCCTGCCGTTTAGCACTCTTCAGGTAGTGGACGTGGTTGCCATCAGGGAGCATGTCGAAACGTTTCATAGGTTGGACGGGCTCCCTTCCGGGCTTCTTATCCTCCGGCCGCTTGTCGGTCTGCTGTTTTGGTGTAGGCTTGGGGCTGGTGGCTTTTTCCGACCCGTCGACGACAGCGGCCGATTTGGACGATGATTTGCTCTGAGTCGAAGTATCAGAAGCGGTTTCTTTCATGTTTTCAATTTCCCTGTGGGCTGCTCTCCCGGTCTGGGAAAACATTCGGGAGAAGGGATTCGTCATTCTGGGCCTTGGGGGCTTCTGAGGGAGCGCAGCACCATTGGCTTTCTGTGAACCATGGAGGTGCATTCCCTCCATCACTTGTGTTATCTGCTCGCCATCAGGAGGCTGTGAATTCTGTGAAGCGGTAGATGTTGTGGATGAGGCCGATAGCGGGGTGGGTGGATTCATGTGCGTCGATATATTTCTTCAATCGTTCAAATCGAGCCAGGACGGACTCTCGTCGGATTCAAAGCCGGGATTGATGGAGTTTGACGGTCAGTCGAAGTGGTGGAGGAAGGACAAGGAGAAAAAGGAAGAGGGTGATCGTGGGCGGGTGGATAGGCACCGATGGGGTCTGGCGACGCCGGCAAGGAATGAGCAGGTGACGGAGCAAGTTGGGCTTGGTAACTGCCCCAAGCGAGGCACGGGATGCCCACAAAAGGGACGAAACCCGGGGTCTGATTCAGAGTCACGACGACAAAACGGTTGGTGTTCTGGGAGCCGATGAGATTGCGGGGGTATCTCGTCAGCTACTTTGGTCAGGATGGAGAGACAGAATCAGCGAGAGGGAGGAGTTCACCAGGTGGGAGAGAAAAACTCGGGGAGGCGACGCTCTGAAATAATTTTGTAAGGCGGTGCAGGAATGTGGCCGAAGCTCTAACTGTTGGCCTGTGAACCGTGGAGCAGCCTGCGGTGGCTTGAAAAGACACCAAGAAGAGGGGGATTTAAGGTTTGTGTATGGTATTACAGAAAACAGTTATATTACCTTGGTGCGTCAGAAATGCGAAAGATAAATTCCTGCGTTGGAAAGAAACCTTTTGTTCAGGGCGCGTCTGCAGCGTGGTACAAAGCTGACTTCGAGGCGGTCTCTTGTCGATGGTGTGGGAGTAATAATCACTCCGTTATGTGAACTTGAGCTCCAAAGCACTGCTGCAGTAGAGCTCGAATGGATCATCAGAGCACTGAAGATCCTCCATGGCTGTCTCAGGCAATCAAGTTTAAGGACAGCTGATGATGTCAGAGAATGGAATTGCTGCGAATTTCTTAGTTAACTGGTATTGTCTTTGCGATGGACAAACCTGGCCCGGGAGAGAAACAGAAATCAGACAGTGTCCACCTCATGATCATGTGGCGAATGGAATAACTGCACGGTTCGGAGCCAGATATCTGTAACTCTTTACTAGTTACACCATATGTTCCTGATATGGATCCATGGAACCCCAAGGGCTGGATTTGCGGTCAGTGACAAGCAAGCAAACAAAAATAACAGAACAGAAATCCTTTTTTTGAAACTACCATGAGCTGCTGAAGAAATAGGACTTCGACTTCTAGCAAGATCTTCCAATTACCGCTGTCTCCTATTAAGCAACCTGGCATGACAGCTCGCGCTTCGATCCTCAAAAATTGCCGGAGGACCTGTCAGGCTTAGCTGCATTGGTCGCGCATCTTGGCCGGCTGTTGGGCGAGTTACGGATATTGAGAAGCCATACAATATACGGTCAAAGAGATGCGACAGGAAACTTAACGAGGGCCCTCAATAGTAACAGACCCGACAACAAAGAAGAAAAACGGATTATTCTCTCCTTCTCTAAAATAATACTCCGTACAACATTGCTTCCCGTTCTAACCGTTCATTGTCATACAGCAAGTCAAAATAGAAATGGGGGGGAAAAAAAAAAAAGGAAAGAAAGAGAGAAAGAAAGAAAAAGAAAATAAGGGAGAAAAAGCAATACAGGAGTTACCAGAAGCTTAGAAATCCATAATTCCCGCTCCGGCTCCAACGATGGTGTTCTGCAGCAGATCATGAAAATTGGGCAGGGATGGCGCGACTAGCGAGTTAGGCCGGAGGGGAGCACGGAGCACTCTCTGATACTTTTATCCACAGGATTAACTCACTAGTTCACCAGCTAGAAGTCCCATTCTTAGTACAGAGGACATACACCATCCATACACTTGCAGGGATCCTCCGTACAGTTATGGCCGAGGAAGCAAAGCCAAAAGACCCTTCAAAAAAAAAAAAAAAAAAAAAAAAAAAAAAAAAAATGCAATGCCCCTCTTTTCTGAATCACCAAGCTGGAGTAGCAGATGTCCCATAAACGTAACTCCTGCCTGACTGCTCTTGGTGCAATATGCGTCAAGCCGATTCAGCCGGACACAGCAGTGTGCGAGGAGGTCCAGCGTGAGCGACCCCTCACCTCGAAGCCAAGTAACGATACAATTCCCCGTTGAGTATCAGAAATCCACTTTAACTAAGCATATGTAAAGCCACCCCCGGATGGATAGCAACCCATCCGCTTGAACCAATCCGGTTTGTCCCTCGCCCTCTCGGCCAACTGTGCAATCTTGAAATTTCACATTTAGCCGCAGTAGTCTGTTTCTTCTCCCCCTCTCCAGAGTCGGCTTGAAAATTCAGCCTTTACGATTCCGAGAATCACTGCAAAACTGATGCGTGACCGCACAATACATACATGTCATCATCAAGTACCGAGAAAACAAGTCGGGATCTCGATACAACAAAAATGAGACCTTGCTCCTGCGCTGTTGGACTTCTTTTTCAGGACACATGCAGGCTGACCACGTCCAGCCATCCGGATCCCATGAGGATATTCACGGTGATGTTTGGTCTCTTCTGATTGGACCCGGTCGGACTCGATCGCTCATATCCTCTCGGCATTTCATTGCAATTCCGGCTCACACGACGGCAAGCCAAAACCCGCCGGGTAAACTGACAGGGCTTGTTTTCCGGAAAAGCAAAAAAAAACTAAAAAAGAAAAAAAAAAAAAAAAGGGAAGGCCCCATTGACTCATCGACATACGGAAGCAAATGCGGTGAGTGCTTCCATAGCAAGTCAAATGTATTGAATCTCGGCTGCAGTGGCTGTGCATTTGATGTCCAAGTACGGAGTAAAAGAGGAGATGCAACTGCAGGGCCAGGATCCATTCGCGGTTGAATTGCCTTTTTCTCATTTGCTCGAACTGCTTTATCCATGCATCGTCCATCCATGCACTGGGGTGGCCGCGCGAAAAGGAAAAAAAAAAAAAAGCGCGCGTGGGGAAACGTCGCATATGTGGATTTATTACCTCTGGTGTATGTACGCAACTGTATTTTACGGAACAAAAATTACGCATTAACGTGTGCTCCGTCCTTTCATACCGTATTTATGACCTCTTTTTCGCTCCTCAACACTCCGCTCGTCGTCGACAAGGTTGGGTCGGGGCGGTCAAGTTCATACCTCAAACTGGCAGTCTTTTCGTGAATCCCAGCTGTGTGAGAGAGCCACAGACTTGGCTGCTCCTCTTGGTTTGCATCTCGCATCCACAGAATCCTCAGATAAAATTATTGCCCAGAAATGGTCAAAACTTTGCATGATGCAGAATATCGTGGCACTTCATGGGGCTGACGTGCAACTAGCGAGTTAGCTTCGTTGGGGGAGTCATCAGTATTATGACGTTCTGATGAATGATCTCTGTGATGGTCTATCAGGCCGCATCATTCATGGGACGACATACGGCCCGATAGTTTCGTGCCCCCATAGTCACCGTTCTGACAGAGCATTGGTAGTGAAACCGGGCCCGGACAGAGCATAGAGTTCAAATAATTTTTCAAAGGGCCTTAGATACACAAGCCCGACTTGAGAGGATATGCTAACGTAGTGATGAAATCCTCGAGAGTGTTCACGGTTGTATGAAGCTTGTTGCCTTGGATAGTTACATACACGTTACGTATCAATGAGAAATGCTCGCTCCCATTTAACTAGCTGTTGAGCGTCAAGCATGCAATCTCGTCGTCAGAGAGAAAAAATAGCCATACAAGCGCACGTCATGCCACTCAATCCTGCAGATGGGCCAATGCATCGCTGATACGGTTGGAGGTTGCTCCTTCGATCGCCAAGGAGGATTTGACAGCAAACGCCACAGTTGCCCTACGCGAACATATTTTGCCCTACAACGGCGAACATCCAATCGAGGAGCTTGCTCAGCCACCAAAGTCACACATTTCGTCATTATATGCTCTCTATTGGGATTGAGCAAAAGGATGACCTGACTCAAGCATTTTCGCCCAGAAACGGGCGGAAAACGGCTGAATATGATTGCTTTCGAATTCCTCCCGCGTTGACATGGGTCAAGCCACACAGAAACACAATCCCTACGATTACGGGGCCGAATTGCGGCTTGACGGGCTTTGCGTCCAGACTCCTGTCCACAAAACTTTGGCCTTGCACCTTGTACTTCTGTGCCACATCATCATGTAGAGAACAGCCACAGCTCTAATTTATGTCCGTCGTATGTTTCTCGAACGCCCGCAGCCCTGTCCAGGCTATATCCCGGACATGAACCGGCAGATTGATCCGAGTCCAGGCCAAGAGGACGTGGTACGGAATACAGGGAGCGGATCAAGAGAAGCGTCGGTGAAAGGCGTCTTGTGGACTTCTAGCCTCTAAGAATTTGACAAGGAATGCTTTGCGCATGGGGGGGTGTTGTTTTTGTTTAGGTTGTGGCAACGTCTTTGCAACGAAGAATCCCGGGAGTGTGCGGCACTGAGATCTTATCGCCGTTATGGTCAATTCTCTGGTTGCACGCCGAGGCTTTAATTCAGCCCAATCCAGCCGAGAACGCTTGCCATATCAGATGCAACCCACCCGGGTGTTCCTTTAAGGCGAGCTTGGCGTCCCGCCCGAGAAATCGTATTGCGTAGTAGGGCTGACTTGTACCAATGAGGCGACAACGGAACCGACAGGCATCGTGATTCGATCAGCACGCGATAATGGCCTTGCCGAAAGGCTCAGTCTATGATAAAACACGAGTCTTAAAAGTCAGTCTAATTCAACAAACACCGGAGAATGCCGGTCGTGTGGGGAGGGCTTAGCCGAAGCATACCACGAATTGTTCCAGGGATTCCTCAAAAAGTTCATTATTCACTCCTATACCGCCAGGATGTTCAACGGGAGATAGTGGGTTCTTGACGACTGTAACGCCAGATCAGCATGTGTACAGAGGAGGAGCGGGGATATCTGGTCATAGACCAACCATATTCGACGTAGAGATTGACATAGATCTGATGCAAGGCCAGGCGCATATTACTGGCTTTGATATCCGTAAGCATAACGAATTTAATATTTGTTGGCGTTTCGTAATAGTGCAGTTTGTACTGGCTGGTGCGATAGCAGAGAAAGCTGCACAGTCATGTTCCGTTAACGGTTTTGATTCCCGGAAGGAATGTCTGCCAATCCTATCTCAAGGTTGCGGGGTATCGCTCTCTCACTTATCATCATCTCCACCAAGCTTGCGAACCATATTCCGCAGCGAAAACACCGTTCCAAATATGAGTTTGGCGTCGTCTTCCGCACTCAGGGGTCCCCCAGGGGCGCTTTTGGACACGCCATTACTCAGGGGTGCTGTGTCGGAGGCGGGACGGGAAGTTTTGGGAGGCACGGATGTTGGACGAGGCAGCCAACGACGTTTGTAGATACACTCCGCTGTGCAGCGTGAGCTTGTCAGCGCAGAACACCCTGAGAGTAAACCGGGGCTGAACACGCCTTGCGTCGGACTTACCGTGGCGGTCAAAGATATAGAAAGAGTAGACGACCATCTCTTAAAGAAAGTGCACGATGCCAATGACAATGCGCAAAGAAAAGAGTGCAATTCAACAATTCGCTCGTTAGTTGCTCGGCCCTCGTAAAAAGCTGCAATGCTGTTTCGGAGAGCGTCGAAGTTGATGTTGTTCGGTCTATGATGCCAAGGCTCCGGCATGCTTGCTAGCTCCAGCAAATCACCCACTTCCTTCACCTTTTTTGTTTACGGCACCGAACGAGTCTCCAGCATCTCAGTACGAGGATCCACCGAGGACAATTGGATGGTTCTCCATTGTGTAGGATCGGCGAAAAGGAGATCTCCAAATTGCGGATGAGAGTTAGGTTTGTGCTGTATCATCCCACCAGCGAACGGGGCTAGCCTGCTGCCCTAGCTCCTCGTTGCCGTAGTCGCCCAGGCATGGCCGGCCTCCCATGCAGATGGAGCCTGTCTGGTCAATCCAATGGCCAATGAATCCGCCCAGCAACTTTTGTCAACGAAGAGTCACTGCAAGTGCCACAATAAAAAGAAGCCATGATCACGGGGTGGGCAGCAAGCAGCATCTCGCAATAATGTAGACCCCGTCTCGCTACGGCAGTCTTGGGCATAAATCATCCCAACCCCACTCAGCCCTACTACAGTTCGCTTCAACCTCTATATAACGCTACGGCAACAGCTCTTTGCACTTCTTTCCCTTTCCTTCGTCCTTCCCATACATTATTGATTCGCCGTTAGCGTGGTCTTCAAGCCCCATCATGAGATGGCAGACGACGTGCCCAAGCCTGAGCCTGTAGACATCCCGAACCCTTCCCCCGCAAATGAAAGCACCGCCGCAACGGACGCCACGAGGCCACGGCCTCTGCGAACAAGCGATAATAGGTACGTATGAATCCGGCTCTGTCGATTGATTCCAACCCGAAAAGTTATGTTATCGTATTTCGATGGTGGCGGGAGACCTAAGCAGCATCAGGCTCCGGCGGTCGGCATCCTGGAATTCTCAGCCTGATATCTGATACTTACGCTTTCTGAAGATATTCCGTTGCTGACACCTATTCTGTCTCATCAGGTCCTCTGTACATACATTAAACAGCCCATTGAGGCATCATACTCGAAACCACACGCTGCCACGAAAAGTCAAAGTTGGTTGGCCCTCTGGATACTGACATGCTTCCGGAGAAATTTAACTGAACCTCCCGAAAAGGAAACCCTCAACGCTCGATCGGAATATACAAATAGCCAGGATGACGGCACAGCAGAACATCGTATCAATCAATATTTGATAAAACAGGAGATTGGAAGAGGCTCGTTTGGTGCCGTCCATCTCGGAGTCGATCAGTATGGGCAGGAATATGTGGGTAGTCTCTGGGCACCATCCATAGCATCCGGCAATTACTGGAGCTCGCCTTTTCTTTTCTTTTCCTTTTGAAGGTCAATCTTTGGCACTAATATCACGAACATTGAGCGTCGTTGTAGGCGGTGAAAGAATTTTCGAAATCACGGCTACGGAAACGTGCACAGTCTCATGTCCTGCGCAGTCGTTCTGGGCTTCGCCGCCCCGAAGCACGCGCCGCCGGCACTGGCTTCAATGAGCCCCTCCATCGCAATCCTTCCAGCCATGACATGGAAGAAGGCAATTCACTGCACTTGATCAAGGAGGAAATTGCAATTATGAAGAAGCTGAACCACCCTAATCTAGTGTCGTTGTTCGAAGTGCTGGATGACCCTACCGAAGATTCTCTCTACATGGTTATGGAAATGTGCAAGAAGGGTGTAATAATGAAGGTTGGCTTGGGCGAAGAATCCGATCCATATAATGACGAGAGTTGTCGCTGCTGGTTTCGTGATTTAATATTAGGAATTGAATATCTCCACGCCCAGGGCATCGTCCATCGAGATATTAAGCCTGATAACTGCTTATTGACCAGCGATGATGTGCTAAAGATTGTCGATTTCGGTGTTTCAGAAATGTTTGAAAAGGATTCGGATATGTATACCGCCAAATCTGCGGGTTCACCTGCCTTCCTTCCACCAGAGTTGTGTGTAGTGAAGCACGGGGATGTTTCCGGCAGAGCAGCTGATATATGGTCGATGGGAGTTACGCTTTACTGTCTGAGATACGGGCGAATCCCGTTCGAGAAGGAAAGCATTTTTGAGCTATACGAGGCAATTAGGAACGATGAGATCGCCTATCCCGGGGAAACGGATGACATCTTCAAGGACCTCATGTCCAAAATCCTAGAAAAGGATCCTAAAAAGCGAATAACGATGGAGGAGCTCAGGGTAAGGCTTGAATCCAACCATGCAACACGAAATAACTTTTAACAATATTAGGAACACCCCTGGGTGACAAGAGGAGGCACTGACACCCTCCTTTCGGCCGAGGAAAATACATCTAACCTTATTGAGCCTCCAACTGAAGAAGAAATGAACACTGCTATCACCAGAAATATGGGCCATGCTATAACAGTGGTATGTCCTTTTGATGTGGTTTCGACCTTTACATTATACTATAGGCTAGGCGGTTGACATTTTATGTAGGTGAAAGCGGTACAGAAGTTCAAGAGGCTCATCGAGCCGGCGAGTCCGGGACTCATGAAAAGTATTTTAGGTGAAGACGAAGAATCCCACTTTGTCCAGCCACCTCTTTCCATAGATGAGTCAGATTATTACGAGATACCGAGAGACCGAAAAAAATATAGGCGCGAGGCATTTATGTCGCCCCGAGTTCATGATGTCAGTCGCGGACGAGATGCGACTAATAGAGGTGAATCACCGACATTTGAGAACATAGCAGCAGGTTATCCTCGAAGGGAAAACAGTACTTTGTCTCAAACCTCAGACAGCCCTGCGCGTCAAGGTTCGCGCACCGATACCCCGAGCAAAGGTAGCTTTTGCGAAGGGACCCGAGGACATGCGCGGGATCCGCTAGAAGAGGAACATCCATATTTATTCATCGGACCTTCCAGTTTCTCCACGCACATGAGTGCCCCTGGTGGAGACAAGGCATCATTGGAAATCGATGATGGGGCTGACCTACCAATTGATGTATACGCAACGCCGGTCGTTAGTGAATCTCCAAGCGCTGCTGATATTGACATTTACGAGACAGCATACACGGAAGAAATAGAGCGAATTCGGAATAGGAGCCGCACTTCCCGTGCTCCTGCCCCCAAGATCTACCTGACTCGAAGAGTGGATGGAAAGAAATCCAGCCTGGCAGCGCTACTAGAGCGAGCCAAGGAGGAAGGGACATTACAAACCCCTCGAACGTCTAGTGAGCCCGGAACGGGATTGGAAGACGATGAAAGTGTCTCGCGAACCTCGCGAGCGCGGGGATCTAACATTTTTGCTGCGGCTGTTTCTTCTCTGAATATGTCTACGCTGGCACATCTCGAGGCACCCCAGGGGGAGGCACCCCAGGATACGGAGGCGGCATCAATGATTGGAGGCTCGGATACTCGGTTGCAAGGGTCTGTAGCGCCAAAATCCCCCGCAAGACCTAACCCAGCGGCTATCCGTACAACAACAGAAGCAACAGCCACAGAAAATGTAGCCCCAGTGAGCTCAGCGCAAAGGCGAAGCGGTCTAAGGAACTTGCTCAATAGGATTAAGGATGGTCGTTGATCATTAGATATCGCTGCTGTCAGATTCCTGGCCTTCCTTGGTTGGAGAGAAGGGCGCGAAGCTGAACATAAAAAGTCCACCAAACTACTCCATATAGTGTCGAACATCGGGCATGTGGCCCCCACGTTCCATAATACGATATCTCTGATAGCGTCACGATTGTAAATACAGTGGTGGATATCAGCTGACAATGTAGTGTTTTCGAGAGGCAGCAAGGCCGGGGCTCAATGCAATTGATCAGCTCAGTGCCCATTAGTTATCTAATCAGACATCACAGCCACATTTTTGAGATAAAATTAGCCCGATCTTGGTACATGTATTACGTAGGTCAGCCACAAAGTTGTTTGCACCACAGCCACGGTTTCCACCATTCACCCGCCAAGCCAAGACTGGAGGCACGACGACGTTCCTTTTTCCGCCTTTCTGCTGCTTGTTAATCTGCTGTTGATTGAATTTGAGTGAGTGTCCGATATACCAGTCAAGTTCCTACTATTTGAATTTACTCGGCGCGGCTATCCCAAAATACGACAAGCGGACCGCCATTTTCGAGCGCAATAGTTTCGAGGCTGGTTCAACAAAGCACGATGTCTTGGGCAGGTATGCGGGCTTCTCTCAGATGCAGAACCTTGCGCCTTGAACGGACAGAAAGTTAACGAGCGCCATACAGGGTTCAAGAAGAATGTTAACCGGGCGACGACCCAGGTTATGATGAAAACTGGTATGCAAATTCAACGGCTCGATCGGATATGTCTTTAGATCCCAGAGATTGGCAACGGAACGAGCTAGTTCAGTATTGGCAAGCATTTGGAGACACCCGATACTGATTACGTGTGAGCATGGCAGGACATGTGGAGAAAACAAATGATCGGGATTATGAGATAGAAGAACGGTATGGGAGGATCATACAAATCGTTTTCTCGGCGCTTCGTGAGCTAATTGTATAGACGCTACCGGACCATGGAGGCGGCTGCGAATCGACTACAAAAGGAGGCAAAGGGTTACTTAGATTCGCTGAGAGGTGGAGTCATCTCTGCACTGCTCTTTGACCTTTGCGGTTGATGGGCTTCTGCTGACTGAGTTATGTGGTTCAGCCATGACGGCTTCGCAGATGCGCATTGCGGAAACTATCGATGCGTTTTACGGCGACGCAGGTGCTAAGGACGGCGTGAGCAGAAGCTATAAACAGGCTGTGGAGGATCTTGATGCGGAAACGATTAAGGCACTTGACGGTCCATACAGGTACGCTTGGGAAAATCGATCATCACCGATATACAAGAGGCGCAGGCTGATCCGTACAAAATTCTAGAACGACGGTCTTGGAACCTATCTCCCGGTTTTGCGCATACTTCCCGGATATCAACGAGTGTATCAAGAAACGAAACAACAAACTCCTAGACTACGACGCAATGCGTGCCAAAGTAAAGAAACTCGTTGAAAAACCCGACAAAGATGCCACCAAGCTCCCCCGAGCGGAGAAAGACGCAGAGATGGCTAAGCAGGCTTACGACCAGCTGAACGATCAATTATTCAACGAACTTCCTCAACTAATTGACCTTCGAGTACCGTACCTGGATCCTTCTTTTGAGGCTCTGGTGAAAATCCAATTGAGATTTTGTGCGGAGGCCTACAGTCGGATGGCACAAGTACAACAGTACTTGGATGCGGATACGAGAGAAGAATATGCATCTGGAAACCTCGACAACAAGGTTGAGCAGGTGTTGCAAGAAATTAGAGACCTAAGTATTGCTGGAACGGTTTAAAGCACATAATTTAAGTTAGCATGGCTGCTCGCTTTCGGCTTTCTTTTCTTTTCTTTTACCTTTTGGAGAAATGCTGTTACTCTGGTTCCAGTCAGATGGCAATGATGGAAGAACCACTTTCCCATCCTCTATCTTTATAGGTGTTTTTGTTTGATCCGCATACCCCCCATTGTACAAGCTAGGAAAATTTCATGGACTCTACCAAAATTTACCTGTCCTCATTGAATAGCGGACGGCCCCATTTCCATGAGCGCCAGCTGACCACGTATTAAGAGTAGCTCCACAAAAACACGGGGTTTAGGGTCAATTATCTTCTGCTGCACTTCCCTGCGTTTTGAGCGCACAATTGCAGATGTTGATCTAAAATATCACAACCTCAAATCAAGCCTGTGGAAGCCCTTGGGTAGCACAAGTACATTAGCTAACAACAGATGCTTACTCCATTTGAAGAAGCACACCCTCAGAAAGCTTTGAGCCTTGTTTCTGTCTCTCAGGTGTCCTAGATAAGCAGAACCATGTCTGGAATGGTAAGAAAAGAAAAAAAGAAAATCACTTCCTTGCATAGAATATAGTGCAGATGCTTGCATTTGTGTGTATGTGCATGTATTTATGTGCAGCACGTCTCAAAGCCTTGAACTACATGCCAATCCCGGAGTGTGGTTCAAGCATGGTCCTCTCCATTGCAGCAGAGGTATGTAGCAGTGTAGCTACTCCCAAAGCAGCATGTCACTTCAGTGTGCATGAAAAAAAATAGTAGAGCGATATCTCTCTCGCACTCTCCCGTTCACTTATATATATATTTACCCTTCCAACTGATTGGGCTGATTAAGGGGCGCAGTATCCAGGATACCCAGACTTCTCAAGCTTTCTTTCCCTTGGATTGCTTTGTTTGCTTGTTTGAGCTGATCCAAGAAGCGCATGCAGAGTACGTCGTGTCCTTGTCGCATAAGAAGACCGGCGGTTGAAGCCCTTTTTTTGGGATAAACTAAACAGCTTTTCTTGTACCCGCATGCTGCAGGGATGTCTGTTTGCCGAGATGCCATTCCAGGTGGGAAGGTGGATTCCAGTTGATGGGTGAGCAAGGGTTCTGGACGGGAGAAGGGAGTTGATGACGACGCAGTTTGCGGTCCGCTCCCGATGCAGTTCTGTGCGCGTCGGTCTCTATTGATAGAGAAGGCGAACTGTCGTATGTATGGAGATTAGTTTGGAGAACGAGATCCGACAAGACGTATTTTTCCATACATACAAACCGACAAGCCATCGCATGTCGTTCTGCCGTACTCCGTACTGATACTGTACTCCGTACGCGAGCGACCCATAATAACATGGAAATGTGTACTTCGTACTCCGTATTGTAAAAAAAAACAAAGAAAACAAAACCAAAAACAAAAAAGACCAAAAAAACCTAAGTAGCACTCAGGCCTGTTGACTGCAACGAGGTACACTTTGTATTCACACTAGTAATTTAAATGATCGCCGCTAGGAAAGCTTCACGTCGAACGCCTCGCACTGTCATCACGCCCAATCCGTCGTGCGGAACAAGGTCCTCCCCGGCCGCAAAGTACGATGACTGGCATATGTCGCGCATAAAGTTCGTTCAGAATCCCTCCTCAGTGCCTACGCCTGCAAAGATTCGCACCAAGGACGATTTGCGCTTTTGGAGGGGACTGGGAGAGAGATTCCGCATTAAAACGTTCAAGCGCATGACAAATTTTCCCCATGACCCTGCTGTCACGATTTGAAATCAACCTGTCAGGATTAACTAAGCCAGCTAATTGACAAGGGAAGTTTGAAATTCGAAGTAAGCAGGGGCATAGAGAGTATGGAATCTTTTAAAGCTCTTTTTCACAATTCGTACATCTCTACGGAGTATAGAGTAACTCTTCCATACGGGGCGGGTTGTTCAAAACACGGAACCATTGTTTTTCTGCAAGCCACCCGTCCACATGTCAGGACAAAACAGGAGGCTGGCTCGGTCTAAATTCAACTACATAGCAAGATGCCTCTTGAGGACCTCGTACTCCGTCCTCCATGCATACGATCGGTATTCATGGTAATTTACTCCGATCCTCCGTTCTTCGCACATACTCCGTCGTCAGTGCATGGGTCGGAGCGAGAGTGTCCCCCAACAAAAAGGAGAAAGGGCAAAACCTCTTATTAATATAGAATCTGAGTTCAGCCAAGCAACCCCCGATGGTGTAGTTGGATATCACGTTCGGCTGTAAAGGGAACTTCTCATGCTACCGAAAGGTCGCCGGCTCGACTCCGGCTCGGGGGATGAACATGATTCTTTTTTTTTTCGTTGCTGTTTTTTCTTGGCTCACACGGCCCATACGGAGCTCGATGATGAATGGACCCTTTTCTTTTCTTTTTTCCTTTTTCTTCTCTTTAATATTTATTAAAAAGCCCCCGAGGTCCTGTGTATGACAGACGGTGGGTTGGATTGACTTGTAAGATGTGGTATCAAGTTTCTCTCCTGCAACGGATTCTTTCATGCGTTATGCTTCAATTCCCGCGCGTATCCCCAGCATACCTTTCTTCCTGACAACCGACCAGTGTGTAGAAAATACGGTATTCATACTTTTTTGTTTATTTGCCCTCAGGCTGCCTCTTCTATCTGTGGTCATGTTTATAGATACGGAGCTTGTTAGATGCATAGTATATCCATCGGAACCAACTCCAAGAGAATACACCCGCCGATCCACCCAAGACCAAAAAAGCAAAGACGAAAAACGGGAAGAGCCAAAAAAAAGGAGAAGAGAACAAAAGAAAACGACAATACCGCCGATTCACTTCTTGAGAAAATTTGCAAAAATTCCCATCCAACAAAAAAAAAAAAAGGAAAAAAAGAAAAAAGACAACGAAAGAGTGAATAAGCGCCGAAAACCAATTCTAAATTTTCGTAGGAAGTTCCAAGAGGGGGAAAAAAAAAGGAAAAAGGACAAAGGACAGTTTTGAGAGCTGACTTGTAGGACATCAGCGATTCGTGCGAAGCATGAGGTAACTTCAACAATTGTCCACACACAAACAAGAGACTGAACTTTGAACAAGCCTCATAGGTCAACGTAGCAACCAAATAGATCAGGAACATGGGAAATAGAATGAGATATTGAAGATATAATCATGGTAGCGACAAGTCAATTATGTCATATCCATACGTGTCATTAGAAGTTAGTATTGACTCTCGGGGCAGGGGGGTAGAAAAAGAAAAGGGTTAGGAAAATATGAGACTGGAGAGAGTGACGGGTTGGGAAAGATGAGTGAGAGACATAATTCGTCGTACGATTTCTGTTTCAGGAGCAAATAGAATCCAATTGTTGATCCTATTGGAGACTGTGGCTGTCAATCATATCTCAGGACTTGTAAAAACCTCACACTGGAATGGTCTCTTGCCAAGTTCAGTTAGAGCTGTGCGGACAATCCTTTTAAAAGGGGTTTTAAGGCCCTAGTCCATCGGACGTCCGAAGCTCCATATCCGGCATCAAAGAGACCGGAAACAACCAAAGCGTTGTCGCATTGGTGCCTTAGCTGTCGACGCAGAAAATACAAAAAAAAAGGGAAATTCGTCAAAAAGCCTCCCATGGGTCATAAGACTTGTCCTGGAAGTCTTCCAAACACACATTCCTTCATTATCGTCGCCGCCTTCTTTTTTTTTTTCCCGACAAAAGAAAGATTTAATCACGGCCGTGACGGCCCTCGGCTAGAGGTCCAAGGGCAGAAGGAGACAGCCAACACATCGCTCCCTCCTCATTTCTCTCGACGGCTCTCTTTTATAACCCAAAGTCTGCGTCTGTCTCTCGCGCTAAGCTTTTCTGCTGCCAGGTCAGACTTGTTTTCCGCCATGTGCTTATCTCCTCATGATATTTCGTTATCATCAGCGCATTTCACGTCTCTCTCTGCTCATCCAGAATAGAATGCGCAGAATCGACGCCAGCTTCTGCTTCTGTTACATTTGAAACAAGGGTGCTATCGTGTCTGGGGCTCGGAAGTCCAGAACGGGATTGGATGATGCCCCTGAAAGATTGGCTAAATGTAGTTGGAGAAGACGATATCTGACCCTCTAAGGTTCTTGGCATGGATTCCTTTGCTGGTACCCCCGATCCTGGGTTCCCAAACACCTGCGCACTCATTACGCCATGCGGTGCTGTCATACGACGAACCTGTATATCTTCTGTTTGCGATGTCGGCTCATCCCGTGGGCCTTGGAAAGAGCTGGCGTCGCCATGCCTGTGTTGTTGCTGGGCAGGCAAAGATTGCTGAAGGAGGCCGGCAGGAGATGGGTCTGGCTCAACTCCTGCCCTCATCGTCGGTGATGCAGCGCCGAAACCCTTCTTCGTAACCGGCCTTTTGGGGGCCGGGTATTGTTCCCCTCTAGCCTGTGCCATTAATGTTCGTCTTTGTATTTCTGCCTTGCTTGGTCTGCCTCGTTTTCGTGGCGGTTCCCCCCTTGCTGGGTCGGGAAGCCGCGGTATCCGAAGAGAAGCTCGTGCCTGGGCTGCCTGAAAGGTTTCGCCTGGTGGAGTGGGCTTTGGCTGAATAGCGCGGTGTGCAGATGATGTTTTATCTAGACCAAGTGGTGGAAGAGGTCTCTTTCTATTTTCAGGGGACGTCTGGGCCGGGGCAGGAGGACCTGGGAAACTCCGCCTGTACGCATGTGTATACTCGTGTTCCATGCGAAAAAACGCTGTTTGGCAAGAGTGGAGGGATCTCCCTATACAGGCTTTTTAGCAACGGCAAAATCCTGATCCAGCCCTTTCCCTCCGTGGTGTCATCGGGGCATTCTTAACCCCCAAAAGTTGGTTTATGCCTGAGCGGTGGGGAGGCTCATACCTTCAGGTAGGGGAATTTCCATCCAATTGGGGGATATCTGGTTCTCTTTTATAATGCTGAACAGGAACGACGAGGATATTCCAGCCTTTTTAAGGATTTCAGTGAGGAGAAAGTTCTGCAACACATTCAGTCAATATTCTTGGAAAGCTAAACAAGGTCGCAACGCGGCCGAAGGCAACAACACAATTTCGTTCTCATAGGCGAAGATTTACCTTCTCCTCCTCGGTCCATGGTTTGTCTGGTTGGCTCGACATATCCAGCAATTCATGAAACTATGGGCGATGACCAGCTTCGCATCAGAAGAGCTCCAAGAGCGCCCTAGGGGTTGCCGCGGGGGTTGGGGGGGGAAGGGGACGGCGTTCAGGCAGGTGGCGCTGGGGCAGCGAGGTGGGGCATGAAGACGTCCACGGCGGGCTGCGGAAAGGGCGCGCGAGCCGCAGAGGGGCAGGCAGGATGGTTCGCCGGGCAGGAGGGCTGTTGGATCGCAGCCCGGAGGGAAAGACCACAGACCAGGAAGAGAGAGAGAAGGGGGGGAAAGAATACCAAACAGTCGGATCGGGTAGCTGCAAGCAGGGCGATTGCGACTTGGGGAAGTAACGAGCGGAAGCGTAAACGCGACGGATGGGGAAGGCGACACGCGCGGTGGCACTTCAAGGTGAAACAGGCGGGAAGGAGGCGACTGCGATTGAAGCCGTCAACATTGAGCCATTGGAACGGGCCAGATAGCAAAGTCTCCTTTTTCAGTCTTGAAAACGCGTCGCTGGCGGGAAAAGAGAACGTGCTTTGAGAAGCAACAAAGAAAACACGGCCGTGCGGTGGATGGGGCGGGAGGAGAGGAGCAAAGTAAACAAGGGCAACGCAAACAATGGGATCAACTGGGGCGATGGGGGTTGTTTAGTCACTAGGATGTTTCTGTCACCCCAGACATCAGAAGAAAGAGAGGTTGGAAAACAGAAGATAGAAGAAAAATGAGCGAGTGTAACGAAGCGGAAGGGCAGGGTGAAAAGAGAGGGGAAGGGGAGGGGGAAAGAAGGAAAAGGCGGAATGAGTGAAGGCAGGCCGTCGTGGTCGCGATGTCGTTGAGCGGGTGGTGAAAAAAAAGAGAGAGAGAGAGAGGCGAGAGAGAGAGGAGACGCTTCGGGAGGAGGAAAGGGAGAGCAGCGAGCCTCAAGGTACTGCGAGGTACCTACGTCTTGTAACGCAGAAATTCGATTTCCAGTACACACGCAGCTCCTGAAATAGCCACAAGAAGGCGTGGTAACGTACTGGTAACGTATGTAACGTCCTCCTCCAAGCAAAACGAAACACAAGCTACTTACGGCGCCAAACTTGTTTTGTTCTAGTGCGGATCCCAGGCCAAGCTTAGGTAATTTGGGGAGTTCAGGATGGGCTGCAGAGCGAGGGAGCGATATGATTAGGCGCATTCCAGAATAATCATGGGCAGTCAGTGGGATGAGGGCGAGATCCGTTCTGAAACGAGCCTTATATCGTTTCTGAGGGAGACTTATCAGCCCTTAAGAACCCTTGTCTCCACGTATGCGGGAGCCCATGCATGCTCGCTGGATGTGCAACATCCTGGTTGGCAAGTCCTGGACGGTTGTTCTTATGTTTGCTTAGCGATGAATTGTTGTCACACACATTGAGAAAACGTCGGACTTTAAAATGCATGAGCATATATAAAGCTCGAAGATGATATATCCGATAAGGACGGCTGCAGGCAGCATGGGAGGTGACCTTGCTTTGGGCGTCCCGGATCCTTCTCTTGGATCTCCCATACTTATAATAAACGCTCCAGGTTCGTTCAACACACGCCGCGCGGCGCTATGGACTCTGGCCTTGATGCCTCCTAACCTGGCAAGAACCAGCGGTCAGAACTATCACACAGCGGAGAGCGCCCGGAAGCAGAAACGACGTATATCTTTCCGGTTTACCATGTGAGTTGGGTTGAAGGTTCGACCGCCGAACAAGGCATAGCTCAGCGTCCAGTTGCATTCCTGGGGGGGCCACATCAGACTCTCAGAGAGAGGGAAGGGAAGAGAGAGATAGACGGTGTCGCTTGCGGGTATCAGATATCAGTACTCAATTGAGGCTGTGTAAATTGTTGCCGACGATGGCCTTTGGTAGCGCTTCATCATGATCTGCCCCAACATTATGGATCGTATACATACGTCGGGGTTCGAATGTCTCAGATACATAAAATACATGCCGTGCTCGATATGCTCGTGGGTTGCGTATTCATAATAGGAACCCATCCCCTTAAAAAAAAAAAAAGGAAAAAATTTAAAACAAAATAAAAGCAAAAACCAGCGACGTTGGCAACGCTCAGTTGCCAATCCATTTTTGAAAAAAAGTTTATGTTTTGTGTATTTTCTCCCAGTTTTAATAATTTGTCACCTTTTAATTGGACTGACCAACGTCAGCCAGAAGCTCCTTGTTGTCGGCTCTGGGATCAGGACCCAGTCGAAGTTGGCCCATGCCAACACAGCTTCCATTGGAATCCCGCCAATTCAAGATGAGTCAACTGACGGCCAATTCCAGACGATATCCCCGGATTCCGTTTAGCCGGCTTGGACTCAACCTCGACCTCAAGCAACTAGCAACAGCTACTTAGGTCAGTACAAAGGTGCTCTCGAGGGAGTAACGACGTACCGCCATAGCCCTATCATATGACTGCATCCATTCGGATCATTGTTATTATGTCAAGAGAGAGTAAAACGCATCGGGCGCGAGACAACACGATGAGATCAAGATTCCACGCGCTCCCTCGTTGGATCACCCGAGCTAGAAGCCAAAGAACAAAATAGTGGAGACCGATCAAGGCTTGTGATTGGACCACGGCAAGGTAGCTTTCATGCAGGAGATGGGCATGGGGGCGCGGTTGACTCCGTTGCTGCATACGACCAGTCAACGCAGAACAGAAAAGGGCCCTTTTTTTTATTTTTTTTTATTTTTATTTTATTTTTCTTGTCTTCCTGGGCTGGCTGACATGGCAAGACTGGCGATGACAGAATGTAACAGGCTGCAGATATTCCGCGTAGAGTTACAATGTCGAAATAGGTCACCCATTCTGGCAGGTGAGAGGCCAGGCATGTACTCAATTTCCCATTTGGCTCGAATGTCGATGCCGGCGGGCTTTGATTGGCGCCAGTCTGAGCGGGAAGCTGTCGTAATTCTGTGGTGTAACATATCCGTGTACCGCGCGCTGCTCCAGAGAGGAGAGACACAGGCAGACTCCGTCCCTCTGGATAAAATGCTCGGCGGCCAGTCTCAATCTCCTCATCCCTGCCCAACACTGGGTTGAATGTAATATGCCGTTCGTGCAGAGGACTGGTGTTTTAAGACGAAGTGGGCAATCATCCCACACAAACCCCCCCCCCTCTTCTACCCCCAAGAAGAGTGGGTTCTGTCGTGCCTTGAGACAGATACGTATGTATATCGGACCAAGTGTTGGAAGCCCAGACGACCATTTGGGCGTGAGTTATCTGGGTAAGGTTTGTTTTGCTGATGTCCCAGCCGTGACAGCCAAGCCGAAATAATACTGTATTCAAAGGTAAATTAGCCCGCTTAGACATACGGCGCGTATTGTACCGTAAGACCGATACAAGTCTGGTTACTTCTGTGTACCTCGACATGCATCGACCGCTAGATGAAACACAAACCGACGCGCTCATGCTGTACCTGCAGACAAAGCAGAGCTCTGCTAGCCATTGATTCTATCTCTCTCCTCCGCAATCTGAAAACCATCTTAAGCATGCGAGTGTCAATCTAAATATGTCCCGCGCACGTCTACCTAAACTTTCCCGTCTCGCGGGGCAATTCCATGCACACACAAACCCACCCCTACTCTCCCGCCCTGAGTTTTTTTCAGTAGTTTAGGCCGTTGCACCTCTTTTTTTTTTTTTTTTTTTTTTTTTTTTTTTTTTTTTTTGGGGTGGGCATAGAACTCGGACCGCCAGAGCCTTTGGTGAGGCTCCCGGCCCCATGCTTGCAACGATGGTATTGCCGACTAACGCCAGGAGCTAATCGCGGTGCCAATGTCATCGTGGAAGGAGGCTTTCCTCTTCCTTTTAACTGCTTGGCCTTTTCTGCAAACCGATTCGCCATTCGTCTGGTCGATCCAGCGGCGTTTCCCAGCCTTACCCGACCACCGCCCCCACGAACTGCCCAAAATCCCACCAACGAGACCTTCGAGAAGATGGAGGAGATTATTATTATTTTTTTCTTAAAAGTCCGTTGCCCAGACTGGCCCTGGTCTGTGCCTGTATCCACAAATACTTTATCCCCGGTGCCTATGGTTCCTTGTCCTCAAACCAAATTTTCCAGGACTGGCCATTATTGAAACCACGACCCTTTATCGGATTTCAATGGCACCCCAAGCACTCGATCTTCTGAGATCGGTGCCCATGGCCCTTTGTTCGCTGACGAATACAAGGAAAACTCCGGCCGGATCACTTCTGAACTACAGCGAGCTATCCATCTTAAGCCACCCATGAAAATCCTGAATATATACCCTAAAAGGCATCCGTCTGCAGTCTTGTCATGCCCTTCTCCAAACTTCAGTCTGCTCAAGATTCCTTACTGTTCTCATCTCGATGCTTTTTTGGGTGTTAGGTTGTGCGGTTCGGCGATGGCGGGGTAATCCGCTGACATCGTTGTATGAGCTTGGCTTCAGCCATCCCAACACAACCCGCAGCGCTGCTGCCACAGATATAGTTGTCCACGCTTCCAACAGGCCGCCGAGGTGTCGTTTGCCTTATGCATTCGATGCTTCCTTGTCACTGGCACCAGATTGCGAGATCGCTGCTTACATATAGCGCCATGCTTTGCTCTGTGTGGAGTCACCGCAATATCGCTACTTCATTTAGGGAACATCCACCGGCTTCTCATTCCCAGAATTGCGGGGAACATATGCCAGGCTCGCAGGATCTCAGACGCAGTATAGGGGCTGCTCTTCATGGTCAATTTAAGTTGACCTGGCATATGCTCTCGTTGTTTCCATTCATGATCTCTATGCTCCAAAGCCCCAGCTGCTTCAAAAGACATACTAATTCTGCGTAGGTGCTGCCTCTGTTCTGCCGGAACTGTCCGTGCGGCTGTTTCTCATTCTGTAATATAGGTCTGTGGCTCTTATTATATGACTAAAACACGTCGCCAGCAGCTGCCAAGTTCAAACACGGTTTGATATGTGATTCGCCAGGATTTCTCATGTTATTCGGTTAGAGCTGAGAAGCGAGCGCTTCAGCTTCAGTCCCGGAGTCATCACGGAAAATCGCCACTTTGTTGGAGGGGCTACTAACTCTTGGGACACTTATAGTGGGTGTCGCATGAGCTGGACGCATAAAGGGAGAGAATTTCATGTTGTCTTTTTTTTGGGGGGGAAAGGAGCCCTTCTTTTTTGCTGTTTGGGGAATATCTGTGTTTGGCTCATTGTGGCCAGGTCTCCACGAGAGACACTTGAGAATCCGCGGGGGATTTGTTGTCCGCATCAAGATCGGAGCCATAGCGTTCACAGGCGACCCAAAGGAAAAAAAGCCGATCTTGTTCGCAGAGCACCACTATTTCCACCCACCAAGCGAAGCTACCACCCCATTCACACCTCACATTTTTCAAAGTTGCCCCATCATTTTTCCAACCTCCACCCCATCATCCCTTGGTTTTGCAATTTCATCGATTTTCTGTGGACAAAGAATAGTCGAAATAGGAATAAATGACAATGAGATTGGCTCGATGCCCTTGATGGCATACATTTCTTCTTTTTCGGAATTGGTACCGATAGAGAACAGCCGCTCATCGCTGGGTAACCGCAATTTTGCTTCCTCGGGGCAAGGTCATTTGGCTACCTATGCGGTCTGAAGTAGCAGGCTTCGGAGATATCCAAAGGAAGAAGAGGGCAGAGGGGAGGCAAGCAAGCCGGATTCAATTACACTAAAGAAAGAAGAGGAGAGAAAAAAAAAACTTTTTCTTTTTGTTCCCTACGCAGTGTCCGCATCCTCTGCTGGGCAAAGCTTTTCGACCGCAACTCTCAGGCATCGGACCTCACGCGATTGCCACTATCTCCGTTTCTCCTCCTATTCTCACAGCGCATCTTTATTGTGGGAGAGGGGCACATTTTGTTCTTTTGTTGTTTTGATCCTATTCACGGACTGGTCGTGTCATCTCCATTCACACTCTCTCCATCCTTCTTCACCCCATCTCATTTCCTCCACCCGCACCCCGGCCATTCCATTCTGTCGTCAAACACATCTTCACTCCAATCTTTGCCTATTTTACATTCCTTATTACTTCCTGTGTCCTATTACACTGCCCCTGTCTCCAAACCTGCCCTCAGGGCTGCGGAGCCGCATCTGCCGCCGAAAAACATTAAGCATCAGGTTTGGATTCTTGGCGCTTTTTTTCCCACGGATTCCCAGCTCATCTCCGCCAAATAAATCCACGATTTTGGCGGCACACCACTTCCCTTTATCTCGCTGACCTGCGCCTTTCCGGTAACCACCACATATTAGTATCCAGCTGCGACGCTGGTATCCATTATGGCTGGCCATGACGATGAGGAAGCCAGGATAGAGACAGTAAAAGATGCAGTGACCGATATGAAGCTTGAACGCCAGTCATCCACAGAGAGTGTAGCTCCAAACGGCATTCTAGACACCATCACTCCAAAGGACGAGCCCAATGGCCATTTATCTTCCAAACCCAGCACTCCATCTCTAAAACCACCGAAATCTCGATCCCGATCGAGCAATTCACTTGCCAAGGATGAAGTACCAGAAGAGAAAGTTGGCGGTGATATTACCATCAAACAAGAACCCGGTCAACCGCCAAAGTTGGCTCGCTCTGCCTCGCAGAAGCTGCCTCCTCGCGCTGCACCGCTGTTCACTGATCTACCCGACAAGACGACAGAGGCTACGAGTACCTTCCAGTTGATGGAAGTGTGCACTTATGCCAATAAGTATCTAGGCTACACAGAACATGCCATGGACTGTGATTGCGCTGAGGAGTGGGGTAAGTTTCCCAGTCTGGTGATTCCTGTACAGGCGATACAACCGCGGACTTCGGTCTCGTCTGTTTATTTCATCTTCAACCTCTGTTCTCCCTAAAGCCATTGTCAAGGCGTTTACAGAATGCATCTACGCTTCACTACGCCAATAGTGCTAATGATGCCATTCAGATGCCGCTACTTGCCGAAATACAGCCTGTGGAGAAGATTCAGACTGTATCAACCGTGCCACCAAGATGGAATGTTTCGGCGACTGTGGATGTGGTGACAGCTGCCAGAATCAGCGATTTCAACGACGAGAATACGCCAAGGTATCGGTCATTAAGACGGAAAAGAAAGGCTACGGCCTACGTGCAGATTGTGACTTGCGTCCCAACGAATTCATATTCGAATATATTGGTGAAGTAATCAACGAACCGCAGTTTCGTCGCCGAATGATTCAGTACGATGAGGAAGGTATCAAACACTTCTATTTCATGTCTCTCAACAAGGGAGAGTTTGTTGATGCGACCAAAAAGGGCAATCTGGGCCGCTTCTGCAACCACTCTTGCAATCCAAATTGCTATGTGGACAAATGGGTTGTCGGAGAAAAGCTTCGTATGGGAATATTTGCTGAGCGATATATCAAAGCCGGCGAAGAACTGGTGTTTAACTATAATGTTGATCGCTATGGTGCTGACCCACAACCATGTTATTGCGGCGAGCCCAACTGTACAGGTTTTATCGGCGGGAAGACTCAGACTGAGCGCGCAACTAAACTGTCCCATGCGACAATCGAAGCTTTGGGAATTGATGATCCAGACGGATGGGATACTGCCGTTGCAAGACGACCTCGAAAGAAGAAGGCTGGAGAAGACGATGAAGAGTACGTGGATAGCTTACAGCCTAAATCTTTGGACGAGAATGGTGTCACAAAAGTCATGGCTGCTCTTATGCAGTGCAAGGAGAAATGGATTGCTGTCAAGCTGCTTGGTCGCATCCAGCGCTGTGAGGATGAACGAGTCCGCCACAGGGTAGTGCGGATGCACGGTTACCAAATATTGAATTCCCAACTAAACACCTGGAAAGATGATTTCAATGTCGTGCTCCAGATCCTCGATATCCTGGATAAGTTCCCAAGACTCACTCGGAATAAGATCATTGATTCCAAGATCGAGGGAACTGTCAGCCCACTCCAAGAGTGTGATGACGAGCGAGTTGCAGAGAAAGCGAAAGCGTTGCTTGAAATATGGTCTGCGCTCGAAGTTGGCTACCGCATTCCGAGAATGAAAAGAGATCCGGCGGCCGTTAATAACACACCTACTGCCAACCATTACGAGCGTCGGGAGACGGCGAAAGACGACCGCAAACCTAATTCGTCTAAATCAAGGTCAAGGTCCCGATCTCGGTCACGGTCTGTGGATGTCACTCGAAATGCCCCTCGTGGCCCTGCTGCTCTTACAAGAGGTGGCGGGAAAGGGCATATGCATTCTTATCGTCCAGGCCAGCGGCCATTCCGTCGGCCGTTCAATCCCCTTCCAAAAGGATGGTTTGCTGCAGAATCTAATGGAAGAACCTATTATTACTCGGCTACTGGGGAGACAACATGGTCAAGGCCAACTGCGCCGGCGGTGCAACCACCCCCGCCACCAAAACGCGAATCAAAGGAAAAGACACTGCAGGATATTATTGATGGTATCATGAATGCCAAGGAGAATACACCAAAGGCGAAGGATAAATCTGCGACGCCGGCCACTCCGGCTGACGCGAAGATACCGGAGAAGAAAGAACACAAAGAGAAATGGCGATCCTACAGTGAAGAGAAGCAAAAAAAGTTATATGAGAACACTGTATGCCGTCCATCTCTCCGTGCTACTTATCTCGCAGTACTAATGGATTGTAGCTCTTCCCGCATGTGAAGTATATTGTTGATAAGTTCAAGCATAAGCTTCCAAAGGACGATTTGAAGCGCTACGCGAAAGAGGTATGCCTCAGATTTACCCCTTCTGGCACGTGGGAATCGACTAACATGGATATTGATTAGGTCGCCAAAAAACTAGTGAACTCTGATTTTAAGAACAATCGCGTCGAAGATCCAACGAAGATCAGCGACAAGCAGGTCAAGCAGGTTAAGAAATACTGCAAAGAATACTTCGATAAAGCGGTCGCCAAACACCGGGCCTACGAAGAAAAGAAGGCAGAAAGGAAGTCAAAGGGATCTGTTAAAGCGACAACTTCTGCTACGATAGATAAAGCGGAAACGACTTCAACCAAGGCACCGCCACAATTTGACGGTGCTGCAGAAACAGGAGACGAAGATAGTGACGTCCAGTTATCCGATGCGGAGTATGAAGACGGCCAAGAAGAATCTTCTCATCACAGCGGCCTCAAGCGAAAGCGTACAGACGACGAAGACTTTGAGAATGACCACGAAAACGGCGGTGTTTCCCCTACTAAGAGACAACGATCTGCCTCGCTACCGATCATTCCACCCCCTCCGCCTCCAATGAGTCCAAGTAACCTCGTTCTAGACGATGGATCTCGAGAAGCCCTCAAACGTCAACGAACCGAAGGCGCCGAAGACGACGAATATGGTGACTCTACCATCTCATCTGGGAAGCGGCAAAGATCCGAAACTCCTCCGCCGCCTCCACCGCCGCCACCTCCGGCGGATATTCCTCCCGAGAACATCGAGAGCGAGAATGAGAATGACAAGGACCAGGAAGAACTACAAGACTATGACGTGCAGGAGGCTAATTGGGGCAAAGAGGATAATATTGCCATCCAATCTCCTTCACATTCACCATTCCCGGCACAGTCGATATCCAACCACAGCAACACTGCGCGTGAGACAGATTCTCATTCTTAACACCTTTTTTTTTTTTTTTCGAATAGTGTCTCGCGTGCAAGTCGATAATATTTTTGCTCATGTACATCTCCTTCAATACATTTTCCATTCTTATCATCGGTTTTTTGTCCCATATCAATTGCTTTCTTTTTGCCTGGACTTTTTTTCCCTTTTAGCGGGTCATATCAAGGAGGTTCGATCCATGTTTGGGAGGCGTTTTGATTTTAAACCCCATCGCGAGGGTTCTCCTTTTTTTTAAAAAAAAGAAAAATCCTCTCCAGTAGGAATAATAGAGAAAACAGCCTTTCATGAGGAGCAGTTGTACGACGTTTATTAATTTCTAACCCGAGAAAAACACGAAGATGCCGTTTTTAGACAGGTTCAACATCAGATTTTCGGTGTTCTTCCGTCTGGGGACACCTGATCTTCTGCAGTCATCAAAATAATGCTATCATAAATAGTCATTTCCGTCCAAAACATATCAAGCAAACCCCTCCGGATGCTCCTTTATCAGTAAAAGCTCTCCACCAAAGTCTCCTTAGTCACATTTCCTAATCCCTGGCCCGCTGCCTCGCCCAGCCTAAACACACTCTCCACGACACTCAGCTCGGTCGCCGTTGTATCTAGTCCAGTCACAGCGAGCCAGTCATTAACCACCATTCCAGCACCAACGACCGCAGAGCCGCGATTTACACTGCCTGCAACTAAGGGTACCTGGAGTAGGGACGAAAGTTCGTCTTGATCTTGGATTGGGGTTTTGGGGTGAACGATGCCGCCTTGGTTGGAGAGGGCCATGTAGGAGCCTGTTAAGACGTTGTCTGCGATGGTCTGGCGGAAGACTTCGACACCGAGGACATCCGATATTCTTTTTTTTTGATAAGTTATTCGTTAGCAAAACTTTCCCTTTATCCTTTTTCTTTTTCTTTTCTTTTATTTCTTTCTTTCTTTCTCTTTTTTTGAGGAAGAGGAGGAGGAATGCATACATTTCTTCAGTTTCTCGCTCTAAATCCGGATGCACAAGGGCAACGTGATCGTTACAACATATGACATTACCGAGGGCCGATAATCTTTCTTCTACCCGCTGTATCTTGACGGAGTCTGGGATCGAATTTCGGAGATGCTGAAGTTCTTGATCTGTGGTCGTGGTAGGAACGAGGAGACCTTTACGGTTTCTAGAGAGCGGGAAACAGTCAAATTAGCCGGCGTTCCCTTTTCCTTTTTGTCGGATTCAAGGACGGTTTGAGAATAATAGAGTGTGCTTACCCAGCTGTTAATCTCCCAACGATCCTTGTACCTGCGATTGTGGCATGGCATATGGGGATGACATCTTGCAATTCGGCCTCGAACACACTGTAAAACCGGAACTCACGTATTAGCCATCTGGTTTTCTAAAAGGCTCCCTTACACTGGGCTCCACGACAAGTATCCAGATATCGCCATGATAACATATTGTTTCAAACGCTCAACAGGTGTGCCGTTGCATAGGTAACCTTCGGTGTCTCGATGCAAAAATATCAAGTCGGTGGTCATATTCGTCTTCCCCCCATGGCTCTTCGTAACCTCACAGGCACCATCCTATGCCTAACTAACCATTCGCTGACCACTCGTCACTTCTCCCGTCTTTTCGATCAACCAGACCAGAGCCTCCGAGCTCTTTTAGATATCACTAGGGCCCAGCGGTCGTTCGGGTGACCATATCGCCTCGGACCCAGCACCCGCAAAGAAACCCCAAGTGGAAAATTTCAAGAGGAGCAAAAAAACGGAAAAGAAATCTCGAAACAAGGGCACGTAGAGGGACCAACCTGTAAAAATTCTCCGATGCGCCAATCGCTACGAGAGCGTAGGAATTTGTCAATGTCGCAAAGACACCGACCCTGCGGGGCAAGAGAGTGACACCCTGTCAGCGTGCATGTTCCCCGCGGAATAAAAACGCAAGGCGAAAAAGAAAGAAGATAGATTCCTCTCCCCCCCTCTCAAGGCCAGAATACCATCTGTAGTAGAGGGAGCAGAGAAAGGAAAAAGGCAATTTAAAAAAAAAAAAAAAAAAAAAAAAAAAAAGCATGCGGCGGGGGAAGAAGAACTCAACTCGTTCGAATTCTCAAACTGTGCGCGCACAGCCATGGCTTGTATGATTTTCTGGGACGCGTGTAGAAGTAATTTTTGAAGTCTAAGTGGAACAAAAAAGCGACTGCTTGATTGTCTATATTTATTTCGTACACGCGAATGCGTCAACAGGACCAAATGATGCAGATGAGTGACAAGCGAAGAAGCAGAGGAAGAAGAATGAAGAAGAAGAAGAAGTGGTGGGTTGGACGCGAGCTGGCTGGGAGGAGCGGGGCGACCACAGAAACGAAACGTCGAAGCTCTGCGAAAAAAAACTGATCCGTTGAGCGGGAATCTACATATCCTCTCGTCGCTCAAGAGGGTATTTAAAGCACTTCAGCTAGTCTAAGTCTACCATCTGCGGGCCCGGTTTAACTACCGACTCTGGTCGAAGCTCCCAACTCACTCCTTTGTATTGAATCATGAGTCACTCACGATCCACGCTGCGGCCTCTCGACGCAGCTCAGCAATGCGACCCTTTGCGCTGGACACGAGACCGGCCGCGGTCAAAGAGGAGTCAGCGGGAGTCAGCGTGAGCAAGCAAAACTTGGCGTTCCCCGTGCGAGTCACATATATAAGGTATGTAGCTGGATTACACTTGTTCAGCTCGCTGCTCGCCGACGGTCCTCTTCACATCGTCAAATAGCTTCTACTAGCCCATCATATTAATCCCTGATGCTTAGCAGCTCCAAAGCTCTCAGGCGGTATGATAAAGCTGATTCCTCTGAAATACGAGTATTTTTTTTCTGTCCCTTCTATCTGCACCCTTTTTTATTTTATTTTTTTTTTTTTTAACATTTTCGAAAAGCTTTTCTCCTATCCAGCGGACTAATCATTTTCAAAACGCAGCAGGTAGGTAGATACATACACACACATATACACATGAGAGAAGTCTAGCGGCAAACCCATGCCAATTCGCAAAATAAAGTCCCATTCCTCAAACTAGCCCTTGTATGCAACCCGGCCTTCTGTTATCCACCGGCCTTGGTCCCGCTCGGCCAAACACAAAGAAAGGCGAAACCAAATGCAATAGAAATCGACGAGTCATCGCAATCATGTACATGCATTCTCAAGCCTTTTAAGAAAGGGAAAAAGAAGAAACCTCAAAGCCCCAGTCCAATCAAACCAAGGAAGGCCATAGACAATCTCATAGTAGTACAAAGCAGTACCAAGGAGGGGGGAAAGAAACGAATATTCCTTTTTCCTGAAAATAAAAATGAGGGATCGGGGAAAACAACGAGGAAGAAGACCATATCATACTGTACAGAAGCAGGCACTCCCAAGTGGCCTTTTTTTTTCCCCCCGCTGTTTGTTAATTCTTTGCACCTCAAAATTTATACCGTCATCATAAGAAGCAAAACAAAGACATGTCCTAAACAACGTTTTCTTCAACGTTTTCTTCTCATCGCACCGTCGACCTCAGATCAAACCCGACCCCAAGAACTCGACAAATTACCTCCCGCATTCTAATAGCGCGGCGGAGGTGGAAGGCCCTGGTGCAACCCATGCTGCCCATGCGGACCCTGTGGAGCCTGTGACGGGTGCAAAGGCTGTGGAGGTAATGCTTGATGCGGTCTGGGTGGCGGAGGGGCAGAGTGCGGATGATACGGCGAATAATACTGTGTCGGATACATCGAATGCTGATGGTAAGGTCCCGGTGGAGGAAGTGGAGGGGGAGGGGGAGCGTGAGCGTAACCCACCGGTGGACCTGGCATGTACTGCGGTAGGAGGGGCGGTGGGTAGGGACCCGATTGAGATGGTCGATGAGTCTGATGTCCTGCTGGGGGAGGCGCGTGAGCGGGACCTGCTGGATATCGCAGCCCCGGAGGAGCGGGCAGGTGCTGCGGTGCTGAGGAAAATGGATCCGGGAGCCTAAGCTGCTCGCTCAGTTGCTCGCGAATTGGCGGAAGTCCCTGCGGTGCTGGCCTTGCGGCAGGGAGCAGTGGTCGAGGGAGAGCGGGATATGATCTCGACGGAGCACCGGCGGGTGGCTGCTGCGGTTGCTGCGGCGGAGGTGGCACCTGGTACTGTGGTGCGTAGTACGGCTGATGTTCCGGAGGGGCGGGCAGAGCCTGTGTTGGCATTGGCTGTGGCAGGATTGCCCGGTGCATCGCTCTCGGTGGGAGCTGTTCGGAATACTGTGGCCCCATGTATGGCTGTGGAGGCAGCTGAGAAGTTCGCTCAGTAGGGACACCCGGATGCTCAGCAGAGATATGACCAGCCGTGGCGCTTGTGGGCAGCTGCGCGTCTACTGCTCGATGACCAGTATCCACGCTCGACACCTCCGTGGAGCTCTTCAAGGCGATCTCAGCAAGCGCATTCAATGCATTTGCTGACTCTGGCTTTGTTGTCATCTCCGCCTCTTCTTCTTCTTCCTCCCCCTCTTTTCTTTCGTCCTTGGTTGCACTCCTACCTTCCGCAAGCTCACACGCATCGGCGAGGGCAGACATGAGACGTTGGAACCTTGGATCGCTGAATCGAGGACGATTGCTATCTCCCTCAGCGGCTTCGTCTTCCGTATTCTCGTCGTCCTCGGCCACGGCTTCCTTGTTCTTCTTCTTAGCTTCCTCACGCCGTCGCTTTTGCTCTTCCTTGTCCCGCTTGGCTTCCTCGTTCATGTCTTTCAGTAACGCGAAGATGTCTCCACCGATCCTGGCTCTCTGCACAAAGTCATCCCATCCGCTGTCGGCACGCTCGTAGAGCGCTGCTCCACTGGGATTTCGAATGTGAGAGCTGTCGAAGCCACGGACGGATTGGTGGGCGACGCGACGATTGACTTTCGAATACTCCACGTCGGATTCTTCGGTCTATAAAAGCAGAGGCTGTCAGGAAGGCAGTACAACGCTATCTAGATCGGATTATATTTACCTCTGTATGGTCTTCATCGCCCTCCTGGCGGCATTGATCGAGGTATTGAAGGAAGCTTCCTTGTGCAGCGAGAATATGCTCATCTCTGACCGACTCGACCTTCTCCTGCCCGAAAGTATTAGAATATGCACCATAGATCGAAATGGGGAGGGCAGGAACGGGTTTTAAACGTACCTTGAACGCTGACTTGATCCAATGATCGTATGCCTCAAGGGTATTCTTCTCGCACTCCACCTTGAGCTCATACTCCCGGTTGATGATGGCCTTTTTCCTGCCAAGCCTCTCTTGCAGGTCGTCGAGCACTTCTTGATACAACGGGGTTTCCATGTGAGCCTTGGGGTCTTTGACGAGGCAAGCCTCCGATCGGTTGGCCAGCACAACAAGAGCAGCGCGCTGGGCCGATGCGACTCTCCGGAAGGCGTGATGCAGCTCTTTCTGCCGGTCTCTAAGTTTCTTGACAGCAGCGCTGGCTGACGGGGACAAGTTTCGGTCGTAGAGGTGCAACTTGGGGCCGGCTTTCCCAGCGCCAGCAGCTTTGCGACCCGTGGCCGCTTTTCTTCCTTTGCCTTTACCGCGCGGCCTGCCGCCTCCACGAGCTCGGGTGGTAATAACCGGGACAGTGCTCGCAGAGAGATCTGCTGCTTCTGACTGGGTTGCTAGCGGAGACATGGACATTGCGGATCGGGATACTTCATTTCCAGCGGGAGTCTCGATATCTGTGGATTGACCGGTTGGCAGGTCTGTTGACAAGGTCAAGGCAGGGACAGACCTGGGAGGCTCGGCTTCCTCATTACCATGCGACGCAGTCTCAAGTACTTGATTTTCATCGGACTGTTCCCGCTTAGGACTTTTGATGGACTGTGAGACTTCAGGGACTTTCGTTTCTCGGTCGCCGGGTTGCCTGGTTCTTGGGAACCCATAGCTGTCAACGCCGTTTGACTTGATATCCGCACTAAAACCAGCATTTGCTTCTAACCAATGGCCCCGCAAAGAAGCAAATCCGTGGGACACGATTTCCGGGATAGCTGGCTCTCCTGGAAGCGACTCATGGGAATGGTCAAAGGATGTCAGTGGAGGAAGATTGGGCTCCATAGACGCCGCCTTTGGCAACTGCTCCGCGGCATTTCCGACGTTCGGCGACGGATCTGTGGCGCGACGCTTTGAAAGGATGCGTGCAGACTGTCGAGTAGAGCGGGGAACCTGGGCTCTGGCAAATTGTTCTGCTAGTAAGATTTCCTCTTGCGTTCTTCTCTTCTTTCTCGCTGGGGTTTGGGGCTGAGAAGAACCGGGACTGCTGCCGTCGCCGTTGGCCTCAAGGCCTCCTGGCCGACCGTTGCTCTGTTGAGCTGGCTTGGCGCTAGTGTTCTTCTCAGGAGTAACAGGAGAAGATGACGGAGAAGTAGCTAATCAGGATTTGTAAGCGACGAGGATCTTTGTATGTTCCGGTGCTGGAAACGGAACTTACTCTGCATTTGTTGGGTGGTGGTCTTCACTGGGCTGACATCTGCGGGTTCTTGGGATGTGCCATTTGGCTCGTGCTCGTCTTCTAGCTTTCGTTTGACACCAGCCATTCTGACCGCCTGCAAGAGCAAAAGTAGGGTGGTTAATATGGGAAAAAGTTTCAACCCTTGTGAGTAATAATGTGCAGGCAAGAATGTAAGTATGGTATGTATGTACGGAGTAGGTAGGTTGGGTAGTATGTAGGTAGCGACAGGGCCAGCAAAGGGAGTGGAGTCAGGAAAGAAAAGGGAAGGGGAAAAAAAAAAAAAAAAGATTGAGAAGAGAGTGTGAAGGAGAAAGAGAGGGAGAAAGAAGAAAATTGAAGAAACAAGAAGTTGAAGTATGAAGACAAAGAAAACAAAAAAAAAAAAAAAAAAAAGAGAGAGAGAAAGGAACAACTTGGGTATCAGTGCAAAATTGTGATGTGTTGGTGGTGAATGCGCAAAGTAGTTTACAAACGCCGAGTTGGCGGAAGAACCCAGGCCAAGCAAGTTGATCTCCACAGGATGACGGGTTGATCGGGCAGGGAAGACAGCAACAGTGGAGGGACGGAGGCGATGCGAACTTCAAAGGACACGGTCGCGCAGTCGATGGGAGGGAAGAATCCGACGATGATGAGAGGGAGAGGGAAGATGCGGTGGGTGAAGCATAAGGAATAATTGGAGGAGTTGGAAGCAAGCAAGTAGACAGGTAATAGTTTCAGCAGTTTAAACTAAAACTAGCTGTCCGCTTCAGAAGAAGAAGCAGAAGAGAGAAGAATGGAAAAAAAAATCATTCGAACTGACCTTGAGCCCGTTGTGATTGGCTGGCCCCAGATAAGGTGTGTCCAGTGTTAAACTTTGCCTGACCGGGATGATCGATGTATGGCCGGTGATGCTGCTGCAGGGAGGAAGAAAGATGGGGTAGATGGACGCACGGTGAGAAGTGGGAAAAAGGCGGCGAGCGGAATGGCCGGGATGTGAAGAAGAGAGTGGAGAGCAGTGTGGATGGGAGAGGGAAGTCTTTTGCGGGTGGTGTGTAGTTTTAGTTGAGGGGAGAGAAAAGACAGAGAGAGAGAGAGATTGTGTGTGTGTGTGTGTGTGTGTGTGTGTGTGTGTCTGTGTTGCTTTGGTTGTAACTGTAAATTGGGATGCAGATCGCGCGGTGTGTGTGGAAGGGCGAGATCGCGAGAAGGGGGGAAGAGAGGGTTCACTTTGACAGCAAGCGGGCAAGGAACAGGAACACAACCAAGAGCGTTCAGCTTCTTAACGTATTGAGTTATGTGTTCCAGTTGGTTTGCCTCTGGAGATCGATGAATCGTCCAGAGCGTTGATGGATTGGATTGAAGAGTATAATCGTGTGTTGTTGTAGTTGTAGGAAGAAAAAGTCGCTCTTTTTTTTTCGCAGTCTCCCTCTCTCTCTGTCCCCTTGACTGGTCGACTGACTTGCATAGATCCCCGTGACGTGACGATGGGGAAGGGAATTTTCTTGTTTTGGAATTTTGCTCCGGCTCGCTCCAGCGGCGGCGGCGGCAAGGTTGGCCCTCTCTCGCTCGTTGGGTCGACGCGGCACTAGCTCTCGAGTTTAATTTCTCCCTCCCTCCTGTCTGTCTTGTCTTGTCGGTTGCTTTTGTGGCTCTTGCTCCACTCGAAGCCAGTTTTTGGGCCTGCGTGTGTGTAAATCCGGCCCACGAGAACTCGCCAGATATGTACAGAGAACGCCAGTAACAAGGCGACGGTGAGTGGACAAGTTTCGTTGCATGAAAGTATGAATGAGGCGATTCTGGGTAGGTTGGTGAGTTACATCCTCTGTGCAGGGGCAACAATGGGCGGTTGTACTCCATAGCTCCAGACGTTAACCAAACTATCCCCACGTCGGTTGTTGTAGTTATTATGTGCATTGTAGTACCTGCAAGCTAACTACATATTGACACAAACTTGTTGGCAGTTTGAACTCAGCTTGCTATCGCACCAGGACTTACAAGAGAAGTCGAAATAAAGAGCCCGGCGACAAACAATGGCAGAGCATATCTACATCATTGATACATGTAAACGGACCTATCAATGTATCCATAGCGATGACAGCTTTATACGTTGATCTCCCGGCACTACAAAGTATTGACTGGCTCTGGGGTACTCCGTGGCACTGTCGAGGGGAGGGGAAAAAAAAAAATAAAATAAAATAAAATAAAAAATATCAATAAATCAATAAATTAAAACGATAATAACAATAAATATAGCGCCATGGAGCCAATCTTTCTGCGGATCATGATCGACGAGACTGGAGAGTAGTGATGTCTTCGACTCGGTCCAAATGGCGCTACGGGCTTACCAGGTAAACCTCCTCCCCCCCCAAAAAAAACTGTCAGATGAGAAATTGGTTTCGGAGACATACCGCTGCAGATGGATGGCTCGGGCGAGAGGCGACGGCAGCTGGACGGCGACTTATAGTTACCGCAAACCAAGATTTTCTCTCCTTGCGTTCAACTCCCCTGGAATGCCATGTAGGATATATGTACTCCGTATAGACAAGTAAAGTCGCTTTTTTTTTTTTTTTTTTTTTTTGGATAAATATCTCAGACAATATATCAACTCCATCCGACATGCCCAAAAATAAGTCTGAATCCTGGAGATACGAGATCGTGTTGTCCCTTTGAGCCTGCCATCCCCACGCTGCATCCTTCGTCCATCGCTACAGCTGTGGTTGGTTTGGTTGGTTGGTTGGTTGGTTGTGCGAGGAGAGTTAACTCGCTAATTTACGCGGTTGGATTGCGCCGGCATGTCTCCCACCCGCGCGGCGGCTCAGGCTCCAGTTTTCATCCCGCAGCATCTGGCGAGCTTTTTTGTCTTCCCTTACTCCCCCTTTTTCCCACCTCTTCCTCTTCTTCTTCTTCTTCTTCTTCTTCTTCTCTCTTCCAGCGAGACAACGCGCGTGGCTGCTGCTTCTGCACGCAATCCGTTTAGGGTTTGCCAGCCCCATTGTTTTGGCTTTGCGCTAAAAACGTGGCTGAACCTTGCTCTGATCTGCTTACCTCATAACCCTGCTGATGTAAGCACATCTCGCTCGCCAATCTGTGTCCTAGAAAGAAGAGGAGTAGAAAAAGCAGACGGTGAGCGGTGGAGAAAAGGCGGGCAGCCGCAAAAAGGAGTTCTCGCAGGTTCGTTGGGGGGGATCGAGTTGCTGGAGGGCTGGATGGTGGTGTCGTCGTTCTTTTCCCCCTCCCCTCTGTTTGTGTGTTGACAGACCGACTTTTGCTCACTTCGCTGAATATCTGTGGTTGTTGTCACTCCCTAGTAGCCTCGCTCAATCGTTATTATTTAGGGATAGCAACTCGCGATAGCGCGGGGTTACCAATTGCAATGTAGCAAGGAGATTAACTCCCTCTGGAGAGTTAATATCATTCCTTCTGAGATTCCATCCGCTTAGGTATAATGTAACTACATCAGGGAATATGTAACCAACCATACAGTAAGAAGCGTGGTCATCGACTCTATGCGCTATGACTCCTTCAGATCTATAACTATATATTACACCTCTTTATCAATAATACTACTAGGATTAACTAGGTATGTAACCTGGCTGCGGAGGATCAGCTTCCTATCATCAATTACGTCGATACCCCGTCTTCATCTTTTGTTCAATACTCGGTCCTTCTACGGAGTATATCTATGAACAAAACCCCTCGAACGTTGTCCTTTTTTTTTTGGCCCTTTTCTTACCCCCTTCCAAGTGGCTTGCTAATAGTCAATTCATATTTCCCGGTCCTGAGCCGCTGAGGGCCAATCGGAGATATTGTGTTAACCCCCTGGTAACTGATGGAGAAAATGTATCATCGAAACCAGGTCTTAATTTTGAGTTACCTGTCGGGTGGAAATTTGAGAAAGCGGGAATCAAGGGAGAAAGAAGAAGGAAAAAGAAAACAAGAAAAAAGAAAAGAAGAAAAAAGAAAAAGAAAAAGGAACAACGCCCCGAGGGTGGTAGGCCGGTTGGAAATGGAGTTCGCGTGCAACATTCCCCGCTGCCGTCTGATGAAGCCTGTGTGACGGTGCCTGAGCTTCAGTTCGGATGTATACATGCATGTGTGGACAGGATATATGATCTGGAATCATTATTCATAGTAGCATGTCCTTAAAAAAAAAGAAATTAAATTATAATTGTTATGGGGGCATTAATGATACTGGTGCTCAAACTCCGTGCTCCATACGTGAGTGCATATTTATACATACTCCATGGATGGACCGTGGTACTCCGGATATAGTTAGGTATCAATTGGTAACAGATTAAATGAGTCGTGGAGAACAAATCTCAAACAGAACCGCTTTTGCCGGGAAAGTTGAGCCGAGTGGAAACAAAAACAATCCAAGAACCCTCAAAAAGATCGCATCAACAGAGTACTCCGTACAAATACAGCAAAACGCGGAGGGGAAAAAGCAACTTGGAGAGTAAGTTAAAGAGAAAAAACCCCATCACCGGCAAGGCGGCATGGAGCTTCCACGCCTTCCCGATCTCCCGTGGTGTCTCCTGCTCCCGTAATCCTGGAGGCTAGTTCGACTGCCACCATCCGGGCCACATCCATATATCTGTGGATGTCCGATCGGCGACGGGCGTCTTATTCCGTGTAAATCAGCCTCCCGCCTCTCTTGCGCTTCCTCGTCTTCTTCGTAGGGAACAAGTAGACTTCGCGATCTTGGCCGGGAGAGCGACGATCGTGATCGTATCTGGCGTAATGTATGCATTGAGATCGTGTGACCCGCGAGCGGGGAGGCCGTAACCGTCGTTCCGGGCATGGCCAGTGGAGGGGCGGATGGGCTGTCGGAGCGGAATAGGGGATGGATATTATGTTCGCCTGCGTCGGTGTTGCGCCGAGAGCTCGCGACACTCAAGGCCGGTGAGGGTGTTCTGATGCTCCTGCAGTCCGATATAATGGGACGTTCGAAAAGGGAGTCTGGGGACTGGTCTCGAGAACGGCTCCGGGACTGGCTTCGCGAATGACGGTGGAAGCTTGTCGTCGACGGATGAGTGGAGTCAAGCTTCACCAGCTCGTCATGAAGACCGGGGACGCGCCGCGAAAATCTTCGGATCCAAGTCTGAGAATCGAGAGATGCTCGATTTTCCCTTTCATTTAACGTCTCGGGGCCGGACTCCAAGTCCTCGGATAGGCGAGATAGTCTAGCTTTCGATAACGTCGATGATTCTGAGCTCGCCTTCTTATGGATTCGGGGGTCGTGCAAGGACTGGCGCTGCTCGGTGGAGTGGCGCAAAATTTCGGTCTTATCGTCATCTAACCTTTCGGGAGCCCTTGTTTTCACCCTATTGGTACAAGGGAAATGCCAATTCGGCTCTTGTCGACTGATTTTTCGGTCCAAATATAACAAAGCCCCAAAGCACACAGCCTGTAAGAAAGCTGTCACTCCCCAAAGGGGACACCAAAGCGAAAATAACCTTCGAACTTCTTTTTGCTGCTCTGTATTTTCAATATCCCCAAGCCGTGTCGAGCTAAATCCGAGAGCCATCGCTACAACCATAGCCATTAAAAAGAGGATAAGCCCTAGTATGATGAACAACCGGGCTTCCAGCTTTCTCCTAAGGCGGATACCCTTCCTGATTCGCTGTCGGCATATGATGATCAAAACTCCTTGAACCCCGCAGCTCAGCGCGCAGCCCGTTACACTGGCAACCTGAAGACCCCCCAGATCCGGCAGTTCTCGACATATCGCTTTCGCAAAGATGCCATTTGCTACCGTGGATAAAAGACTGAATACGGTGGATAGGGTACCGGTAACATATATCAGTCCTATCCTTGCCATTGTCGGCTGGAAATCTGAGGAAGTGGGCAATCTGAAAAAGGCCTAAAATTATAGGGACGGAATGAAGCTCAGAGATATGTGTTTGGAGGTTGCGCTTTTAAATTTCTCCTAATCCGACAGGATGTAGGGTACCCTTCCCCCAAACGACCTCGCCAGACAAGTATGGAAAATCAATTTCAACAATGCATTTCACCGGGAAATTGTATGTCAAAATACGCAAATATTCAAAGCGGACTGCCGCACAATATGCCGGTAGGAATCGTGTGCCTTATTGTGGCGTGGCGACTTGGAAACGCGCAGATAACTTCGACGAAACGGGCTAAATACGGAAAAAAAGGAACCTGCCTTATAAACGAATGGAGAAGATAGTGGTTGAAGAGAGTGTTAGGGGAGCAATATCCAAATGTGAATGAGAAGCCGCCTGCAACTGACAACCAGGTCAGTGGAATTGGATAGAATAAGAAAGGCAATGAGGGTAAGGATCCCATTGCCATGTCAGGCCCATGAATCATCTGTCAGCTATATGTATCCAGCTCCACAGTAATTATAGCTGGGCCAGCCAAGAAGAGAATTCGGCCTGTCGAGACGGCGTGCCCTGACTATCCGAAGCTGTAACAGCCGGACTGCTGCGCCAGAGCACGCGGTGTCGCAGAGCCACACAGGGTCAGGATCCTTGACTGGAAATATCGGAAATTCAATTGTGACTCTTATTGTCATCATTCACAATCAAAAGATCCAGATTGTTGGATGGTATTTCTGGGTTGGTGCTGGAAACATCGTCCGAGAACACCGCCCAGCTTCGGCTCGCCGACAGGGAGGCGGGAACCTCTAATTTCCGACTTTATGCCTTGCTGATAGGGGGTTCATTCATGTCTTGTCGGTACAGAATCCGGAGGATGTCCATAGATTCTCCAAGTTTGAGGATTGATCCGGTGATGTACCCAGCTGCCACATGGCGTGCATTAGGCTGGTTGCGTTGGTGCAACTTCGAATTTTGAGGAGTGTTGAAAAGCTGTGATGGACGAACATGTTCGTTTTGGGGGCGGTGCGTGGTCGGAAACAGCTGCAGATCAAACACCGGCCGTTTGCAGGCTCTTGGCTTCGTAACGGACAACCAATTGAGCCGGATCACCGTGTTCTCGAATCGTTGAAACCGCAACGCTTGCAAGGATGGGGGTTATCTGAGACGAAGCCAAAGTTTTTCTACGAACCAATGCTTCTGCGTCTGACAAAGAGCTCGTCCACAAGGAGCTCTTGTTTCTTAAACTCGTGTTTCTGGCACGGAAGCTCACTAACGAGTACCCACTACTCCGTACTCCGTACTCATTATGGCATACAAAAAGCCGTGCTTGCTTGCGTGAAGATGTCAATTCCCCCACACATTTCGAGCCAGCTGTTGGCTTCCTCGAGCAAAGATGAACTATGCCAAAGGCACATTCGCGAATTCAGTTCTCAAGAAAGCCCGAAGCTCACAAAGACCAGCTTGCAGCACTTCCGTTTCTGACACATATCCAATCCGAACATATCCTTTAAACTCTTCGCCAAAACATTTACCGCCCGGCACGAACATGACACCTTTTTTCTCCTGGAGCACATGGCAGAACGTGGCGTCGTCGATTGGTTTCCCATCCCTCGAGAACCTCACGAACGCGGTAGTGCCAGCCCGAGGCACCACCCACTCGCACACATCTTGATGCTCATCTATGAAATCTTTCAGTATAGCCAGATTTTTCTTTGCTAGATTGAGATTTCGATCCAAAAGCTTCTCTACATGAGGAGACTCCAGGGCAAATGCGGCAATCCGGTCATCCACCTGGCTCACGGAAATTGTGGTATAGTCTCGCGCGCTTGCGCAATCTTCGATGATAGCCTTGCTTACGCTCGCAATCCATCCAACCCGAATTCCGGCTAGCGCGAAGGCCTTGGACATGGATCCCGTGACAATGGACCGCTCGTAGCCCAAAGAGAGCAGGGAAGGCGGCCATTCACTTTTGTCCAAGGTGTGGAACAGCGGCCGATAGACCTCGTCGCAGAGGACAAACATTGAACCTTGTCTAGCGATATCGACAAGTCCTGTGAGGATGTCCTTCGAAATCAATGATCCGGTTGGGTTTTGTGGGTTGCTTGTGATGTTTGACCGTGGTTAGCAATCGTAGCCTCCTATGGAGCGAAATAAAACGGGAGCACGGAGTACCAACTTCACAATGATCATCTTCGTATTAGGCCGAACTAGGTCTTTCAATTCCTTGAGGTCAAGTTGCCATCCATCATCGCCGCTCGTCTTCCACAGACTAACCTCTGCGCCTAGCGACTCCGGCACCGAATACAGCTGCTGATACGTGGGATAGTGGCATATAACATGATCCCCAGGCTGAACAAGCGTATAGAGTAGTAAGAAATTTGCCTGGATTGCTCCCGACGTAATCAGAATGTTCTCAGGCGATACCGTTGTCGTTGAATTGCCCGTAGAGTATAGTTTAGCCAGATTCGAGCGTAGCTCCTCCGACCCACGGATCGCCCCGTATGTTAACTTTGTAGATGTCGAGAGCGGATTCCGCGACGGATCTTCTGAAAATGAACGGAGATCATCGATGGAGATTGATGCGCTGCATGTTTCTGCGATGTTGTATTTTGCCCATGTTTCGTATTTGTCCATCCACTATGATAACGGAATGAGTATTTATTAGTATATCGGGGTGTCTAATGGGCCTTACTTGCTCTACGGCGAAAGGAATGATTTGGACCATGGCTGCTATCTGATGGCTGGGAGTTGATGGCGGGGAGTTGATGGCGGGGAGTTATCAGCGGTCTGCGTCGGGTTCGGGTGTCACAAAAATGAACAAAACTTTAAGTCATAAACGTCCGGATAGCTATTTAAATATTTTCTACTCCGTAGTTCGTGTAGCTACTCGAACTCTCAATGGGTTGGTCACAGGGAAGCTCTCCTTTATTTCTTCTGGGAAGTTAATCTAAATATGCCCTTTTCGAGTCAGTCAGGTCGTCGAAACGACGCCCTGCCTTTGACAAGTCTTGGGCGTGCGGCTGATAAAAAGGAACAAGTTGGATAGCCCATTCCGAATTTTTAGTGCCTAGAATAGCTATCTCGAAAGCAAGGGAAATATAGAATGTTGTCAGTTTCTCACGATACAACTACCTGGCAGCATTGAATGGAGCGTTATCGAATGTTGGGCCTTTTACAATCAGTTTTAGATTAAGTCACTCATGGACCTTCAGGCCTCGCTGCTTTGGTGAGGTTAAGGGGAGAAACAGTTAGCATTGGATTAGATCAGACGCTTGACGCTAGGTATGCGAAGTTCGGATGCTATTCTTCCATTAGCCCGCCCCTCTCCTGATTGCATCCTGTGAGTGGCGTATGAGCCAACCAACTCGGATCCCACGGATCCTCCAAAACTCCAAGATGTCGAAATGCCAAAAGTTGGAGTGACCCATTGCCTTCATCCTGATAAGGATAACCCTGGCCATAATACCAATGCGTGAAACTCTCGCAGTTTTCTTCCTCACAATAGACAACCTCGCGGGCCTCCGCATCTTGGAATAATTCGGCACTACGGTTATAGTTTCTAGGTTCGGCATCTTTGCAATCAAGCACATCTCTATTGTATATATCGGTGATCCTAGGATCGTTCAGCGGCAGATGCGGGCAAATCCGGATATCGCTGTGGCTAGCCAAGCACTCTTCAATGTGATTTCGATCCGGAAGGCCCTCACCCTCCATAACGTCGCAGATATTGACGATGGTTAGAATTCCCATGCCGGGTCTGTCACGCGAGACAACAAAGTGATGATCAATGACTACACCGGAACCAGTGTCTCGTGGGAAACAGCACGCCTCTCTGGATGTCCAGCCATGATTGGAATACGGAAGCGATTGGCGTAACATCTTGTTCGTCTGTTGCGCATCCCGGAAGCTCAGAGAGTGGTTGGGACAAAGAGGGAATATTGGTATTGTCGAAACGCACCACCGCAAGAATGGCTGCTGTCGCAATTCGTCCGGCGGGAACATAGTTTCCGGATGGTCCGTTAAACAACCTCGACAGGCAAATGTACGGATGATCTGGTCTCTCTCAAGCAGGCAAAGTGTCTCAAAGCGCTCTACCGGGAAGAATTTGATGTTTTTCAGCCAGGTGTCGCTCAAGTGATAAAACTTATGGCATGTATATGCCAGCATTTTCGCACTGGCGGGCGGAAGATGCCGTGTAACTTCCCAGAGGAGCTCTAATGGGAGGCCTAGGAGATGGGGTTGCGTTGATTTAGCATTGTTGGTGTCTCTCAGTGACACTAGGCACTGCTCGGCCAATTCGAGGAAGAGGCGGCGTTGGTCTAAAAGAGAAAAGCGAGACATAACTGGCATATCCGCAGTATTCATATGCGAGGAAAGAAAAGGAACAGACCACGAGATAGTTGGAGCAGGACAGCTTGGTTATGAGATGAAGAAGACAGAAAGCATGGTCACATTAGGGTGTAAATATTAATGTCTCTGGTTATAAACCCCACCACAGCATTTTGACAAACTTGAAGAATTGCAGTTGCGATCCGACGGGCAAAACCCTTCAGATAGGCCTTGATTGTGTTTGATAACCTCCATGCTGGCTTTGTTCTCCGTGTTCAAGAGAATTTGGGCAAGGAGCATCGTGCGCTCGGTGGCGTTGAACCTATTAAAAGGTACTATTCGCCGTGGCTAATGCCGTGAAATATAACTCTTGCTCTGGGTAGCGAGGCAGTGAAGGAATTCTCCGACAACAATGACTTATTGCCTGGATTATCCTAACATATGTGACGGGAAGAAGGGAAGCGGAACTTGGAGCAGAGGGAGAAGGAGTTTTAAAGTTGGACTAACGAGCGCGATCAGGAATGGCGGATATAAAATATGAAACTCTCTGCCAAAAAGCCTAGCGACCAATGGATGCTATAATTCGAAGGCCAACAGACAAGAGCTGCGTGTGACTCCAAGGATATCGGACGCATTGGACGCATTGTTGTTTAGACTTGCAGCTTGGAAGGCCGCCTAAGTAGTTTGTTATGCAGTTGTATCGAGTTGCAGCATCCCCCCCCCCAAAAAAAAAAAAAAAAATTCAGCCGTCAACTCCATACTCTTTCCTTGGTTGAGGCCCCTCGATTTTATCACCATCAAGAAGCGAAGTTTTCTGCTTAGAAAATTCACCGAGGGTCACAAATGATATTTAGCGAGCCAACTCGACCGATTTCTTTGAATATAGAGGTCTTTGCGTTGGTGACGACTAGTCAGTACTTCCCGATGGCCGTTCACATTTCAACCTTACTCTCTGGTCGACGTCGTGGTGTTCGTAAACATGGGGCTTCAGATATCTAGATGCAAATGGATTCCATTTGTTTATTCGATCGGAGGGAACTCGGCTATTTTCCCTCGTTGCCTATCAATCTTGGCTGTGTGATGACGGCTTATCTTACCTTTATCATCGATAATTATGATTCACTTCCTGAGGTCGTAGTATTTTCGCCCGGCGCATATTACCACGGGGCATAATGGCGGCTTGGAGCAACCAATGGCGATGCTTCTGAAATGGTTATATATGAACAGGGTCCGCCCCTCGTTTTCCGGCATGTATGTGCACCTCTTAAATGTTACTCGGGAACAGGTGCCAGCGCGAATTGGAGCAATCTGTTGCGCACGATTTGCTGTGAGCAGAGGCCGCATCCGTCAAAGGTCTCGAAGTGACTATATTCGGATGAAAAGTGGTCCTTGACCGCTGATTTTGACAAAGCAAGCGATAGATTGGGTCTCTGTCATATTATTGTTAAAAATGATGTACTCCGTATGGAGTAGTGTGAGCGCTTTATTTTTGATGTTCTAACATCAACTAACCCCGTATGTGGCAGTTGCCTGGTTGCATGAACAATGTATATTTGTGGGTCGGAATAGGTGGCGACTGAGGACGAGGACGATCGAAGCCATATCTGACCAGAGGCATGATGGCCCGTCCTGTTCAAAATGGCAAGCTCCAGATAGACGGACTCTTGGATCGTCAATATATGGGCTCTGTACTCTGTATATAGGAATTTTGCATAGTTACGTATATCTAGGTTATGTCTAAGAGCTAAAATTCGCAAAGGGGTATCGTGCTTTGGCTTCCATGAGCCCAAATGCAAAAATTCTTTTGATACCACAGGTTAGGGGCATGTTAGGGGCATGTTAGGGGCGGGCTCGGGGCACTGAGGGGTAATCTCCCGGGGCTGTTGAGGGTCAAGGGATGCCGCGAGTTCCTGAGCGTGCTTCTCCAGGTCAGTTCCCCTCAGTCTTGGCGCAATGGTTCTGCTTATATAATAAGAGCTATCGATGATCTAGCTCTGATTAGGTTTAGCGTGGCGGCCTTGCTAGCGAGGGGCGCTAAGTGGACCAGACTGAAGTGACGAAAGAAGGCAGACGCCGCCTCATGAACTCTTCAAAAAGTGTCCTACCTTCCCACCACCTCCCGCCCAGCCGTCTTCCTTCATCTTTCATTTTGTGCCTGACACCTCAACCTGGTGTTCTTTCTCACCTCTGGAACTGCACTGGTTACCCATATACTACCCACATCTCCTGTATTCTTTGACTCTTCCGTCTCCTCCGCTTGCTTTTCAAGTCCACCTCACAAGCGACGCCACATCATGAAGCTCACATTCAGGGTGGGATACTAGTCTTTATATTTCACGGGCTGGGACAGCCACATACTAATATGTTGCTTTGCATCATAGGATTTAAAGCAGCAGAAGTTTACTATAGAAGCTGAGCCATCAGAGACGGTAAGTTCCAATATCTCAGCTTTGCCTGCTTGTGATACTGATGTGCCTGCCTAGATCGGCCAGCTGAAAGAGAAGATTTCCCAGGAAAAGGGCTGGGATGCTGCGCAACAGAAGCTTATCTACTCTGGTGGGTCATGATTTGAACACTATCTTAATTGATTGACTGGCTTCTTATTTCTCGCTGAAATCTAGGCAAGATCCTTCAAGATGTGAACACCATTGAATCATATAATATCGAAGAGAAAGGCTTTATAGTCTGCATGGTTTCCAAGGTATATACGGTGCCAATTACCAGTTGCGCTTCTTCTTCACAACCTGCTAATCCACTACCCTGTAGCCCAAAGCGCAGCCTGCCCCGTCCACTCCCGCCGGCCCTTCTCAGACACCAGCCACACCCGCGGCCCCATCGTCTACGCCAGCTGCGCCTTCTGCCCCCGCCCCCGCTACAAATGCTCCTTCAGCTCCCCCAGCGACGCCATCACCGGCAACTGCTGGAGCCACTTTCAATGACCCGTCGGCCCTCTTGATGGGTCCTCAGAGCGAAACAGCTGTTCAGCAAATGGAAGCCATGGGATTCGCTAGGGATGACATCCAAAGAGCCATGAGAGCTGCATTTTTTAACCCCGACCGTGCTATTGAGTATCTATTGAGTGTAAGTGTCATTTCGTTTTGTCTTTGGATTAAAGCATTGCTTGGGCCGTTCTTATTAACTCCGTCAGGGCATCCCGGACCATGCTGAACAAGAGGCTGCCCGCCAGCAAGCGCGCGCGACTGCCCCGTCCAATGCCGCAGCGCCCGCGTCTACCCAACCTGCTGCGAATACCGAATCCGAGGAACCGGTTAATCTTTTTGAGGCTGCGGCTCAGGCTGCCCAAGGAGGTGGTGGCGCACGTGGAACCCGTGGCGGAGCAACAACAGGAGAAGGCTTGAACAATCTCGAATTCTTGCGAAACAACCCCCACTTCCAACAACTGAGACAGTTGGTACAGCAGCAACCTCAAATGCTTGAACCGATTCTCCAACAAGTCGGTGCAGGCAATCCACAGCTTGCTCAACTTATCGGTCAAAACCAGGAACAATTTTTGCAGTTACTGAGCGAAGATATTGATGACGATGCACAGCTTCCACCAGGTGCTCATGCAATTAGTGTTACCGAGGAAGAGAGAGACGCTATTGAACGGGTAAGATACCATCTCAAGTGTATTCATGGCGCGCAAGTTTTCTAATTCTTTCATTACAGCTTTGCCGGTTGGGATTTTCTCGGGATGCTGTTATCCAGGCCTACTTTGCATGCGATAAAAACGAAGAACTTGCGGCTAATTTCCTCTTCGAGCAACCGGAAGACGAAGGCGATAACTAAAACAGTCTTATGTCTCATATCTCTAGGAAACCTCCATTAATGACCCACTTTCACCTCCCCTCACCTCCATGAGCACCCTCTATCCCTGCCTGTATGCTCTGCGCCTTTAAAGCAAGCAGCAGTTTATGAAATGAAATTGTGAAGCCCCCCGGCCGCTGGACTTTGTGGCATTTAATCCGTTGCTAGCTTTAGTTGTTGAGTACCAGATCATCATTCCAGTTATTTAGTGGTCGTGATTTATTGACTCAAGGACTGATGTTTCTCATGAGTTGAACATGAAGCAATTTTGACAGCTAGTTGTGCCATATTTCATTTTGTGTTTTCTGGTTTGGAGAGAAAATTGTAAAATGCTCGGGTAGCCCCCAGGGGTATTAGCTGGGGCATTAATTAACTGAGGGTTGCTCGCACTTATCAACTGAATCTTGATATAGTTTAAGTGCCATTATGTAGTTATACACACCTGTACTCTGTGTGGAGTAATACTGTACTTTCGGGCATACATCAAGAATGAACTTGTTTGGGTTCGCCTTGGTGCAGATGGGGAGCAACGTGGGAGCAGGTTGAACTCGCAAGGCCAGGGGTTCCTTTTGTTGCTTCACCTTCGCTTTCGCGTCTGCAGCACGGGGTAAATCTATTATTATTGTGTTGCAACACAACACCCATTTCAGTGGCTTGATTTTTTCTTTTCTTTGGAGCAACATCGTATTTAACAGCAATGCTGAAGCTGTTCTGCAGCACTGGTACCTTCAACCAGAGATCACCAGAGCATGTTTACTTGGCCACTTGTCCTGTCGCGTAACCATCCCAGCAAGAACAATGTGGAGACGAACCTATCTTATCTTGCTGGTTATTCGCATTTATTTTGCATTGTCGCCGAGCTACCTTCATCCTGATGAGAACTTCCAAGGTCCCGAGATTTTTGCTGGTGAGCATCTGCCTAGTCGTGAAGTGCACACCACTAGCCCCTTGCTGCTCTCTCTGTCACCATTGCTCAGCAATGATGGCGAATACCCTGTAGCTGATCTGCTAACATCACAGTTTGTAGAGCAAGTCTATTCGTACCCTGCGCACCTCACTTGGGAATTTACGTCGTCCAAGCCCATCCGAAGCATCTTCCCGCTATGGCTCAGTTACGGCTTGCCTATGACCGTCTTGAAGTGGTTCTGGACCGAAACCGGCTCCGGAAGTACGCCGCCATACCTGATATACTACGTGCTTCGCGGGACGATGTTCGGACTTAGCTTTGTGCTGGAAGATTGGGCTATACATGAATTGATTACTTCCCCGCGCCATCGTCGTGAGGCAGTGGTTCTGGTGGCTTCTTCTTATGTTACGTGGACATATCAGACGCATACCTTCTCGAATTCGCTGGAGACCTTGCTTGTAGCTTGGAGTTTAGTGGTTATTCAAAGGATCCTGGAGAATAAAGTGGGCTTTACTTCCATGCGCGCTCAGAATAGCCCCTGTGTTGTGACAACGTATGGAAAAGTTGCTGATATCCGATGTAGCAGCATTCCTCCGTACTGGCTTGTTCAATTCTTGCTTTTACAGTTGTTGCCGGCATGTTTAATCGAATTACATTTCCCGCATTCATTGCGATACCCGCGGTTCAGCTGATTCCCCATTTCTTTAAAAAGTACGCTTACATATGCTTGGAGATCGCACCTATATGGCAGACAGGCTAACGATGCTCCACAGGCCTTTTGCATTCGTTTCTCTCGCTCTCTCTGGAATCATCTTTTCACTGGTCGCGATATACGCTGATACGAGGTTTTACAGCTCTTCTCCAGTCTCAATTTCTGACATTTTCCGGAAACCGATTATCACCCCGCTCAACAATCTCCTTTACAACTCCGACAAAACCAACCTTGCATCTCATGGTCTCCATCCTCATTATCAACATTTCCTTATCAACGCACCGCAATTGCTTGGCCCCGTGTATGTCCTTCTAATTGCCTCTATTTTCTCCCGTTCGAGCCGGTCGAATTTCTCGCTTCTGAATATGAGAGCTCTCTCTGCCCTGACAGGCACCCTAATCCTGTCCGTATTCCCACACCAGGAATCCCGCTTTTTGATCCCTTGCGTTCCGCTCTTACTCACCTGCTTCCGATTACCGAATGCTCGCGTATTTCTTGTTACATGGATAGCGTTCAATAGCATCATGGGCCTCCTTCTCGGCGTTTATCACCAGGGTGGGATCATTCCCGCACAGCTTCAGATACCAACCATCATATCAAATTTGAATCCCGGCCTGGAGAAAGCGCCGGCTTCTCAAGAGACTGCGAATGTGTTTTGGTGGAAGACGTATTCCCCGCCGTTGTGGCTGCTAGGGGATGCCGCAAATATTACCATTAAGACTCACGATCTCATGGGAATACCAGGTCGTGATATGCTCGAGAAACTTGGGAAAACTGTACCGCGGTGCAGCGACGGGTCCATTCTTCGATACCCCAGATTCTCGGGGTCTAAATCCAATAATGATCGGCGTGTGGTCAATCCGACTCTGCTCGTTGCTCCGAACTCTGCTACTTTCCTTGATCAGTACGTGCGATCTGAGAATAAAGACGAGAGCCAGGACGATCGGTTGTCTTTGCAATTAGACCCTCTTTGGAGGTATGACTGCCATCTGCATCTTGATGATATGGACTTTGGCGATGATGGGATTTTACCCACATTGAAACGGGTGGTGGGCCGACGTGGGTTGAATGTCTGGCTTGTTACCAGAGCATGTGGGTAATCTAATTTATCTACTCTTTACGGATGCATATGTTTGGAGGGGATTTTTTACTGGTGCATTATCCATGATTTTTTTCGGATGAATTTGCAGATACCCCTGTTCAGGCTAAGCTCCTGCTGTAATTCCATTTTCATAAAACTGATACCTGTGGGTTTACTGTTATTTTTTTATTCCATTTGGTCCCTTTGCAGACTTAGCCTGCAGAAGATAATGTTTGAAATCACCAATTTCGGTTCATCATGGTGAACAATAGACAAAAGGAAAACTTTCAAATAAAATCCATATTAGATGCAAAAATGCTCGATGTAGCCATATCCTTCCTCCAGTGATATGTCGCAGGCTCAGCTGGCTATCAGTATTGTCATTGCGACCTCCTCTATTACTTGCTATAGAATGGGGGAATTTCCCCAAGGCAAGGTCCAATATTGTGGGGGACAATTCACCAAATGGCCCCCAATGACCTGCATTGATATGCAATCACTGGCTTTGTGAGTCTTAAGACGAAACCTTCCAAAGTAGTGATGCTTGTCTGATTGACAATGGAAATACGTGTATCATGGATTGACTTCCAGGGAAGTTTGCTTGGCCGGCTGGCTGGCGACACAATATCACGTGACCAATTTGAGTGATGCCTGCCCGCTCCCCACATCATAGTGGCCTGTTGTTACCCGCTAAGCTACTTCTATGGTTAACTCTCTTCCCATTGTTCATAAATACCAGACTCTTGCTTCTCTGTCTCCATCTTTTTCCTTCATTTCCACATCTCTTCTCCTCCATACTTACTGTTTAGCACCTCTGTCCTTCAAACAAGCTCTTTTTGGGGTTTGTGACAGTCAGTCAGGAGGCAACTCCGGTGGAAGGTGGGTATTTTCAAGGGTGGCATCTTCTCTCTGAGTGTCAAGAATATAAGCTGACTGACTATGTTCTTGGGATTTTGATGTTCAGCTTATTCTAGTAGACACTTATCGAGCGAAATAATTACACCATGTCTTCCACAGCGACGAGCAAGATTACTCTTACCAGCTCCGATGGAGTCGAGATGTCCATGGGTATGTTATCAGTAGCCCTTTGGCAGAACCTGCGATCATACAGCTAGGAGACTCACTGACTTTACACCAACTAGAGCGTCAGGTTGCTGAGCGATCCGTCCTTATCAAGAACATGCTTGAAGACCTCGGTGACTCTGGAGAACCTATTCCAATTCCAAATGTGAGCTAGGGCACGAAGAATGCTTCAAAATTGGCCCTTTACTGATTTCAATCCTACAAGGTCAATGAATCCGTCTTGAGAAAAGTTGTTGAATGGTGCGAACACCACAAAAACGATCCTCCCAGCACTGGCGATGATGACAACGACTCGCGCCGCAAGACTACCGATATCGACGAATGGGACCAGAAGTTTATGCAAGTTGACCAGGAGATGCTTTTCGAGATCATCTTGGTATGTGACATGTCTTCAATCCACGTGTAGAGCGCAAAAAGCAGAGTGCTTCTCTTCTTTTGGCCTCTGATGTACCTTAGGTGCGAGATGTTAACTGTCATGCTAGGCAGCAAACTACCTTGATATCAAGGCTTTGCTTGATGTCGGCTGCAAGACTGTCGCCAACATGATTAAAGGAAAGTCCCCCGAGGAGATTAGAAAGACCTTCAACATCCAGAACGACTTCACTCCCGAGGAAGAAGATCAGATCCGCCGCGAGAACGAGTGGGCTGAGGAGTAAGTGCCTTACTTTTGCATGTTTTGATAACTTTCTACTGCTAACCATTTGATTTGTCGCAGCCGTTAAATCAAGCGCCGGTTGACCCTCGAAAATCTCCTTGGCTACATTAGTTGCGGAGCACGTCGATGTCTTGAAAGAACTTCAGGATGTGCATTTCGTGGTGACCCGAACCGGCTTTTCAATTGTGATGACCCTGGTGTTTCAATTTATGGTTTGGGTTCGTGCTGGGCGTTTGGTGTGTGCGGCCATTAGGCTCATACTGGTTTTGTACCTTTGATCTCTCTTTATCGGACCTCATTCTCGAAGATGAGCGGGCTGGCATGATCAAAAAAAGATCGTAAATATCAACTTAGTATTACCACTTTTTCTTTCACTTTTAGATGGTATTTGCGCTCTACCATGGAAGGGGTTAATTCTTGTAAAAATGAAACGCAATCTTACAAGATCCTGTAAGATGTTGAATAACTCTGAGCAAGATATATCATACAGCCACAATAACCTTCATTGATGACATGTTGCACCTGTGCACCCAAATGTAGATAGTAATCCCTTACTTTCGATTGGCAAATGGTGAAGAGATGTACTGGGAACCATGCATTGGGAACCAGCTGGTGAAATGTGCCACATAATTTCAAAGCAGAATAATCCTATTTCATCGAGGCATGAGAAGATGTTCATGAATTAATGAATTCTGTTTCCTACACAGAACGCCGTCCTCGCCAACATTTGTCCCAAACAATCAAGTCAAACTGTCCTGGACCGTCCCATCATTCAAGTCCCGTCTTCATATCTGGTTCTCATCGACTAAACTCATTGGCACGCTCTCAGAATACAGTCGCTACAGGCAGAGAGAAGAGGGGGAAAAAGGCGAGGAACATGGCTCTGGAAACGAACAACTGGGGCGATAGACAAGGGAAGAGGTGACTTTCCGACAAGGACGAGCGTGTGGCTGTATCGATTTGGCGCTGTTCGAGATGCTCCTTCGGGCGCTTTTTGAGGGAGATTGATCGTTTAGATACCGAGACGGGTCTTGCGCCAGTGTCTTCTCTTGGCGTTGTATCTGATGGTGGAGGAAGATGTTAGTAATAGCTTCTTTCTCTGTGTGTGTGTGTGTGTATTATGCCACTATGTTTGTGTTGGGTTCCCAAATTGCCGCTCTCTTCAATATTTTGGATATTGATTAAAAGGGAAGAAAGGCGATCGTGTAGATTTGGAAGAGTTTGTTCGTTTCACATTTCCAAAGTCCAATCTCCCCGGTCGTTCTTTTCATCCAGACATCCTTTAAACTAGGCGCAAGAAAGGAGATCTTTACCTAATGGTATTGCCGGTTCTCAACCGAATCCACTGAGGGATGGGACGGTTCTGCTTCTGCGCTTTGGCAAGCTTTTGCTTGGTGCGGAATGACTTTTGGCTCTGATGGGAGGTTAAAAATCGCTGGTTAGCCTGAAAAGCGCACCTCCGTCGAGAAATTATAGGTGAGGCCGGGAAAAAGCATTGGTATGCACTTACCGGCATCTTGACTGATTCGATTCGCAATAGCTCGTCGACCTTGAGTTTGCGATGTCTGGCGTTGAACGGAGCCCTCGATGGTTGCGATATCTTTTGTGTGGGCGACCTGCCGAGTCGTTCGCTTACCCGTTCCGGTACTAGCCCATCACGTGACTATAATACTTGGCAGCGACGGAGTCGGAGGCTTTGAAGCGCCGCGTCTCCGGGCTGGAGTCCCACCAACCTTGTCATGACTAAATTGCAACACCAGAGAAAATGCGAGCTTTGAAGGTGAATGATGGAGAATGCTGTTGCCTAGAACCATAAATTCTCCCTTGATAGGGAAATGACCAGTTTCTGTTGGCCCATCCTCACAAGGTCCCGTGTCCCAAACGTCATTTCTCCCAATGTGGTTAATTGAGTTCAGGCATCCAGATGTACGATGCATGACAGAGTACGGAGGACGGGAGAATGCTCCACTCCCCTGAAGCGCAATCAATTCCATGCTGGGAATTGTTCAACGCTGTACTCCGTATCTTGGGGGAAAAAAAGGAAAAAGAAAAAGAAAAAGAGCGCCTATACTCTACAGCTTGCCACGTTGGATGCACTTGGAATGTCCCATTAGCATGCAGACGGGTGAATCATCCGGTTCGGAGCCGAACTTGTTAAATTCAGCTGCCTTTCGGAGTCGGAAACACGTTTTAGCGCATAACTTGTTGCGCGCTGTCATTAACTTAAGAAAGAGAAAGCCACCCGATCTCCGAGCCCATCAGGGATGTCTTACATGCTTCCGGTGTACTCCGTACTGATATAAAAATTCCAAACGGCTGGGATTGTGAGTTTTTCGGGTAGTGGTTGCGATGGTTGATCGAACGGACCTGGGCAGCAGTTCTGTCAAGAATGCACAGACCATCATCAGCGACTGGCTCAATCTAGCCGAGACCCATCTGCGCCTAAGTTCGACGGACTACGAGTGACAGCTGAGATCAACGATTTCCCGTCCGAGTTAGTGTTCCGAGAAGCAGCAAAAATGTGACCGCGGAGGCCCACGTTTTCACGTAAGTTTGTCGGTATTAGTCATGTTTCATCCTAGCTTGTGGATGTCACTTGCAGCTAAGCCAATAGGACAGCAGCAGCCACCGGGTTGACAGGAGGTACCATCCTGTGATTGTTATGGAATTGTGCCGACAAGTTTTACGGTTTCATGGTTCTCAAGCGGTTGGCTCATGGCGAGAATGGACGAGGTTGCAAGCTGGGGAGGCAACACAATTTTCCCTTTCGGCTCTCCGCCACGATGTGCCCCTTGTCACTCGTATTGACTCATTATTTTATGTCCAATTTTTCCTGCATAACTCGCGAGAACCAGCCCGGTTTTAAGCCCCTAATGCGATTGATAATCAGCTCCCCAGACGGGCATCGACTTCGACAGCTTTCTCCATGATGCACTAGCTTTTCGTTTCCTTGCAAATATATTCATGCTTAGCACTATTTATATATCGAGAATAACCATCCATCAACCCCTCTTTCCTCGTGGTGCGAGAGAATTCACTGTGAATATTGCCTGTTACTTCATATCATCAACCTCTTCTACTTTTTAATATCTTTGATCGCGGTACTTCGTATCTACGGAGTACTTACCTGCCGAGTGCATCTTATCTCCTTCTAGTTATCTTATATAGTTTATTGTTTTCCATTCTCTGCCGCTTGGCTGTTCATCCACTGGGCTGTATGTGGTGGTGATCTCCTCATGGCAGGAGACCCCGAGAAGCCCAGCGAGACGGCGGCGCAGCTGGCGGTGCAGAAAACAAGCAACTCCTCTCCCGGGACCGGGCCGTCGTCAGCATCCGGCTCAACGGTCGGCGATGGCGATAACCTCAAGAAGCTAGATTCCAAGCTAGCCAACGAGAAACGGGAGTCTAACCTTGATGACTCCTTGGCTCATCTACCAGAGCACGAACGGGATATTATCAAGCAACAGCTTGAGATTCCTGAGACGAAAGTGAAATTTTTTACGCTATATCGATATGCGACGACAAACGACATCATTATCCTCTTGGTCAGCGCCGTTGCGTCCATCGCAGGTGGAGCCGCGCTGCCGTTATTCACAGTGCGTGTGCATTTCCTACCTTTCCCACCTATATAGTCCACTAATACAATACGTATGTACGGTAGATTCTTTTCGGTCAGATGGCTGGGACTTTCCAGCGTATCATTCTGGGTACTATATCTTATGATGAATTCAATGACACCCTGTCCAAGTATGCTCTCTACTTTGTATATCTAGGAATTGCTGAATTCGTCTTGATTTACACATGTACGGTTGGATTCATCTACACTGGTGAACATATCGCGCAGAAGATTAGAGAGAGGTATCTCGATGCGGTTCTGCGGCAGAATATCGCCTTCTTTGACAAGTTGGGCGCCGGAGAGATCACCACCCGGATTACAGCTGATACCAACTTGATTCAAGATGGTATTTCGGAGAAAGTCGGCTTGACGCTGACCGCTCTTGCAACGTTCGTCACAGCATTCGTCATAGGCTTCATCAAGTACTGGAAGTTGACCTTGATCTGCTGCTCGACTGTGGTCGCCATCGTCACTATCATGGGCGGTGCATCTAGATTTATAATCCGCTTCAGCAAGAAAAATGTGGAAAGCTACGGCGAAGGTGGCACTGTCGCCGAAGAGGTGTTGAGCTCGATTCGAAATGCAACGGCCTTTGGCACCCAGGAGAAGCTCGCAAAACAATACGACGCGCATCTGCTCGAAGCACAAAAATGGGGCACCAAACTTCAAATGACAATTGGAATCATGGTCGGCGGCATGATGTCAATCGTCTTCTTAAACTATGGATTGGGGTTTTGGATGGGCTCACGTTTTATCGTCAGTGGGGAAACAGAATTGGCCAATATAATCACCATTTTACTTGCGATTATCATTGGATCTTTCAGCCTGGGAAATGTGACCCCAAATGCGCAGGCATTCACCTCTGCTATTGCTGCCGGAGCAAAGATATTTAGCACGATCGACCGAAAGTCTCCAATCGACCCCACGTCAGAAGACGGAGAAACCCTGGAGAAAGTGGAGGGGAATATTGAATTCCGTGATATCCGACATATCTATCCCTCCCGTCCGGAGGTGCTTGTTATGAAAGGTGTTAATCTTTTCGTGCCAGCCGGTAAAACTACTGCTTTGGTTGGACCATCTGGATCAGGTAAAAGCACTGTGATTGGTCTTCTGGAGCGATTCTATAATCCTGTCGGTGGCTCCGTTCTGGTTGATGGTGTTGATATACAGAACTTAAACCTCAAGTGGCTCCGTCAGCAAATCTCTCTTGTAAGCCAGGAACCGACTCTTTTTGGTACCACCATCTATAACAACATCAAGCAAGGCCTGATCGGTTCGCCATTTGAATTGGAACCCGACCAAAGCGTTCGACAACGCATTGAAAACGCAGCAAAAATGGCAAACGCACATGATTTTATTATGGGATTACCTGAGAAATATGAAACTCATGTCGGCGAACGTGGTTTCCTTCTTTCTGGTGGCCAGAAACAGCGAATTGCTATTGCCCGGGCTATTGTGAGCGATCCAAAGATTTTGTTGCTTGATGAAGCCACCTCTGCCCTGGATACCAAATCTGAAGGAGTTGTGCAAGCGGCATTAGATGAAGCTTCAAAGGGAAGAACGACAATCATCATCGCCCATCGCCTATCGACTATCAAGACCGCTGACAATATTGTTGTTCTCGTCGATGGTCGCATTGTGGAACAAGGAACGCATGACGAGCTGGTTGAACGTGACGGCACCTACCTTCGGCTTGTGGAAGCGCAAAGGATTAACGAAGAGCGAGACGCTCAAGCTATGGCTGATTCCGACGATGGCGAGGAATCGCCCATGGGTAGTGACGCTGACGCGCTTCGCCTTCAGAAGTCGATAACCGCTGCCAGCAATGCATCGGCAAGATTTGCGGATGAGAAAATGGATTTAGAGCTTCAGAAAACGGAAACTAAGAAATCGTTGTCAAGCGTTATCCTTTCCAAGCGCGAGCCCGAAAAGGATAAGGAGTATGGCCTTGGAACATTAATTAAATTCATCTCCTCCTTTAATGCTGCGGAGTGGAAATTGATGGTTACCGGTCTCGCCGTTTCCATTATATGTGGAGCTGGACAGCCGACTATGGCAGTCTTCTTTTCAAAGTGCATCTCCGCCCTGGCCCTACCGCCGCCACTTTATGACAAGCTTAGAAGCGATGCAAACTTTTGGTGCCTGATGTTCTTGATGTTGGGAATCGTTATGTTCTTCGCCTACAGTATCCAAGGATCTCTTTTCGCATACTGCTCCGAAAAATTAATTTATAGAGCAAGAAGCAAAGCTTTCAGGTCAATGCTTCGACAAGATATCGCATTCTTTGACGTGGACGAAAACAGTACCGGAGCTCTGACGTCCTTCCTATCAACTGAGACCAAGCACTTGTCTGGCATTAGTGGAGTGACCCTCGGAACCATCCTGATGGTTACCACAACTCTTGCTGCATCTATGGTAGTGGGTCTCGCAATTGGATGGAAACTTGCCCTTGTTTGCATTTCCTGCGTCCCAGTTTTACTGGCCTGCGGATTCTATAGGTTCTGGATTCTGGCAGCATTTCAGAGGAGAGCTAAAAAGGCGTACGAAGCCTCCGCTAGCTACGCTTGTGAAGCGACATCTGCCATACGCACTGTGGCCTCTCTAACTCGTGAACCCGACGTCTCCGGAACATATCATGGTCAGTTGGTTGTACAGGGAAAGAAGAGTTTAGTGTCCATTTTGAAGTCTTCGACCCTCTACGCGGCCTCGCAGTCCTTCATGTTCTTTGTCCTCGCTCTTGGATTCTGGTATGGTGGGACGCTGTTGGGCAAGGGCGAATATACGCTGTTCCAGTTCTTCTTGGCATTTTCAGAAGTTATTTTTGGTGCTCAATCTGCCGGAACCGTCTTCTCTTTTGCGCCTGATATGGGTAAGGCGAAGAGTGCTGCAGCAGATTTCAAAAAGTTGTTTGATCGAAGACCTCCAATCGATACTCTCTCTAAAGAGGGCGATGATGTGGAACATATTGAAGGAACAATTGAGTTCCGCGATGTGCATTTCAGATACCCAACACGACCTGAACAACCTGTGTTGCGTGGCCTTAATCTTAGCGTCAAACCAGGGCAGTATGTCGCGCTGGTCGGACCCAGCGGATGTGGAAAGAGTACAACGATTGCCCTGCTTGAACGGTTCTATGACACTCTGTCTGGGGGTGTCTATGTTGATGGAACCGACATCACACGGTGGAACGTGAGTGCCTATAGAAGCTTTTTGGCTCTTGTCAGCCAGGAACCCACCCTCTACCAGGGTAGTATCAGAGATAACATCCTTCTGGGAATAACCGAGGACGACGTGCCTGAAGAAGCCATTATTGAAGCCTGCAAAGCTGCAAACATTTATGATTTCATCATGTCGCTTCCGTAAGTTTCCCCGGCTTGCTTACTACGGGGCCCCTTGTCAAACTAACTTTTTCGCTAGCGACGGTTTCTCCACGCTTGTAGGAAGCAAAGGCAGCATGCTCTCTGGAGGGCAAAAGCAGCGTATCGCCATTGCCCGCGCTCTGATTCGAGACCCTAAAATCCTGCTTCTTGACGAAGCGACGTCTGCTCTTGACTCAGAATCTGAGAAGGTTGTGCAGGTTGCTCTTGACGCGGCCGCCAAGGGCCGTACCACCATTGCTGTCGCCCATCGACTGAGCACAATCCAAAAGGCGGACGTTATTTATGTCTTCGACCAGGGGCGTATAACGGAGAGCGGTACGCATTCGGAATTACTCGCAAAGAAAGGACGTTATTATGAGCTCGTGCACATGCAGAGTCTGGGCAAAACTCATTGAGCAGCATGCTTTCTTATGTGATGGGTATTTGACATTTGGTGCTCTTTGCGTACGATACCCTCCGACTCACATTTTATATATACCCGGTTTTCTTCACGTGTATAGTTTGGAATTACTTTTTGATTTCGATTTTGTTCTTTTTCCTTCTCTCTTCTTTTCCTTTTTTCTTTTTCTTTTTCTTTTTCCTTTTCTTTTTCTTTTTTTTTTTGGATAAGTGGACATTTGAGGAATGCTCCTCTGGTACTTCATACTGGTCCCCATTTGCATAATAGACAGACTAGATCTCCCCTTCTTTAATCTCCTCTCCTGGGCCTTTGTATACAGCCCCGTGAACATGAAAGGTTTTTCGAGTCAACCATTTCCGGGTGTTTCTATCCCCGGCTTGCCTCCTCTCTTTTACCCCACTTACGATTGTACGTAGTGACTATGCCTTGTCGATATAGTCCCAATCACCCGTCATGGAAGCACCAGTACTCAAGTAACCCTTATTTTCTCTCTGAGCAGGATGGCCGTTGGTCCGCTTCATGATGCGATTGGCTTGACAACTCCTTACGCCAAGAAGTGGCTCCCCGTTGAGGCTGGTGAAGATTGTGGCTGGAGACCCCGTTTTCAGCCTCAATTCGATTCAGCCTCGCCGCTGCGGACGTGCAAGTCGCTCGTCTGTTCGGTTCAGTCGAGTGGCAAAGTGTTGGTATGCGAAGGCAGATACCAACACCGATTTGAGGGGAAACGGGACTCTTCCGCTCGGGGACGGGAGTCTGTGCTGAGCTCCAACCCTTGTCGCATGGGTTGCTAGTTACATACCAATGCCGTGAAGCAGCACCTCGTGATGTCAACTTCAGGCTGCAAAGGGTGAAGGATCCGCCTTGGTTGGCATCAAGGATTCTTCTATTTAACCACTTCATGTTTCCTCACTGAGGTCTCCCAAATGCAAGTCTGACCCACGGAAAGTTATCAAATCATTGTTTTTCCTGAGCTGAGCTGGGAAACTGATATATATTGCGGCATACTCGCGCCCAAGGTACATACGTACCATCACCATATATTATATTGCTCTCTTTTTCCTTGTGCATCTACCATTCATATTCAATGTCTTATATCCGGGATTGTCCCGAATTTCGCCTAAGCCGCTCCGACTCCAAGGATCCTTTCACGACCTGCCAAGGTGTGAGATCCGACGGTCAAAAATGTCGCAGAACAGTCATATCTGCGAAGGATGTTTCCAAGAAGGAGGCTGCCGCTACACAGGCGAGTGCTATGACCGCTGGAAAGACCGAGATACAAGCAGAGAAGCTGTTTTGTTGGCAACATAAACACCAAGCCTCGTCGTTTAAATCGAAGGTTGCTGCTATTCCTGCTGCGCTGGAATTACGGAAGAGATCGAGCATTGATACCATCGTCGAGAGAGTCGGATTACTGACTGTGAACGATGGGGGTGCTACAAAGGCTAAAGATTCGCAACCTAAGGGATCTCAAAATACATTCACTTTATATCAAGAAATAAAGAGGACCCAGAATCCTACCGAGCATCGAAGGAAGCCAACCACCCCGCTACAACCGCTGAAAAATGAAAACGAGCTGCAAATCCCGGCTACATCTGCTTCTAAGAAGAAGCCGAGCGCCAGAAGGCGATTGGTGTGCTTCCTTACAGGTGGCGACGATAGTGACACTCCGGAATTAAACGTTCGTCGACGAACTCAACACGTTAGATCTGCCTCTCATTCAGAAACCAGGGTTGTGAGGACTCCACCCAGATACCAGTATCAGCATGCGAAAAGGCCTACGACTACCGATAATAAAACCTCGAGACGTCACTCTGACATTAGCCTTCAAAGTCGACAATCCGAATCCCGTCAACGCAGCCAAAGACAAAGTATGCCATCTCATGTACCGAGTTCTCAAAGGCCAACTATGCTAGCAAATCCAACTACCTCTTCATCCCAAACCCAATCTCTACTCTCCTGGATTCCCACAACCTTATCACCGGAGACAACGTCGAAACTTCTTCAGAAGCTTTCTGAACCGCTTTCTCCATCTGAAGAATGGGGATATATCTATATATACTGTGTCACACCACAAAAGACGGTCCCTTCAGCAGATGTCCTCCCCTCCCTTATCCCGCACCGTACAGAGATTTGTCCCTCAACCCCAGAAATCTTGCGCTCAGCAGGAATTTCGCCAAATCGAACCCAGATGCACAACCGCACGGCGAATACTATAACCCTTAAGATAGGGCGCGCAGTTAACGTATCTCGTCGTCTAACACAGCAATGCGCACAAAATCTGACCTTGGTTCGATATTATCCATATTCTCCATCTTCGTCTTCAACAAATTCACCACCTCCCCGAAAGGCGCCAAATGTTCATAGATTGGAAAGACTGACACATATTGAGCTAAATAATCGGCGGTTCAAGTTACAAGATCCCTGTGGACACTGTGGGAAGAGGCATCAGGAGTATTTTGAGATCGAGGCAAATACCGAGCATTTACGGATGGTAGATGAGTGTGTCCGAAGATGGGTACGGTTTAGTGAGCTAGATCCGGGCAGATGACCATCGAGCATGGATAGAGGCAATATTAGAACTTGAACCGGGCCGATAAACTTCAGATTTAAGTATTTCAACTGCCTATAAATATCTTTTGTTATGAGTTTTGGGACTCAATTATAAAGAAAGTCCTGGAAGCAGTCTCGAACATATGTGTCAACACCAGAATGGCTGCATTTGCGCGGCCGCCGTCTCGCAAAATTCATCCACTGAAGCTGCTTTGAGAGGCGCCAGCATTGTCATGCAGAATCGAGGAAACCTTTAGGGCAAGATAATGCATCGCGCATCCGACTGAGTAGTCCATGGAAGCCCGCTCGATGTATCATCTCGATTAACTAGCCAACCGAATCGTCTCGACTCGCCCGTTTCGCAGATGACATTTTTGCAAAAGCTCGGTTGGCCCCCAGATTCTATGCTATGCCACACTCCGCAGTGGCGGATATAATTGACCCCATATTGCCGCGAGGAGCGGATTTTATCATGGATGCTGTGGTATTATGGCCGTTTTCAACCGCAAGGTCCCACGCTGTTCGGCCATCATCGTCTTTGACATCTTTAGATGCCATGCCTTCTACGATCAGCATACGAGTGAGAGCTTCAAGCCCATTGCTAGCGGCTAGATGTAGTGCCGTTTGCCGGAACTATCCTTGGCCTCCACATCAGCCTTGCCTTCAACAATTAGCACTCGTGCAGCCATTTCATGATTGTTGTGGGCTGCTAGGTGCAGGGCAGTCTGTTCATTGTGGTCTTTGATCTCTACATTAGCTTTGAAGTCAACAATAAGCATCTGCGCGATTGTGTCGAGTCCGTTGCGGGCACTTATGTGAAGCGCCCTTTGCGTCTCATGGTCTGGTGCATCGACGTTGGCGTTCCCTTTGGAGATTAGCATGCGAGCAACTTCCTCGTGGCTGTTGTGAATGGCTAGGTGTAATGCTGTTTGGCCATAGTTGCCTTTAGCATCAATATCCGCTTTGAAGTCAAAGAGGAGCATGTTCGCGGTTGACTCAAAGCCACTGTCAGCAGCCAAGTGCAGTGCTGCCTGCCCATAATGGTCCTTCAGGTCAACTTTAGCATCGCCTTGGTAATAAGCACCTTTATCGTTGGATTATGGCCGTGTTGGGCAGCCAGGTGCAGTAGAGTTCGCCCATTGCTGTCTCTACTCTCACTACTAGCCCCAAAGTCAGTCACAAGCATGCATGCAATGGTATCATAACCATTGCGCGTTGCCAAGTGTAATGCTGTCAGCTCATTGTGATTTTGGGCATCAGGTTCAGCCTTACCCTCAGAAATGAGGATGCATGCAGACTCCTGGTGGCCATTATTGACTGCTAGATGCAATGCTGTCTGGCCATAGTTGTCTATTTCGTCAACATCAACTGTACTCTCAGTCACAAGCACACGTACTACAGCTTCATGGCCTTTTTTGGCAGTTCACCTTGACAGACTTGTTGAATGACTTTAGTCAGGGTCGATAAGTAGATCAACAACCGAGGAAGCCCTCTCGCAACGTAGACGGGTCTACGCATGTCTTCTTCTCTAACAGGCGTCCCTTTTTCTTTGCCGTCTTTGAAAAGTTACTTTCCGTACAAGTTAAGACGTCCAGTCTCAGTGATGAGCAGTTGGCTAAAGCCTTTGCCCCTGCCCGATTGTAACACCAAATCCTTAATACCTTATCAAAAAGATAATGGCCATAAAAAGGTACGCCCGTCCGATATCCGATGGAGGCCTCCAACACACGTGATGACCTTATTGCAAGGCCACAGCCACACGGGGAAAATTCAGGTATCTCTCACCTCCCGAACCCCAAATAACCGTTAACACTTTTTTCGACCCCTTCGTCGCCGTATCTTCCCAGACATGACAAGCTAACTCAAGCTTAAGCCGGGAAACGTTCCGTCAAACAGCAACACGAAGATCACAAGCTGCGAGTATGCTGTGGCTTGCAACTAGATAAGTTAAAGCTAGCATGACGGCGAAGACGTTTGGAATGGTAGATGCCAATTCCGACAGATCCTTGAAAGATTATACAGCTTGTTTAGTAGAGAGATGGGGTCATTGCGGTAATCGCCATTGTTGACCACATAGATGCCACAATGGATAACCATTAAAATTTTGAGCTGCAGAGGGGGGGATTCATGTGCAGCCAACTCGTTGTGATGGTGCTTTTTTGGCCCTCGTGCTCCTTTTGTGCATGGTGGTTAACCAGCTATGTCAACAGCTTTTGTATAGGTAGAGGTATAACCCGCGAAGCTCATCCAAGAAAAAGAATCGGCTTCCAAACCTTTCTGGTCTGTGGCAGACCCGTTAAATTAAATAAGCGTCAGCCATCTGAGCATCTTTTTTCTTGCCTTATGTATCGCGATAGCCGCGGCATCAAAGCTCCTGCTTCAGGCTCCAGGTCAACGGTGACTGGGCCAGATAAGGCTCTCGTATTGCACACGCAGCTATGGAGGAGTTATACGAGTGCTCCTCGTGGGGTATTAGTATTTGTCAGCTCCTTCATCAGTGAATCCTTTGCCAGCATCTCTGCTTAAATAGACACACAAGGGTGTGATGTTTGAAGGGTGAAAGCTGGTCGTTCGTCTCAAGTCCGACCCAACCGACCGAAGCACAGGCTGGGGAACATCCTGATCTACGTCCGGTACATTGATACATTTATCTATGCAGTATTAAACTCAACGCAAAGTCGAGAAAGACATTCAAAAGGGAACCAACCAACCATCTTCAAAAGCCACTATGGAAGGACGATGCCAATGCTCCCAGGTCCGCTTTACCACTCCGCTGCCGAGGCCGCTTCAAATCTACATCTGCCACTGCACAGAATGCCGACATCAATCTTCGTCCTCGTACGGTCTGACTACCATCTTTCCCCAGTTCGACATTCCGGCGCCTCAAGCAGATAGTGACAGCCCAGATGCCACTCCGCCAGCGGGGATAGGCTCGTACACGCGGCCCACTTTGTCCGGCAGGCAGCTTGAATGCTTGTTTTGCAAAAATTGCGGATCTAGACTGATGCATAGGGCTCGGGGCGACAGGACATTAAGCGTGAAAGCTGGGTGCTTGATTGGTTTAAGTAAAGAGCTCATGAAGGACGCGGTTCATATCTGGTGTAAAGAAGCGGTAACCGAGATTCCGGACGGAGTGGAAAGGTTCGAGGAGGAACCGGATGGCGGGTCTCTGCAGTAACTCAACCTTCGTTTGTGGGATTGTGGGCCTGCATGGTTGACAAGCATGCGAACAACATGCTGCTAAACTAAATAAATATGGGGTGGAATAACGCGGGGTTCAAGGAGAGGAATTCAGATGTTTCGTCGTCGAGCAGTTGAATCCATGTGATTTTAAAGGCAGTGCATTCTTGGGTTTTCTCTACTCCATACGGAGTACTCCGTACTCTCTCTTGAATTGATTGGTGTTTAGGGCTGGACAAGAAAGCACGATGACGCCTTTGAAAAAAACCAACATTAGGAGCCGCTTGGTGAGCTGCGTTCTTGAGAAACATTAAATCCTCCCACACATTCTCACTGCAACTTAATCGTCAACCACCACAATCAAGTCAAAAGGGCATTCTTGAACTCATTCGCTAGTCATGACCGTCAATTCTACCTCTACTAAGCAGCCCTCAATCCTATCCACGATATTGCTCAGGCTCCAAGCCATGCTCGCTGCTATCACTTCCACCCTGATCTCCCTCCTCGACCAAATCATACCTCCATGCCGTCGCGAGGACATTACTTCAAGGGCTTATGCTTTTAGTCGGAGCAGGCCATTACTGGCATCCTTTCTTGCCTCCCAGCTAGTTTTCTGTGGAGTACCGCTCTCCTTGCTATTCCTCCACGTCGCCAGCGTGCTCTTTTTCTCCTTCGCGACCGCCATTGTCATTGGGTCAATATGTGCACTTTTGTTTACTGCCGTGTGTGTAGGACCGGCATTGCTTGTGCTGATACCTATATTGATGGTCACCTCATTCGTGGGGCTTACGGTGTGGTTCTGGGCATTGTTGGGATGGTATATTCTCGGCTGGACCGGGTTGCTAGAACAACGGCATATATCAAAGATGGGAGTCGAAAAAAGAGAGAAGAGTGATGGTGAGATTGGGGCAGTCAAGGAGATCACCAGGAAAATGGATTGAAGGCCTATGGGAGCAATCCTTCTAAATCAAGACGACGAGATATCCTAAACGGGCTACATTCGCTTCTCATCGATTCCTGATACTTGCATGGCATGGATGGCCATGACCCTTTTATATAATTTCGGTATCTATTCCAATGTTTACTGCTAGTGTACCTGGGAATACTTTCCTTAGGCGGAGCCATAAGAGCCAACTCTTTCGGTCAGGGGGGTTCGTTCAAGGACTGCTGAGCGCTCGTCTTGGCCTGATGAAGCAACTCACAAGCTCGATTCATGCGGTCTTTCTATCTTTCGACCTCTAATATGATCTGACAACGCGGAACGCCTTCTATGTATGTGTATTAGCTACTCTTCAAGGATAGTCAGCGGATCACGCCTCCTTTTAGCCAGCCGTGCGAAAAGTCATGTTCTCTGTTTCGTTCTCTAGACAACTTTCCGGTCCAGAATCGTCCTAAAAAAAACTTCCAACTTCTAAATATCAGGCGCCCATTTATGGGCTCCGCGCCCGAGTGCCTGCAGAGTGTCTTTGAGGTCGTAGAGGCGCGAAGCCATCTTATTGGTTGCAGCATTAGGCTGCAAGGAAGGGCCTCAGGCTTCTCACCGATTTGATCAGATCCCACTTTTTAAAGAAGCTGGGTAGACCATGTATCCAGCGATCGCCACGGCGGAACTGTGAAGCAGAGATGCCAGATAACTCTTTAAGCTGTTCCTTCACTTGCTCGAACGGGACAGTTTTTTCTCTAGCACTGACTTTTTCTCGGTCAGAGTGGTCTGCAACTTGTCATTTTGCTTCTCAACTTCTTTTATTCGGGCGTGGGCGTTAAATATGGATTTTTTACACAATGAAATTTGATCTTCGAGGTCCAGATTCTTTCTATAAAGCCGTCGAAGTTGCTTTTCAAACTTTATTTTTCTCCATTGTGTGCTGATCAGGGTTCTCTAAACTCGCTGTGATTGCCTAAGCGTCCCTTACCAGTGACAGAAGACTCTGTCTCGACGTTTGGTCCCGTTGGGTGTTGGATTGACCATCCCCTGTGTCTTCCAAATCCCGTGCATTGACTCCACTATCAATCCCATATTGCATTAGCAACGAATTTATGGATTTGATCTCCTCCCTCAGAGCTTCTTTTTCTGATTTGTGGCAAATTCTCAGTTTTTGGAAAAGGTCACCACGGTCCTGCAGCCGAGCTATTTCACAGGCCGCTCCCTCTACTGTGGACTGCCATCTCTTCGATTGTCTAGCGATATCATCTTTTTCTCTCTGGGACTGGCCAATTTCTTCCTCGAATTTGAAGATCGTCAACTGGCTTCCGGTTTTCATCAGGCAACAGCGCCTCAAGCTGTGCCCCAAGTTCGGTTCCCAATGGTCGTGTGCTCGTCTTTCCTTGCGTTAGACAGGAGCTCTTGCAATGGGGTCATGATCCCTCTCTCACTATCCAGGGTGGTAGTCTGGTGCATCAAATTCGGAAAAGGGTGTGCAGTTTCCGTCTGGAAGTATGGGTCCCTTTCCAACGTCCTGCTGACTAGCTTTTCGCCCTCGTCGGGTTCAGAAGCATCAATGTTGCCATGTTCTTACTTTGTTGGTTCCCGCATCGCATCTGCGAAGTCGGTTTATATCTGGCCCCCTAGCCATTCCAGAAGTGGTTGAAACCACTTGCTACCGATGACCGCGCGCTGGCATGCGCCTTGCTCCTAGCTGACTGCCAGTGGCCATTATCTTCGGCTCGTTTGATGCCCCACAGTACCGTCCAGGTTTAGCAGTATTATATTGCGCCTGAACGCAAGTGAATGACGGTGACTTGGGAGCATCATGATCTCGGGCCGACGCAAGATCCATTGGTGGCAACGGCTGCGAAAAGCCCATGCGGTTCCTACCACTTATGGAGCGCTTCTGTTTTTTCTGGGTTTCTCTCCTGGAATTAGAAGATCGTCTGTATTTTAGCAGAAGTTCGAATGGATGAACGCAGCGACACTGAAGGGCCTTGTATGTTGATTTTCAGTTGCAACGCCGCTATGTTGGTCAATATTAGTCTCTTCTGGATGTAAGTCTCTTACCTTGGGGTCACTCATTTTGGAAAACCTTTTAATATCGGGAGATGGACGAAAAGCTCAGCTTTGCCAAAGAAGTAGTCAGACTTGATCAAGGATAAAAGCAATGCGATAGCAGATATGTGAGGGCTAAAGTTGGGATGAAAGCGGCTAGGGGTCATATAGAAGCAGGTATCCTAGATTTGCAAAACCCTAGCCCAAAATCTTAGATATATACATCGATCCAGCAATGGTATTTGTGCAAAAGGGAAAAGCAACCGCTGTCTTCTTCAAAGCAAAGAAAAGACAGGACCTACTATGGCAAGTTTCAGGGCCAGCCTTGGGCATAGCACAAAGAGCAGGTGACACAAGCTTGAGTATGAAGATGATTCCTGTTCTTTGTAATTCTGGATTATGGCATTATGGTGGCCACAAGCAGAAGCCCAGAGACTAGAGTGAGGTATTGTGCATGACAACAACAACAGCGAGATGGATCCTTTTATGCGCAGAACTGGAATCCTTGGTTGGAACTGTAGGTAGCTCGAGCCCCGACCCAGGAGTCACTGGTGGTTATTGCAATGCGTCAATGTCACGGCGGCTGGACTGGCGATTCTTGAGTGGATGACATAAGCGGAGGGATTGCGACCAGAGTGTCCTGATCAGCTCTGCGCAGCGAAGTGGCCTCAACAGCGCTAGCGCGACTTGGGCGACTGGCCAGCGAGCAACATCCACAAAACTCACCTCCCTTTGCTTCACCTCCCGACCCTCCGTCGCCTCCCAGCACCCGTTTCTTTTCTCTTTCTCTTCTTCTTCTTTTGGTTGCTTGACCGTAATCACTCCTTCTGCCGGCTTCTTTCAACCTAATTGTTTAATTCCTTTGCCTTTCTCGGGTCACTCGAGGAACAAGCCACCCATCATGAGCGGCCGTGAGTCGAACGTTCTTAGCACCTGTCGCGAAGCCATTGAAGCGCCGCCGATGGGCCGTCGGTCGTGATTGTCCGCTAACTGCTGCAGTTCGTTTCCTCGACTTGATCAAACCCTTTACGCCCCTCCTTCCGGAGGTGGCAGCCCCCGAAACGAAGGTGCCCTTCAACCAGAAACTGATGTGGACGGGGGTATGAGCTCCAAAATCACCCTACCGTAGCAAATATTCGAACTGACACGAGGATATAGTTGACCTTGTTGATTTTCTTGGTGATGAGTCAAATGCCACTTTATGGAATTGTCTCTTCAGATACCTCTGACCCCCTTTATTGGCTTCGAATGATGTTGGCCAGTAATCGCGGAACACTGATGGAACTGGGTATTACTCCAATCATTTCGTCTGGAATGGTCTTCCAGGTATGCGCTTTCAAATCTGGTGCTTCCTTTGGATATGCGTTTATAAGCCGGTAGCTTCTTGCAGGAACCCACCTCATCGATGTCAACCTCGACCTCAAAACCGACCGTGAGCTTTATCAAACTGCCCAGAAACTTTTTGCTATCATCCTGTCCTTCGGCCAGGCTTGCGTTTACGTCCTCACGGGTCTCTATGGCCAGCCCAGTGATCTTGGTGCTGGAATCTGCGTCTTGTTGATTGTCCAGCTTGTCGTCGCCGGCCTTGTCGTCATTCTTCTGGACGAGTTGTTGCAAAAGGGATATGGTCTCGGAAGTGGTATCTCGCTTTTCATCGCGACTAATATCTGCGAGTCCATCATGTGGAAGGCTTTCTCCCCAACCACCTACAATACCGGCCGTGGCCCCGAATTCGAAGGAGCAGTTATTGCTTTGTTCCACCTCTTGTTGACATGGAAAGACAAGCAGCGAGCTTTGCACGAAGCTTTCTATCGACAGAACTTGCCCAATATCATGAACCTTCTCGCTACCCTTATTGTTTTCGCCGCCGTCATCTATCTCCAAGGCTTCCGCGTTGAAATCCCGGTCAAATCTTCTCGCCAGCGTGGCATGCGTGGATCCTATCCCGTTCGTCTCTTCTATACCTCCAACATGCCTATCATGCTTCAGTCTGCCCTTTGCTCCAACATCTTCTTGATTAGTCAGATGCTTTACTCCCGATTCTCTGACAATCTGCTCGTGAGACTTCTCGGAGTCTGGGAACCTCGTGAGGGTGGCTCCGCCCAGCTCCATGCTTCTTCCGGTATTGCGTACTACATGTCCCCCCCGCTTAACTTCAAGGAGGCTCTCTTGGACCCGATTCACACCGCTGTCTATGTCGCTTTCATGCTCGTTGCTTGTGCTCTCTTCTCCAAGACTTGGATCGAAGTTTCTGGTTCAGCCCCCAGAGATGTAGCCAAGCAGCTTAAGGACCAAGGACTTGTTATGGCCGGACACCGTGAGCAGAGCATGTATAAGGAGCTTAAGCGTGTTATCCCGACTGCTGCTGCATTTGGTGGAGCATGCATTGGTGCCCTCTCCGTCGCCAGCGACCTTTTGGGCGCTTTGGGAAGTGGAACTGGTATCTTGTTGGCCGTCACGTAAGTTGAGATATCTACAGTTTACTCTATCGCGGTCACTAATCCGGTCCCAGGATCATATACGGCTACTTTGAAATCGCAGCCCGCGAAGGTGACTTTGGCGCAGGCTTAAAAGGCCTTGTGCCTGGAAACTAGATGACACATTTAGTCCTATGTATGCAGGATAAAACCTGTATCTTTTCTTAAATCTTCTAGATTGTATTAGTGCACAGTGGGTGCTCTCTTTGACAGGCCCTGTTTCGGCTTTGCAACCATCGACCCATGGGGCAACTTAGAAATGGGGCAAATTATGTTCGAATATCTATGAAATTTTGCGTTTTTCCTCCTTCCTACCAGAGCGGGCACCCTAAAAGCGAGGTCTTCTATCTGTGTATATATGCCAAACCGTTCGAATCGATGAAATAAACTAATGATCATGGACCCGGTGCGAAAGCGATGGACTTGAGAAAAAAGTACAAGGCGCACCTACACAGACCTTGTCTATGCAATGGCCCAACATGGGATACTTTAAGCTTGCTCAATCAAAAGGGGATAAAGAGAGAGGCGTTCGAAATTCTTTGGATGGTATTCCGTGCTCATGCTTTTTACGTTCGATAATCCCCATTAATAGTAACATATTCGTGACTGAAATCGCAGAACCAGAATACACCATCTTCTCCGCCTTTGCCTGCCTCGCCTTTATCCCCACCACCCAGGTCCACAACGATTTCCAAGTCTTCATTTTGTAGGATCGCAGATGCCCTCTCCTCATCTACAGCTTCTGGCTCCCCGTTCACTAGCAACTTCAGCTCGGGGCTTCCGTCGACAGGCTTGAAGCTAACGCTCGTGCGCTCGGGTATGACGGTGCCAGAGTTGATGCCCTGGGTATAGCCGACAGCGCACAGGATCCGACCCCAATTTGCGTCCTTTCCGTAAAGCGCTGTTTTGACAAGCGGAGATCTGGCGATGGTTGATGCGATGAGTTTGGCGTCAGAGTGGGAAGGAGAGTTTCGCACGCGCACAGTGACGAATTTGGTGGCTCCTTCACCGTCGCGGACGACTAGCTGTGCGAGTGATTGGGTGAAGCTGGTCAGGATTGACTGCATGGCGGTGTATTCTGGGGATTCAGGAGAAGAGATTGGCTTTCCGCCGGCGACACCATTGGCTAGGACGGCTATGGTGTCATTGGTGCTGGTGTCGCCGTCGACGGAGATGGAGTTGAATGAACGGGAGACGGAATGTGCGAGTAGGGATTGGAGGGCCGGGGCCTCGATTGGTGCATCTGTGCAGATTATACCCAGGAGGGTGGCCATGTTGGGATGGATCATCCCGGCGCCTTTGGTCATTCCTGCTATATGGTACGTGCGGTCGGGAGAAGAGGGTAGGGTGAAGGATCGGGAAAGGAGTTTGGGGAAAGTATCCGTAGTGCAGATCGCTCGGGCGGTCTTTAGCCAGGCTGTGTGGGTGGAGGAGAGATTTGCGTAACCGGTAGGAATTCCGGATATAATCTTTTCTATAGGTAACCTGTCAAGAATAAGTTGGATAAGCTCACGTCAGTTAGGACTATTGGCAGAAGTCAAGACATACCGCTGGCCAATAACGCCAGTGCTCATAACCAATGTGCTTGAATCACCGTCATTGCCCGTCGCTTTAAGCCCAATGCACTGATCCACCTTTGCACTCATGGATTTCGCGTCCTGTATACCGCCTTTCCCCGTAACGGCATTCGCGCAGCCGGAATTTGCAATAACGGCGCGGATCCCACGTCCTGATCTCGCATTGATTATTTGCTTACTCACCTGCACAGGTGCAGCCTGGAATTTATTTGTTGTGAACACTGCCGCCGCTGAACATGGTTCTTCCGAGCATATAATCGCCAGATCTGGGAAGGTAATATTGGACTTTTTAACTCCCACATGAGTCCCTGACACACGAAAACCTAGTGGGTATGCTCCCGAACATGGAACGAATTTTCGTTTCGACTCTGGGATCGAGGGATCGACGGGCGTGGTGTAGTGGCGGACCTGTGCTGCGAGAGCTCGTACGGCCCCTGGTCGAACCCTGGGGGTGTAACTGAATGCAACCAAAAAGGGAGTATTTGGCACCATGACAGCAATTGCTCACCAAATAATCAAGGCAGAGGATAAAGGAGGTAGGGATGCTCTCCCAGCCAGCTCTGTCAATGCTGATGAAGCTGGTGATGAGTCAGTCACTCTGTTCACTGCAAAGAAATTCGCAACTGGAGTTCGCCAGACCTGGCTTAGCGATCTGATAACGGGAGCTAGCTTTCGAACCTTAACTTTAGCTCATCAGATAAGGATCGGATTATCTAATCTCTCCCCGAGCTTCGTCACGTGCTTTCGTGTTCAAGAACTCGATGAAGCACTGTGAGAGAGAGAGACGACGCGATTGATGTAGGCCTGGTGGTATCTTTGGGCTGCAGGAGGTTACTTGACAACGTATATTGGCCACCACCATTGTGCCAATTCGCTTCAATCGCCCTTCCGCAGCAGTTATGAAGCGTAAACAGTCACTGGCATCGTCCGACGATGATCCCCTTCAGGTCGAAGAGTCAACGCCACGAAAGCGGAGAGCATCTCCAGATGATCCTGAAACACCACAAACGAGCACACCATTGTCTCGGTTGCGAAGTCGCTCTAAGCCCAACCATGGCCACCCTCCGGTCGACTCGCCCACCCCTAAGCCTAAAAGGAAACCGGTCTTTTCGACACCTAACAAAACCTCAAAATCTCGCGGTATAGCCAGTGATACCCCTTCAAGAATCAAGAATGCCGATCGTTCTGCCAAAAAAAAAAGTGCGGCAATCCTTTTCAATCCAAATGAAGACGACTTGTGGAATGGCGGGGAGAAGTTGGCGCGTGAGATATGGGATATCGAGGAGGAGACTGAAGGTGAAGACGAGATCAACGGGATTCTGGATACAAACGAGGTCCCCGAGGCGGCAAAGGATGGCTTAAACAAGTCCACCGGTGCACCAGGGTGCAACAGACAACCCAGAACGCGGGCCAGGCGACGAACGCCGACCCCCGACGGTGACCTTCCGTCTCATGAAAGATACTTCTTCCAAAACCGCCCTGGGCCAATGTTGACGTCGGATAATACTCTTTCCAAACTAACTTTGCTGACGCATGAGGAATATTTTGACCAGTTGGAGAAACTGGATGACCCACAGTCTAAAGAAAAGGAGGCTCTAGTCGACATCCATGAGCGATCATTCCCGCAATGGAATTTTGAATTAATTGAAGGGTTTAATATATGCCTATATGGATATGGCTCTAAGCGAAATCTTGTACAGCGATTTGCAGGTTGGCTATATGAACGGTATAGCGACCCTCCTACTATTGTCGTGGTGAATGGTTATGCGACCAATGTTACTCTCAGATCTATTCTTGCAACAATAATAAGCGCAGTCATGGGTCCTGAGGCTCCAACAAAGCTCGGAACACAACTGTCTGAGGTCTTGGATGTGTTGCAGTCCAATCTCAACGTGAGACCGCCAAAGCATCCAATAACAGTCCTCATAAACTCCATAGATGCGCCCCCGTTACGCCGTCAGGCCCATCAGACTCTTCTAGCACGCCTTGCCAGCCTTCCTCATATCAATATTGTTGCTACCGCCGATACACCTAATTTTCTTCTCTTGTGGGATATCGGGCTCCGAGATCAATTTAATTTCGCTTTTCATGATTGCACGACCTTTGCTCCATATGATGCGGAGCTCAACGTTGTTGATGAAGTCCACAGCCTCCTTGGCCGCAAAGTTCGCCGGATAGGTGGAAAGCAAGGGGTCGGCTTTGTTCTCAAAAGTCTTCCAGAGAACACCCGGAAATTATATCGTCTCCTTATTACAGAGCTTCTCACTATGCTAGGAGATCAAAATATTTCAGAAGGCGAGGTGGACCAAGCGACCACTGACCCGCGTGATAAAACTGGCAACGAGCGGAGGGAAACGGCGATTGAATGGCGCACGTTATTCCACAAGGCTACTGAAGAATTCATCTCTTCCTCGGAACTGATGTTCCGGACGCAACTTAAAGAATTTTATGACCACCAGATGATCATCTCGCGGACAGACTCGAGTGGCGCGGAAATGCTTGGAGTCCCTCTTTCTCAAGAGGAGATGGAGAGTATTCTAGAAGATCTTGTCATAGAGCAGTGATACGTCATTCTGTATGTTTTCCTGTGCTATCCTGTCTTTGACCTATATTTGATACCCACAATGTACAACCTGGAGCACGCGCCACGTGGCTGCTTGTGATTTCTAGAGAATTTACGGAGTAAAGTCTATTTTTTATCTTAATATCGAACGCCGTTTCAAATGGTCGTATATTAAAACTCCGAAAACGCAGAGAGCATCAAAGTCGTCCCGAAACTTGCTTTAAAAGCCAAGTTCTTTGTAACCGCTCGCCGGACATCGACGGACTTGACATACCGCTGAAGGAATTTGGTGGGGACGATATTGTATCCTTTGGATGCTGCCCACTAAATTACACAGGATATAGTTTAGCCCGTGCCTTAGTTTACATGGCACAGATAAGGGCGACATAGCTCAATTGGGAAAGCAGTCGACTCTAGGCTTCTGAGCAATGAGGAGTTACGAACCTCGATGAGCAATATGGCAACACCCAATGTAAACGTCAGGGTCCTCGAGAATATTCTTAATCCCACACCAGCGATCAACCCGAGCACACTACCTAGACTGATCTGGCGGACAGTATGTGGATTCAAGCTACCGAAGGAGCAATCTCCCTCAAGGGGGGAAGGGCGAGAGCACCAGGCTGGCTGGCCAGGAGTCCGCGGGGCGTAGTCGCAGTGGATTACAACGGCCGGATTGGGACGAAACAAGAGGAATGAAGCGGCAAGTGGCATAGACAGGAGAAGAGGGCGGTTAACGAACCGGAGGAATTGGGAGGCCATTGTGTGGTGAGGGAGTTGTGTTTTGTACAATTGGATATATATTGGTACGAACGATACTTTATACTGGGGTTGCCGCTGCTTGGAATGCGAACAGTTGAACTGAGTGAGATCTGTCGACCTTGGCCCGCTGTCTTCTCCGCAGTTGCAGCCGCCCGCCTATGACTTAATCAGGGCGTGGGATCGGCATTATTATGTAACTATGTAGGTATGTCACGCCAAGCAACAACACCTGACCAAGGGCAAGTCACGTGAAAGATTAGTTAAGTGAGCCAAGGTTTCCGATTTGGTTGGTTGGTTGGCGCAAGCGCACAGCGAGTCGACGACTCGACATCTCGGGCGCATTCGCCCATTGCCAGGACTGTTACTAGACCATAGCCTTATGGCGTAGGGTCTCTCGCATAAATTTTAGGTATTGTTGTCATCGTCATGGCAGCAGCAAATTATCCCGACGTTTTTCATGAGAGGGAGAAGATGCCCGCTTATGTCTGTATGAGACTCAAACCACATCCCCAGGGAAGAAAGTAGGGCTTCTAAATTGCTGAGAATGACAGATTTCTAATGACAGCGCTGGAGAAAAGGAGGAATGACATACAGAAGAGAATTCATCAACTGCAGCACCTCCCGCAACATTCTCACTGAAGACGCTGACGGATTTCCGTCAACGGCACTTCAGCAGGCGAGAGGATACGCTTAGCTTACGGAGATACACGAACATTCGCACATTCTTTGTTCGACAGATCGGAGAGAAAACAGTTCTGTCCTTTACCTGAACAATTGGAGGCCAATGTACTAAACCGGTACATATACGGAGTATGTGCGATGCCGAGTCGAACTCTTCGTCCTTGCAAAGAGGACGAAACTCCAGTAGATTTTTTGCCTCCCTCATCTGGGCTACTTTCAAAGTCAAGTGGCCAGACAGATACCACTCAGGTTAACATAAGACGAACATCTAACCCCTTTCACATTCCTCACGACGACAACAGAGCATGTCAATGTTCGTCAACAATAGGAAGCTTGGAGCCACAGCCGAGCGCACAAGTATATCCACAGCAAATTGTCCTATGTTTCAACCCGCTCAATCTTGAGAATAAGCTGCTCACTGCCATCACCTGTCACGAATGTTTCATCACCAGCGAAAGCTGAATCATCAATAATGCTGGTCCTAAAGTTGGTATAAATGGCAGTAACAGCAAAACGCATCACTATCCGAGAATGTTCTATCAGTACTCTATTCATTTCTTACTCTGCTTAGTGAAATTCACTCACATTCAAAGGCCAGGTTTTGGCCCAGGCATTGACGGCTACCGCTGCCAAACGCCCACCACCAGCGCTCCCTAGCTCCAGCTTTCGGGTCGCTCGAGTCAACAATCCATCGCATTGGATCCCACGTCCTTGGGTTGGGGTAACCCTCCTCATTTCTGTGAAGGCACCAGGCAAAGGCACCCACCCGGGTTCCAGCCGGAACGTTATCACATGGTCCAATTGTAACCTTTCTACCTGTCGGAGTTATCCGTGGATTGAGGGTCGGAGCCGTATTTCGGAGGCGGAGAGATTCCTTGATCACTGCATTCAGGAAAGGTAGCGCCTCCAATGTTTGGGGAGTTGGGAGCTCAGTCCTCTTTTCATTATGGTACCGGAATGGCTGCGAGATTGACAGCAGCTCTTGTCGCAATTGCTCCTGGATCTCAAGATTTCGCGAAAGGTTCAGGATAACGTAAGAAAAGGTTATGCCTGCAAAGTTAGCCTCGACTATAAGAGTCTGGCTCATAAGTTGCTCTTACCAAATGTATCTCTTGTGGCAACTGGGAGAAATTAGCTGGCATCCTTTTTTTTTTTTTTTACACTCTGCTTCGGGTGACGGAGATGCTCAACTTACCCAGGTGATCGAGGCATTCACTCGCAAGCTCATGCCTCTGAATGTTATTTGGTTCAAACCTTCCATTTCTCTTTTCGCCTTGTTCTAGCTCTATTCCTGTTTTAAGTGCATGATACAAAAGAGGCATATGTCCAGGACTAATTGTCTCGTCAGTTGGGTTGTTGCTAAGAACATCCTCTGAGAGTTTAATGCGTTTCATAGCCCAGTTTTCCAATTCCCGTTTCGCCTTAAGGAAATTTCTAGGGATCAACGGGATGCCGAATAACGACGCCACTTGAGACAGCACAGGATGTTCTGTCAGCCAAAACATGTTCTTGGATGGGTGGGTTTGGTCGTATAGATCAAGCCAGTCTTCGCGAGAGGCTGTGTTTTCTAAGAACCTGACCCCACGAGGCAACCCAAAAATGAATGCAGAAACAAAGTCCAACCCATAGGCGAGATTCAGCGCCAAAATATCGATTGGCTCCTCTTTCTCAGCTGTACGGGCGAGTATGGGAAGGATTCGCTGCTGTATCACGGCATCTAGAATTGCCCGAATATGGGGAGATGATTGGAGAAACGACTTCGAATACACTCCGCTGATTCTACGCCTATACAGAGCATGCTCAGAGCCTAGGGCACAAAATGTATTTCGGAATCTCCCCAGAGAATCAGTAAGAAGCTCGTCAAGTAGGAGCCGGAATCTTACCCATGATTTTGGAAGAAGTTGTACCATGGCGCCTTGTCGAAATTGTCATTGCCAATGCCATATATGTTTTTAACACCGCATTCCATGGTATTGACTGCCACCTCTTTGGGCGCAAGGCGAATATACGGGCCCTTCTGTCGAAACCCAGAGACTACTGCATCGAATTCCTTGTTGGTCAAGCGTTTCCATTGAATCCATAGCGAACTGACTGATGCGAGTGGGTGGGCGCTCGGTATTTTCGCCAGGGGAGAAAAGAATAGCGGATATAAAATCTTCTTGTATATGACGAACGCGAGTGTAAACAAGGTGCCTGCAAGCAGCAGCATGGTGGATACTCCAGGGGTCTATTACCTGTTGAACAAGTGCTTCACCCCAAAACCAAGCTCTTTATTTCTTTTCGAAAGATCCAGAGGAATTGAGCCTCGGAATGGCATGTCTTATGAGAAAACTAGTAGCCACGGGTAAGATGAAGAACTGTTCCTGGAAGATTTGAATTTTGGCTACCAGCCCTAGCTTCGTGATTGAAGCTTGACAAGTTGCATTTATCCGACTGCGAAGCACTTGCAGCTGGAGTGGCTTGCGCATCGCCCTGGGCTGGTTTCGAATCTTGTCATACACATGACCGTTAAATCCTTCCTCTGACATCGGAAACGAACGCTTGCGCGAAGTTCGTTGAGGAACCAAGTTATTTCTACATCGTTCTCCATATGATGCACAATTCCATCCATGTCTCCAGCATTATCTCGCTGACACGACCAGGAAGGTAGAACAATTCATTCGGTATTCACACGAAGAGACACCGGTACGGCGAACGGCAGACGCAATACTCCGTACTCCATCCCGCATCTGATTGGGGGGGATTTCTCCAGTATTTAAGCTCAGTTGGATTCAAAATTACTGGCACAGCGAGACCCACAGCTCGGATCTGTGGTAGCTGCGTCTGATCTTCAGCAAGTGACAGAGCAACCCGTAAACTGGTAACCGACGATCATGGTGGGTTCAGGAGAGATTTGAATCGGACCGGGGGGGGAGAAATCCACTTCAACCGTCAACGAATGATTTTACAAATCAAAGCTGTTGTTTCTCCATGAGGCTGTCTGATCAACTGCAAGGGAACATAACAATAACGACTCCGTCCCCGAGAGGCTGGCTGAAATGTGCAATCACGCACCGAATCCCGCGTCAACTTGGAATGGCTCAATGCCCACGATGCATACGCATAATCCGAGAGAAAGCGCCTTGCTTCGTTGATGATTGATGGCTGACGATATACGGAGTACGGAGTACAGGGTGCTGTTAATGCAAGAATTTCAGGGTTGTTTTTCTCGGAGAGAGGAGTTGGCCAACCAAGTTTCCGACATGGCCAACCGATACCCGACTCTGGGCTCAACCTTCGCCGCTCGGAATGAGCCATGGTCCAACAGCATACGGTGAGAAAGACAGCAAATCCGAAGGGTGCTATCCACATAGGATATGCAGCGCTGGATTGTCAGTGTTGTACGGAGTACTTTATACGGAGTACGAGATATAAAGGTACACACTATTCCGTACAAGATCAATTGGGGGGCGCTTCAATCCGTGCTCCTCTTCGTTAGAGTGACTGCATTCTCTTACTACTTTACGGAATAACTTGCCGGCTGATCATCCGGTCAAGCACAGCCTGCTTGTTGGTTCATTCATGAGTTTCAAAATTTTCAAAATGGAGACCCTTGCTGAGCAACATCCAAGCGAGAATTTTCGAGTCCTTCCTCTCTTTGTCATATTAACCCTCCTTGTATACATCATCGTCGTCCACCCTCTCTTCCTTGGGCCATACAGTCATATCCCAGGGCCTAAGCTCGGCAAAATATCTTGGTATTACATTGCATGGTATGATTTTTGGCTTCAACGAAACGACAAAATCGCAAAATGGCACCAGAAGTACGGCAGCATCATCTGCTTTCGGCCTGGAGAAATTTCCTTTGCTTCTCCGGAACTCATGAGAGAAATATACGGAACAGCCGGGAAATACACGAAGAGCGACCTCTTTGAGAATTTCATGGTATATGACCAGAAGCCTTTGTTTTCAATCGGGTCGTATTGGGAGCATAGGAAGAAGAGGATGTTGATCTCTTCCTTTTACCACAACACGAATATTACAAGACCAGTCATGGAGAAATGGCTGAGAAAGAATATTCACAAACTTATGGCAAATATTGACAAAAAAATTGGCCAAACCCGGGGGAACAGCGATGGAACCATGGTTAAGGGCATGATAGATGCGTATCCTTTATTCAATTGCTTCGCCTTCGATAACATCACGCATGTACTCTTCGGGTCAAAGTACGGAGCGAAAACGATTGAGAATGACTGTCCGGAGCGTAAGATCCTTCTGGGGATCAAGCAAGCGCAGATGTGGGGCCCATTCAAGTTCAATTTTCCAGCACTTGCCTGGATAGCTTCCAAGATGATGCACATTCTCCCCGCGAACGTGGCCTATCGACTTCTTCCAGAGACCTTGCGTCTCTGTCTCAAGTCCGAGGACGAAATGGCTGAGTGGAATTGGCGGTCGTTGCACGCTGCGCTGGCCGATTTGGACTCTGTAGAGGATTACACCCTTCTTCGACGCATGCTTGCTTGCAGAACTAAGGACGGTAACACCTTGACCACGTCATATATAGCCGCCGAGCTCTATGACAACATAAACGCAGCCCAGGAAACAGTGGCAGTTGGCCTTATTTATCTGATCTTTCATCTTGCAAGGCAAAAAGTATGGCGAACTAAAATTCGTAACGAACTTGCGGGTCTCAGCCTTACAGAGGATGGCTATCCGGGGTGGACGGATATAGATGGTCTGCCCTTGCTTGATGCATTTATGCGCGAAGTATTGCGAGTTAATCCTGGTGCCAGCGGACGACAGGAGCGGTATATTGAAGACCCGAAGAAGTATTATGGAGGTTTTCGCCTTCCCCTTCGTACTCGTGTCACCGCCTCCACCATTGCACTACACCATGACCCGCAGGTTTTCCCCGATCCGGAAGAATTCTGCCCTGAGAGATGGCTCCACCAGACGGCCGAAAAGCTGAGGCAGATGGAGAAGAGCTTCATCCCGTTTGGATATGGAGCAAGGATATGTCTGGGAAAAGCTTTCGGGATCATGGAATTGAAGATGCTCGCTGCGTTCCTACTGCTCCGATATGAAATCGAAACAACGCCGGAGATGGGAGATGGGAAAACGGGTCCAATGTGGCAGTGCGGCTCCATAGAAGCGGTACCAATAGGATTGAAGGGAGAAATTGTATTCACCAGATTGCATTCAATGAGTAGCCGCTCTTCCACCAAATACATGGAACGGGACTGAAGTATGACGGGATTCAAACCTACTCCTTGTGCACCTTACAAAAGTATATACACACCTTTCTGCGACCCGGGGATTTGCTGCATCTAGACCAACAAGGAAATCTTTCTCAGAGTCCGTGTCTTTCGGTGCACCGTACTCTGTACAGACGACGAAGTAATTCAATCATGACATCACCATTGCATTTATAATTCCGAGTGTGAAAGATCCCCATTTTCTTTGTCGATCGAAGTGGCTGGTCCGGGCTGCAGCGACCCGGCTCTCGGTTGTCACGCTCCAAGGGCTCGGCGCATTCACAGATTTTAGCCCTAGGCCGAATAGCAACCATTTACACTCCGTAAAATGACGCTATGAAGTAGGTTCAGGGCGCTTCGGCTTCGCCCAGCTCCAATTCTGACACGTAAACTTTGTGTTTATCGTACAGAGGACTCCGAAAGCGGGGATCTCGCGATGATAGAAGTACTACCCGGTCTCATCCACCAGTGAATCGTCGTTATTCTACACGGTGAAGAGTATCCTGCTGATGCAAACCGGGGTGCTCGCCTATACTTGTCGAGTCTTTTTCCCAATCGGTGTAAAATCAGTATCCCCGTCTTGCATGATCGACTCAATCCCTACTCCTTGCTTTTTTAACCTGCATGCTGCGAATGCGACAGATATCGCCACAGACGAAACCTTGCGGAAATGCAAAATTGGCCTTGATCACAATATTAGTGGGATGGAGACAGGCCAATGCTGGTCATAGCTGAGTGACAGTCACCCAGTGTGGCTCTCCCCTTGGGTACTAGCCCATGGCGACGTGATGATGGCTGGCGAGCAAAGCGGATTGCAAAGGATATCGTCGAGACGGACGCATCTCGACGCCAGCCAACTTCGCAATGGCTGCAGTTACCGTATCGGGAACTGATTTTCAAGGAAATACAAACATCCTTCGCCTTCCGTGGCCCATAGAAATAGGAGCCGCAAGGTGCTTTTCATGAGAGAGTCCAAAGCGCTCTGATACGATTGTCTTGTATTCTCCTGCACCATCTCTATACCCACCGTCTTGAGAGCTAACAGCTTAAAAAACGTCCGCAATCATGCCGTCCGCCAAATTAGCCATGGTGTCCGCCGACGATGAGTGGTCTCCTCTGGAGTCCGTCATCGTGGGCCGTGCAGAACATTCTGCTTTTCCGTCTGAACCCGCCCATATGATCGAAGCAACGATGCCAGATGAGCATCAGCAATCATTCAAGCCATCGAACCCATTCCCGCCGGAAATTCTTCAAAAAGCACAGGAAGAGCTCGACAACTTCGCTTCTATCCTCGAACGGGAGGGAATCCGGGTCTACCGGCCCAAAGAGGTCAACTGGCTTAAAATCGGCGGTTACACAGGAGCAATGCCACGGGATAGTCTTATGACTGTCGGAAACACCGTTATTGAAGCACCATTTGCATGGGGCTGCCGCAAACAGGAGGTGGAACTTGGATACAGCGATATTCTTTCGGCCCTTGCTGAAGACGGTCTCAGCAAAGTCGTCCGAGCTCCGAAGATTCTGGGAAGAGAGACGCTGTACGACGGTGTTGAGAACTGTTCGAGCAATGGAACCCACACCTGGGCTATTAACAACACAAGGCCTTCCTTTGATACGGCAGACTTTATGCGGTTTGGCAAAGTGATCATTGGGCAGCTCAGCAATGTCACCAACATGAAAGGTGTTGAATACCTGAGATCTGTGATCCCCGAGGGATACACCGTTGAAATCTTGCAAACAGACGATCCACACGCCATGCACATTGATGCCACTATCCTTCCTCTTCGAAACAAGCTCATGGTCTACCACCCTGAAAGAGTCACCGAGAAGGCCTTACGTCAACACGCCGTGTTCGAAGACTGGGAACTCTATGCGTACCCTTTCACCCCAGAGCAAAAGGATGGACCGCCGCTCTACATGACATCGCCATGGCTTGTGCTGAATGCCCTTAGTTTGGACGAAAACCGGATCATGGTGGAGGCCAAAGACACAGTCTTTGCATCATGGGTTAAGGAAAAGTTTAGCATGGAACCTATCATGTGTCCTTTCCAGCATGTTAATAGCATTGGTGGCTCATTTCATTGCGCCACTGTTGATCTCGTTCGTAGAACTTAAAAAAGAAGAAAAGGTTCCTGCTGGAATGGAAGGAATATACGGAATACCCTGTGGAGATTTAAAGAAGAAACAGTGGACTTGGTCAGGGTCATTTTGGTGATAAACCGAATATAGAACTGCATGTATGAGAATGATCGATGCAGATAGGCGAATTTCTACCGAGTAGGCCCATTCTGACATTGTCGTATCAACTATGGAGTCCAGCGCAAAAGCCAATTAGGAGCCCAAAGGAGAAGGCCAATTTGGCTCTTTTTCATGCTGAGGAAGTGAGAAAAGAACTAAAAGGCCTACTAATAGATAAAACTAAAGCCAGTAAGTCACTTTCCGTGTTTTACTCTCGGCCGTTGGCGACAACTCATGATTAGTGGAGAGTTATATGGGTTGCCTTCACAAGTGTAGAAGAAATGACCAAGTTTAACATAGAGCATAAGTATCAGCATCGTAGGCAGCTTTATTTTTATCCCATCCTACAATGCCTTTCATGTCGTTTGCATACGCTGCGCATGAATGCTAGGCTCTTAATGGATTATGCGCCATTTCGTGATTTAGAAGTGATGGTTGATTGAGTGCAGGGCAACCTTCTTTGTCAACAGGTGGAAGGCCGTAAAAGAGGGGACAAAGCATAATCCTCTGGCCAGCTGGGCAGACAAATGTAGCAAACTAGTACATGGAGGGATATCCAAGATTCTCCAGTAGAAACATAGGATCAAAGCAGCGGTTACTGATCCTTCCAGATTGGGAGGTGTTGGTGTCAATTTGGATCCAGGTCATAAAAGCTTTGGGCCACAAAATTCCTGTATTTTAAATATTTGATCCGGAAGAGTTTATCGAAGTGGTCTTCATTGCGTTCCAAGGTTAATTTGCGAGTCTTGCTGGCAAAATCAACCGCGAGTGCTGAAGCCTTTTCCACAATCTCCGGTTCTTCCCAGCATATCAATTGCTCAAACACAGCTCGATTGACAGGAAATGCGGGTAGTAACAGAGCTTTGGTTACTACATTTCCATCCATATCGATTGTAAGGGGTGTTGGATTCGTAGCCGACAGCTTCAATTAACTCAACTATGCTGTTATTTCTCGAAATTGTCATGTAACCTTCCGAGACAAAGGTATATTTACCACTAGGCAAGGGATCAAATTTCTGAACAAGATCGAACCAAGCCTCTCTAGTTGCGTCCGGACCAATATGATGATCTTATCTGCTGATGATCTAATAAGGTCTTAAAGGGATGAGGCCCTTGAATTCGGGCTTTTTGGCTAAGGGCCTATTAGTCGATCGAAAAAAGGGTTGGAGCCAGGGGGCATGCGATACTTGCTGTCTTAAGTACATCCAATTCACGGGCCTGAGTCATAGAGGGGCTTTGGCTTCAATACAAAGACATCAAGGATGTCGTCGTCCTTGGTGATAACGACCTTGATAAATTAGTGTTGCCGGCGTGACTTAATTCATTCAACCAAAAGCACCAGTAACCTGGGACTGGATGGTGTTAAGTCTTGCAAATAAGGTCAATGCTGTTAGGTCACAAAAAACGCTATTCTGTGACCGCATCCGATCGCAAATATAGATATGATAGTTGCGGGAATCTAGCCCATTAAGTCTTGATAGATTCTTGGAAGTTCCAGCAAATTCATCAGGGTTTCAAATTTTGTAAAGTTCAGAAGCAGCGATGGATTCGCTTTGGTCCTGAAAACCACAAGTGACTTATAAAATGCAAATACCCATGGAAACTGAGCTTATTGATATCATCTGCGGTAAAATCACTCAAAGAAAAGGGTCCTTGGACTTCTCGACAAAGTCCTAGTAAGAAAACCGGGAAAGTCATAAGATAACGGGAAATTAGGCCGCATTTGTGTGTTCTGAGGGACAAAACGAAGCCAGGTCCATCTGCGGGTTCGAAGTTGTTATTGCACCATTTCAATTCTGTCACTTGATGCCCTGACCTTATCATTGGATAGGCGTTCATCGAGTTTTCAAAATAACTCCGCAAGTGATATGTCTTCGCTGCGGTGGAATTCCTTCATGGGACAAAGCGGCCATGAGAGCATTCATATTCCAAACAAACAGCGGATAACATCGAAATTTCGCAAGGGCTTGCGTCAAAGTATAAACTTAAAGTATGTAGCTAGATTCCCGGTCCACAGTAAAAGGTTATCTCACGGGAGGAGTGACCGGTACATAGATATTTTGCATAAAGGGAGGAGAGGAGCGTAAATAAGCACATACGACCATAGGAAGTGGAAAACAGGGCTTCCCGTCCGCTCAGCCGTACTTAAACCACTTGCCGGCCGGCTAGTAGTTGGGTGGGTGACCACCAGCGAATCCCGGCTGTTGTATGTATTTTTTTTGAGCCATCAAAAGTCCATTTCTCCTCGCAAAAAAAGGCGCCACAAAGGATCTAGCATGGTATGGATCCGAAAATCTAGATTTTGCCAGCTCAATGCTACTTGGCCGGAGAGTAATTAGGTAACCCGCTGCACGTAGAGTGTTAGGGATCTTGAACTCACCCTGGGCGATTGGCCTTTTTGCCTTGGTGGTCAATTATCTACTGCCTATGGCTCCGTCCACTGCAGAGTTGACGGAAAAAAGCAGCGCCGAAAATTGTGAGGTCATGTGATTTTCCTTGGCTTCCAACCAAACTTCGAAAAGAGCCGCACAGACAACAAAGCTCATCAGACATGCCTTTACTATGGGGAAAGCGAAAATGTTTGATGGACCACACAAGTCAAGCAAGTTGAAGCAGGATTTCAGTGCCTATCCTGGTAGCCTGCTCGGACTCCAACCTTCACACATGCCATCTGATGTTCAAACAAGCCATAGGGATCCTGGATGGCAAGTATCACTGTAATGTCAAGGTGGATTTCAGTGGGGCCAACTCCAACAGCTGTTTATAAACATGATCTTACCAGCTCCATACCGCCCATCACCTATCAGAGATTAAGGCGAGGCGTGCCTGATAATGCTAACCTTTTCAATTAGACCAAATTCTGGCACAAGTGATGATAAAGGAGGGACCTGCAAGTATCATCGCTGTCTCTCCGAGAGCTTTACTCGTTCCAAGGTCTACTATGGACTTCGACCTTGTCCAAACCTATGTAGTAGCAGCCCTTTAGCCGACTTCTCGATACCAAGATCATACCCAAAATGGAAAAGAGGAATATTGTCTCATATGGATCATGATGTGGATGGGGATTACATCAACACTGTCAACTCTATGCGGGAATAGCAAGCGTGAGTGGCTGCGAAGCTCTCAGTGGAGTTGGCCTTGCGTCCGAGGAGCTCACCAGTGGCGGCTTGAGGGATTTCTGAGACTGCTGCATTCCCCCATCGACGATCACGACTGGCTTGCATGTAAGCACATATATGCATGCATACATATCCAACCTGCCGGAGGGTGAAGATAGGGAGTGGTGATGCGTCATTTCCTTACGGGAACTGGGACTCGGAACTAAAGCTTCCAAAGAAAGGCGTGGTGAGCAGGTCTCGATGCCACCCGTTGACGATGGTGCCAGCTTCTGAGACAAACTTTGCCCAGCACGATCTCAGTTCCAGCCAGGAATATATTTTTTTCACAACTTCCCTGGAGCGCATCCCGCGTCCGCATTCCACTGGTAGATCATGACGCAGCTTAATAGCAGGGTGGGCGAGACACGGCAATATTGAGGGGGTGGTGGTCGGCGATCCCATCCACCTAGTACATATACCGCTACCTAAAGAGCGTCATCTCAAAGACAAATCACCAAGCCACGCACACACACACATACGTTCAAGAAGAGATAATCTCTAAGTTAGTCACCATTCAAAACGGGGTTGCCGGCGGTTCGCGCAGGCGCATGCCGCCTCCCAAGAGTCAACTGCTCTCCGTCCTCCATAGCTAGGGAAGCGAAGACTCGAAGTCTATCTAAAGGTAGTGCCATTGAGAAGTCCTAATATGCTCTCCAGGTGAATAACAACATTTCTAGCATCTCACAGTTGTGCTGAGGTGAATTTTCTTGATGTTGATTAAACGACAGCTGGATGGGAATTTTGTGATTGCAGGGTTGACAAAACATTGTAGGACCGCTATTACATCCATTATGGCAGTAAGTACGGAGTACATTCAATGCATTGACCTGTGAAACCTCTTGCCATTGACTTCGAATAAGGGGTGACTATCTCAGCTTCTTGCACACAAATTCAGTGAAACCAAAATATCATGCATCCCGCGGCATCTAGCCCTTCTTGAAGACTTCAACCTCAGCAGTTCCGAGGGCACCTCCTTCACGTACCCATCCCTCGGCAGAGACAACATACTGCTTGTTACGATCCTGGACTTCAAAGTTGTTGGTCTTGGATCCCCAGGGGCAGTCCCAGTAGAGAGTGCAAACTGCCGCCTGCTCCTGCATCAACTGCAAAGCTACTTCAGCTCCAGAAGGGGAGTCCGATCGACCACAGGTGCAAAGGGTGTAGGTGGCATTTGGAGCAATCTCAGTGCTGTCGACATCGTCGGCTGAAATTTCTTCGTCTTTGTTGCCTTCCCTGTGGATCTTTCCGCTGCAGCCGGTAAGAGAAGACATAAGCATAAATGCATGCTTCATGTGCGAATTGGCGATTAACTTACTACATAAGTCTCAAATTGGCTATCTTAAGTGCCTTATTGGTGGAGTTGGTTATCTTGACGATAACCCACTGTTGGTATCCCATGGTTGCTGTGGATCTTGGGCTGGGTTGCAAATGAGCTACAAGACACAAACAAACAGGCTGATATGAGTATAGGGTCAAGAAATCATCCGCGTACCTTGGTATGAGATATCGAATTCAAGCAGTTGGTAGGAATCTTCTGTCTTCTGTGTGTCTTGAGGAAAAAAGAGGCTGGCTATCGCTGGGGGATGGAGCTGTATTTAAGCCTGAACATATTTTTAACAGGTCTGAGTCCAACCGAGTTACGAGGGGTCTCTATTCAACTCGATCTATTTAGATCAAACACATCATAGTTGTTGAACCGGGCACCAAACTGGGCGTATTGGTTCCCATTGAACCCACGGCTTGAGCAAAAGGAGCTGGGATATCGTTTCGGGTCTGCAAGAGAAGACTTTTATGAAATGTGCTGAGCGGGTATGGTTGCCACTTTTCGAGGATGGCCACTCAAATGTGCAGCGTTATGCTGCAGGTCTGTGGTGCAAGTGTGAGAGCACCTTGTATGCTTGTGAAGCGCTGCAACTACGGAGTTTAAAGATGAAAATACTCCGTAAACTTTTCGCGAATTGGAGAACATGCGTACATGCACATGACTGCCATGGATGGTAGCGGAAGCACAGACCATTGGGCCCGGGATATTGGCTGACCTGGATCCACCTAATCCCATTCGACCCGCGCATCTCAACGTTCATAAAAGTGGGATTCGAGATACCTAAATCTTGGGAGATGCTATGGAGTAACGGACAATATCACCCGTGCAATACAGAGGATCCATCGAAACGGCTGATCTCAAGTGCTGAGGTCCTCGAAACCGAGTAGTGGACTTTTCTGCAAGGCATAATGACAGCAACAACAGGGTAGTTGAGGGACACGATATTGTCACTTCAGAATTGGGTATCTTCACAGCATGCATTGCTCCACTGTGACAAGTATTACTGATGGCATGAGGTAGACTCAATGCAGCCAGGGGCTGCCTGATAAATGCTGTGAAAAAATGTGCAGGATAGCCATACTAGTTATTTTTAGCCATGAACCCAAAGCAAGTTCAGTCCGGATGGAAATCTTCAGTGCAACACTTCTTGCTTTCAGTGCCTGCACATCTTCATAACCTTATGGAACTCCAAGGAGTAAGTCTGTCTCAATAAGGCGAAGTTGAAGCTTCCTCAAGTTAGTGATGACTATAAAAGGTTTTCCCTTCAATGGGTCCCAAATTTGGCCAGCAATATTCAATCCAATATACTCTGAAGAATATTGGTTTACATTGCCTTCAACATTCTCCATTTTATAATGTGTTCATCCAGAAACAACTTCATCATGCCTCAGCTTGTCCCCTTCACCCCCGATATGCAGCGAGGGCAAGGGTACGCAGAATATGGACACATTATCAAAAGGCCAGATTGATTAATTCTCACTTTGAGTACTCCGTAGTTTCAACACCTTCCTTCAAGAGCCCTGTGTCAGAGGTGCTGTCACAGTAACTTCCAGTGGCTTTGAATGCAAACAATTCAAGGCCGATTATGAGTCTAGTCTGATTGAAAGCTATGAGTATGTACTCCGTAGTACCAACCTAAGGCGGACCAGACTAGATGATTGACTGAGGCTAACCGGAACAGAAAATTGGTGCAGTCCTTAGATATCAGCGCTGGTGCTGCTGTCAGTGGATGGGGCCAGAGTGCCAAAGTCGATGCTAAATATTTGGACCGTACTGAGGTCTGAGAGTGACTCCGCACCTTAAGGTTGTCTCAATTGCACAGACTAATTCAATACGGAGTACTCCGTACGGAGTAAACAGTTCGAAAATAGTACTCCGACCTACCAGGTTAGAGTCAGTGTGCAGCAGCAAGGCTCAGTAGATAACGTCTACAACTTCAATAAGCTTAACAGTGGTAACCTTGCAAGCACATATGGAGACAGATTCATCGCTGGTATGGATGATCTGCATGTGCTATTGTTATGCTAATGATAGGCTAACTTTTAAGTAGATTTTATCCGAGGTGGATTATTCCTAGCTAGGGTATCAATTACCGTCAAAAATACATCTAGCAAGAAAGAAATATCCGAGGCGTGGCTTCTGGGGACTGATTTCCCCCTGTTGGAAATGGTGATGAGACTTACTACGTAAAGTGCCGAAGTTGCCTTCAATGCTTATGGTGCAGAAGGGAAAGTGACCGAAGATGTCAAGTCCGCAGTCGAAAAGATACAAAAGAATTCACATGTCAGCATTAAGATTCATGAGATGACCGGTACTCAGTCTGAGGGTGGTCCTACTACCAAAACCGAAGCAGCAGGCTCAGACCTCCTTGCAGTGAAGGCCCGAGCAGATAAATTCTACGACGATGCTCACGCTGGAAAGCATACCCATATACGTTTGTGCGTATGGCTCTTGGCTGTCTTTCGCAATTGTCAACTTGGGGTTCTCACATCAAGGCTACAGTGCGATGCTCAGTCAATACACCCGTCTGCCGGATTTTGACCAATCTTGGTTTGTCCCTCTGGATTACTCGAAAGCGAATCTTCTAGTATGAACTTGTTTCCAATCCCCCAGTTGGATGTGCACTGACTGCTATCGTTAGAGCTGGAGCCTCTTGGATGATTTCACAAAGTACTTGGCGACTGAGAAGATTGTCAAACAAAGTAATACAACCTATGTTTGATCTACAGAGTACTGTATGCGTTCAATGACTGGATTATTTACATCTGGGTTTCGATGATAGTTCCTCTTGAAAAATTCAAGCAAGGTTTGCTACAGAAGCAAGAACTTGAACGTCAACGAATCGAAGAGGTCGACAAGATTAAACAGAGGGTACTTATGCAGCCAGGATTAAAATCTCTTCGACAGTAATGTTGACAACCACTTCAGGCGCTCGATATTAGTAAAAAGCCGGACACTGCTACTGCTCCACCAACACATACACGCCCAGAAACTTTCAGGTTCCAAGTTTATGTTCGTGCCGAATCCCCGAAGAAGAACTAATGACATTTATCTGATTTCGTTCCTAGGAGGCCATCAAGACAGTTATATATATCGTTCAGAGTATTCCCAAGCCAGATGATAACTGGACCGATAGTGAGTACCATACAGCATTTAAGCCATTCAACTGGCACTAATGTGATGATTCTACACAGCAATCGATAAGTATTTAGCTTCAGGAGCTAAGCAGAGATTCAAAATCCAGGTATACGATTTTGATCAAGTTCTTGGCACCACTGTTGTTTCTTTTGGCAAACATCGAAGAAGCGATGAATACCATTGTCTTATCGGCGAACGTTTACAGAACTACAACGATTGGAAGGAAGAGAGTCATTTTTGGGTCTTTCCCGAGGCTATCCATGGAGTAGCCGATACGGCCATTCTTGCATACGGCACAAGAGCGAAGAGATATCTCCGCCTGCAGGAGGGCGATCCCAGTGATTTGAGCCAGGTCAGCGGAAGGCCGTTTTTCTACTTTCATACAGCGTTCGACCCTGCGGCGGGGTCCTATTGAAGGTGATATAGCCCAGAGATATAATAGTGACAATGTTAAGCACATTGCTAGACCCTTTTCTTTATGGAACACCGTCATATTTCTCAGTTACCAGTCATCAATTTGCACACTCCGCGGCCTCAGAATAAGATGGACGACATGCGCCATGAACCTACTCCGTACACAGACTTGTTTCAAGGGGAGGGGAAATTAAAGATAAAATACTCCGTAAATAACTGCGCGTTTTCGGATATGGAGTGAATTACAGACTAGCTACGGAGTACTCCGTGGTGGTTAATCAATCATTGGGTATTTTGAGGATCAGTGAGGAGTATGATTCCAGCGAACCTCCTTTTCCAGCGGCATGCTACTTATGCATAGCCGGTCACATCCTTGATTGAATTATAACAACTTCGCAAGCCACGGATCCGCATTGCAAATTCCGCAGGATGAGCCAAGGGGGGCCTGCGGGATATAACTTTATCTTCCCTCAGAACGGATACTCCATCCTCTGTGAATACGATCGGCCCGAGTAAGGCGAGTGGGGACCTTAACCGCTTGTCCTTTCGTTCCTGGCTTGTTCACTAGTTAACTAGTTAATTAACTAACTTAGCGTGCATATCCAGGACCGGACTGAAAAACGGAGTATGTATTGTACGGAGTGCTCTGTACTCTGTACTCCGTATCTGGAAGTTTGTGATGATCGCTCTATGCAAGAGTCAATGAGTAATAGAGTAGTTCTTGGTATCCCGTACGGAGTAGATCAATGCCATTATGATGGATGGCAATGTAGTGGCGCACCTGGGGCGGGACCACCGCTTGGCTGCGGTCTTCAAAGATAAAAGTCGTTGCTCGCCCTGCAGAACTTCTGTACTGAGCTCCATTCTCCGGACACAGATTTATACCGTGTTCAAAATCGAGTTGGAACACTCTGTGGTTCGACTGGCACCCAGCCTCCTCCCGCAATTGCTCCTTTGCCATGGTTTCTCTATCTTTGCTCTTATGTTCGGCCTTAGCCGGCCTTTTGCATGTGGCAAGCTGCATCGACGTGCCCGACCAGGCTCCATTGACGGTTGACGAATGCAAATGCAAGCCGACGAGTCCTAAGCCGGTCTACGCCATCGCCCACCGAGTGTTAACAGAGGAAGGCATCCAGGCTGCTATTGCCCATGGCGCCAATGCGATTGAAATCGACATGACCGCTTGGAAATCCGGCTGGTGGGCAGATCACGATGGCTTACCCACCAGCGGCAATGTCACCGCCAAAGCTATGTTTCGCGAGGTTGCTCGGCTCCGTGAAGACGGTGCACACCTGTCGTTTGTCTGGCTGGACATCAAGAATCCCGACTGGGCTATCAGCGGCCGCTCCTCGGTCGCATATCTCCGAAAACTCGCTCGTGAGTATTTAGAGCCTGCTGGGGTGCGTGTGCTCTATGGATTCTCCAACCCTCGAAACAGCTGGGGCTTCAAGGAGATTCGCAATTTCTTGAATGCAAATGAATCGGTGAGCGTGTGGATGGACTCGGGTGATGCCAAGAAGATCTATGCCGGTGTTGGTAGAAGCATCCCGGTTGCCCAGAGAGTGGTGGATAACGGGCTATTCTCTTTATTCTGGAAACCATATATCTTCGATGATCTCCGTCGAAGCTCTGAGGCTCGAGATTGTTGCACGGTAGGAAAGGCGTTTGGATGGACGATACTCGCTGGACAAGACAGATACGTTGATAAGCTGCTGGGATATTCGGGAGTGGATGGCCTCATCTACGGCACCATGGCCAGTGCATACGAAGATTCGGAAGATACACGTGCAGCGGCTGCGCTGATTTCCAACTGGATCAAGAACCATCCCGATACTCATCGCGTACCGACACAGGATGACAAGCCCTGGTGATGAAAGGCAATCCCAGCAAGGTTGTTAACTAGTCAAGCGCGTGAAATTAGCAATGGAGAAGCAGAAGAACATTCACACAGAGTTTCCCCTGCTCAGTAACTGCACCTACTCCTCCTCCGTACGTACACCTCTTGAAGTACTCCGTGATGCATCTCTCCACCCTCCGGTGTCAACCACAGTCAGGCACCGGGAAGGCCTCCGATGGGCTCCATGCCCAATCGGATATCCGCGGCGGGAAGCACTCGGCGGAATCGCCCTCGGAGAAGCGCCTGTTCTGCCGGTCTGGGCAGGGCAGAGCAGAGAGCAAGGTCGGGATCGCGTGCTCGCAAGCAGAGTTACGGTGGTGGCTTGTCGGGAAATTCTGCTGCAAACCTTAAAAGAAAAAAAAAATTCGACGGGAAAAAGGCGACAAGGCCCAAAGAGTCTCTCTCCTTGTTTCTTCCCCCGCCGCCACGCCCTTTCGCCGAACCAACCTCTCCGCACTCACTCGCTCCTGTACATGCATTCTGATAGAACTGGATCACAGCACGCTTGACCATATATATATATATATATATATATATCTTGCCCTCAGGGAATCATACATACTGTGTATAGTATTTTGTTCTGCGTATCCCGCCCGTGACTCATCGTTCGATTTTATTTCTCCCCGTTGCACGGTTACCCCGCCGGAAGTTTTGAGATAAAGAAGAACAAGCCTTGCTCGTTCCCTCGCTCCGGAATAATAGAGACGCTCTCCTTTTCGATAGACAGATATCCCCCAGCCCAATTTCGTTCTAACCTCTCCCCACAATGGCCTCCGAGCAGCCCCAGGTCCCCGCCAATGGCAACTCCGCCCCGACCGACTTCGCCGTCAAGGCCGGATTGGCGCAGATGTTGAAGGGAGGAGTTATCATGGACGTCGTCAATGCGGAGCAGGTGTGTATCCTCCCTCAATGAGAACACTATCCCGATCCAATTCGTCTGGAATGACCAAGTTCTGATGAGACTATCCCTTCGTACAGGCCCGCATCGCTGAAGAAGCCGGTGCCTGCGCCGTCATGGCCCTCGAGCGTGTCCCGGCAGATATCCGCGCCCAAGGCGGCGTCGCACGCATGTCCGACCCCTCCATGATTAAAGAAATCATGAACGCAGTCACCATCCCCGTCATGGCCAAGGCCAGAATAGGCCACTTCGTCGAGTGCCAGGTAAAACCCCCTCCCCCCCTCCCCCCTCTCCAATATACCCGCAACCGAATCAAACCAAAACTGACCTCCACAGATCCTCGAGGCAATTGGTATCGACTACATCGATGAATCCGAAGTCCTCACCCCTGCCGACCACCTCTACCACGTCATCAAGCACCCGTTCAAGGCCCCCTTCGTCTGCGGCTGCCGCAACCTTGGCGAAGCCCTCCGCCGCATCCAAGAAGGCGCCGCCATGATCCGCACCAAGGGTGAGGCCGGAACCGGCGACGTCGTCGAGGCCGTCAAGCACATGCGCACCGTCAACAGCGAGATCGCCCGCGCTCGGTCGATCCTCACCTCCTCGACGAACCCCGAGGTCGAGCTGCGCGCGTACGCCCGCGAGCTGGAGTGCTCGTATGAACTGCTGAAGGAGACGGCGGAGAAGGGACGCTTGCCAGTGGTGAATTTCGCCGCCGGAGGTGTTGCTACCCCCGCCGACGCCGCCCTCATGATGCAGCTGGGCTGTGATGGTGTCTTTGTCGGTTCCGGTATCTTCAAGTCCGGTGATCCCAGAAAGAGGGCTCGCGCCATCGTGCAGGCCGTGACTCACTACAATGATGCCAAGAAGCTTGCGGAGCTCAGTGAGAACCTGGGTGAAGCCATGGTTGGCATCAGCGTGCAGGAGATGAGCGACAAGGAGAAATTGGCGAAGAGAGGGTGGTGAGAGTCTCGGTCGCCTCTCGACCACCCAAACCCGCTAGGAAATCCTGTCTGCTCAGTCCACATCTCTGATCTCTGATCTCACTTGACATATATATAGTTATGAGTGGCAGGAATTTTATTGGCATGTATTTTCAAGCGTAATATGTGCATGTATGTACAGATGTTAAGCTCATTTGGATATCCCGCCATGGCCAATTGGAAACAGAAGGAAGTAGTTAAATCTTTACGCGAAGCGAATTTTCAACGTAAAAACAATTCTTTTCATTTTTTTTTTTTTCACCTGCTTTTGCTTTCCTTTCCCTTCTTTTTTTTTCTGATTCAAAAGTAGAAAGAAGAAAGGAAACATAACCCTCCCACATCTCGTCACTCCATTTACCAATTCACACCTAGCACCATCCCAAACCGAATACTCTACGGGTCCCTCCGCAATATCCTCGAAAAGGGACTTCTCCAATCCTGGATGGAAAGTACAGAGCTTTTTATGTTCCCAGCAAATCAGGCATACGCAAAGCCCTTCCCCCGACACGAAACCCAAAATTCCCGAACCAGATTATTCGTTGCGCGCGATCCTCTAACAGCGAAAATCGACGCTAGGAACCTTGCCCGCTCAGACTTAGATACACCAGAATCGGCGTTGTGGTTATTGCCCGGCTGGCCTGCCGGGCCTCCAGCAGCTTCGTTCGAGCTCGCATCCAGCGACACAAGCGCGTTGCCCAGATGCATCTTCGCAGCACCAGGGTGCTGAAAGGCAAATTTCTTGATAACCTCGCTGAAGTGATCAAGTTCGGAACGGGCGCATTTCCCCGCGATCTGGCTTATCACAACATCGCCCAGCTGCGCCAGATATGCGTCGAATGGTTTTGCCGTAGCGGTTTGTTCCTGTCCTTTGTAAAGGCCGTCAGGGGTAAAAGCAGGGGGCAGGTCGTGTAACCCCAGCAATGTTGTCCAAAAGGAGCATGCTGCACGCAGAGGAAGCGTATCCGGGCCTTTGAGTGTAACGAGCGTAAAGTGCAGAATAGCCTGGACTACTTCAGGCTTGTCTTGAGGCGCCTCGATAAGGCTGAAGAACGATCGGCTGTATTTTGGAAGAGACCGTGTTAGAAAGTCAATGCAGCTATGGGCCACCTCTGGATCATATTGCACCGGGTCCTGCGCCATCCGGACCATGAGGTTGTAACAATGAACTATGAGCTCAACAACTTCGTCGTGAATTTGTGCTGGGTTTGTCGCCCTTGAGGCTAGAAAAGCAGATGCGGTTCCCATAACAACAGGAAATCGTGTAGAGGTCATGTCAACTGCTTTCACAAAGCGTACAGTCACTTCAGGGGGAAGTACGTAAGGCCCTGGCGACTTCTCTGTGTAACCCGCTTTTAGTACGTCGCATGCACCTTCAATAATATCTCCATCGGCACAGAACTCGTTTACAAGATGCTCCAGAATTTGTATAATAAGCGACTGAAGCGAAGTCGCACGAGGATCACCTGTCCAGAAGTCGCTTTCGGCAGAACGATCTGGGCTCTCCTCATCGAGGTTAATACAAAACTCTTCCGGAGCTCGCAATCCCTTGCCGATGCTTGCCGTACAACCCATTACCCTGAAGCCACTCGCAAGACCTGCTTCATGCTGGCCGGTCCGCGAGATGTCTCTGGCCTGCTTTGCTTCTTGGCACAGGGGGTCGAGCAACTTCAGGAGCAAGTTTGCCTTGCCAAGTTCAGAACCAACGGCCTGGATCACCGAAGCGATGCCTTCCACAACTCGCTCCAGGGTATGGCCGTTTGTGGACGGATTGGCATGAAGCTGAGCGAACTTGCTGATAAATTCTTCGACATATATCGTTAAGGGCTGACGACAAGTCCCGCATAAACTCGAAATTGACTTTGCAGCTGCTTGCTCAGAACTGGGCATTCCCAGTGAACTAAACAAGAAATTCAACACCGGTGCAAGGAGGTTGTGGTTCCTTTCAAAATATGGCGTATATTTCGCAATCATATCAGAGAGCGTCTGGCGAGTTTTCAACGGAATGTCCGTTCGACCAAAGCATATAGCATCAAAAAGCTCGGAGTGAAATAGCGCATGCAACAGATCGTCAGCATGCTTATTCTCGGCGATCGTATCCGCCAAAGATGCCAGGCAAAACATAGCAACTTCAAATCTTTCCCAGTCATGGTCGCGTATCGCCACAGCAGCTCGCTCTTGGATTTGCTGAATCATGGGAACGCCCAAAAGTGGATAGGTAGCCAACAGAAAGTCACTAAAATCCCGTCGAAAAGTATTAAAGATTTTGACATCGTCGTCCTCCCATTCGCTCAGAACCGACGGGTTGGGATATCTAAATTTATCAAAACATTCCGCAATAACACGGGTAAAGTTTTCCTTGACCGAGAGAGTCGGTTCGTCAAAGGCGCCCTCCATGATTAATTCGCTTATATTATCGGCAGCTTCGGTCCAAAATTCAAGTAGAAGATTACTTGCCATGTCCTCAACTGCACCGACACCAGGCGCATGGAACAGTTTAAATAGTAAAAACAGTATGCGTTCATGTTTCTCGTCAGGGGAGTGAGTCAAGACTCGTATCTGAGTCTCTGACGAAGCGAATCTGAGGAGCAATTCCAAAAATCGCATTTGATCATCTTCGAACTCCCCATTTAAGATGGCCATTGCGTATTGTTCTCCATCTGACCCAATTAAGAAATCCATGATACCGGTAAAATGATCCGGCGTGAGTAACTTTGGTTGACTTAGAATAATATCAGTAAGCAGTTCCATTGTGTTCGGGGCGAGGCGAGGCTCGGAGAGGAACCGGATCGCACAGGATATTGGAACATTGACTGCGGAAGAGAGAGCCCCTCTGTCGACGCGGACGCTGCGCATTGCAGTAATCCAAGCCTTTTACTGATGGTTAGCGAGGCAAGTAGCATAGATGAACACTGTCAATTTACCTGTAGGGATGAGATGGCCTCTTGCGCCGTATTTGTTGGCTGATCAGATGAAACATTGTTTGCTGAAGCTTGTGCATTATTAATAGCACGCTGGAAGGAATAATTAATCAGAAAAAAGGCATCATTCATGTTTGCCGTGAGTCGATCCTGATAGCCAGAGCTGTAATATCGTTAGAAATTAAGACGCAGATCTACAAAAGACGAAATGGAGACGGACCTGTTTTGAGCATGTCGGACAGATTCTTCGGCGAGTGTGGTTGAAAAGGACATGACTGCCAGGAGGCGGTCATAATTGAGTGAAGGTAGGACGAGGGTTTGGAAACTTTGCAGGTCAGCTTGCTCCTCTGGCAAATATTTCCCGTTCGCTAATGAAATGGCAACGTGTCGTATGCAGTGTGTCCATGGAGCTTGGGGCTTGAAGAACATTGCAGTCATGCTTGTGATGAATTTTCTCATGACCACCGGCGTTTCATTCTTGTTGACTAAAAGCAGAAAACAATCCACCAGGCGGATGAGCAGATCCCTGACCATTTGCTCTCCAAGATTGGCCCTGCACCTCAGGTTAGACTCCGCGAGGAGGATACCGCGCTTGAAAGCTTACCAGTCCTGGTGAATCTTCATGGTCAATGTAAGAGCGCCATAAAATCGGACGTTTGCATCTTCACTTCCAAGTAGGCTATCCGCAATAGCCCAGCCCGCAGCAGATTTCTGCAGGGTCTGCAGACGAGCTTGGGCAGTCTGTACAAAGCTAGCGTTCCCAGGGGCACTCAGAACTTGAGCAAGCTGGCAGAATATGTTAGTGAATAGTCCGCACAATAAAGAAAGAGATAAGGGGATAGCCTGAATTTGCAAACTGACCTCTGTAGCCTCGCGGATAAGCTGCGGGGCATCTCCTTGCTTCTCCATGGCTGCGCGATACAAGCACAGAGACTTGAGAATGGGATTTTTATTTTATTTTATTTTCTTCTTTTTCTTTTTCTTTCTTCTTTTCTTTTCCTTTCCTTTTTTTTTTTTTAGTAGTTGCACGATTGGGTCTGGAGCGGGTGTTACAAGAGATGCAGCAGTTTAGCGTGCGATACTCTTCTTCACCAGCAAAACCGCGGTTCTGGCCAAGAGAAGGAAAGCAAGAGGCGCAGTACTATCACATCAAGTACTGACAAAGTTTGATAGAGAGAATGCACAGGAAAGAGCACCCAGAGCTAGGGTCCAGCGGGCAGATTGGAAGATTCAAGCAGCAAGGAGAACAGGGGAATGTGCGCAGGGCCGGCAAAAGAAGGATGAAGGTAGAGCAGCGGCAGGATGTTGGTTCCTCTGGACAACAGTCACTGTACAATCTTTGTTCTTCTTCAGCGGCCAAACTGATTCCATTTCCCAGCGGATGGCTTTGCCTGTCTGGCTTTCTTTTTCTTTCCTTTTCTTTTCTTTTTTTTTTTTTTTCTTTTCCTTTTTTACTATATAGGGTGTTATTGTGAGAATATCCAGGATATCAAACTTGATGCTTGTGGGGGACAGGAGGCAAAAAGTGCGCATTCATTCAATTCATTTCATCCCACAAACCAACTCCAGCAAGCATCGGGCCTAGATCTTCTTCTGCTTGGCGAGAACGCAAATCACATGAACCAATCCAAACTCCAGATCTGTCAGACAAATCTGACGTTACTGTGGAGATATAAAAAAAGGAATAAAATGGACTTTCTCTCATAGACCGGCATGATGGCGCGCGGGCGGGCGTTGGTTGGCAGCAGCAGAAAGCAGCAAACCGCGGGGGGGGGTTTGGATGGTTCGCAGGCCGCTGTTGGTGCCTGTGCGCGCGAGACACACAGAAAGACAGAGAGACAGAGAGAGACAGAGAGAGAGAGAGAGCGAGAGAGAGAGTGTGTGTGCCTGCAGCGAGGGCGGCTTGCGTTCGGGCGGCGTTCAGGGCTGGGCTTGGCGGTGATCCCGTGACCCATTCGTCATCGTCAAATGCAGTTAACTTCCGGCCGCTCGCCCAACTGGTAAGCGAGTTGATGTCAACGTCATGGTGAAGACCTCAGCAGCCAAGCCAGAAGCCCCTTCACGCCCCTGTAGTTAGCTAGTGTAGACAGACAGAGAGAAAAGGAGAGCAAAGGAGATACAGAGAGGAACAGGGAGAAACAAGGAGGAGAAGGAGGAAGACCGTCAGTTCCCACCCTCCCGTCATCGCGGTTTGTGCTGTTCCACCCGATCCAACGCAGAAACATCCCGGGCGCGCGCGAAGGTTCCTTGCCTACCCGCCGCCAACCCCCTCACCGTCCCTCACCGTCCTGCTCCCCGCTCACTCCTCGCCGTATATCTGTAGATGACCCTCTTCCGTTGCTCTCTGCGTCTCCGTCTCCCGGTCACACTCCTCTCTCCACCTCCAATCCACAAACACAGCCGACTTTTCTCTGCAAGCCACCGATTGTTTACCGCCGCCGAGATGCCAGTGGACACGTCGCAGCGTTTGGCGAAGCTGAGAGAGTTGATGAAGGAGCGGCATGTTGATGTGTACCGTATGCTATGAGGTTGCCCCGCTCCATCTATCTCCCTGTTGTTTAAAAAAAAAAAAAAAAAAAAAAAAAAAGAGTAGTCCGGTTTCTCACGCTTTTCTATCCTCAAAAAACAGTCATCCCATCCGAAGACAGCCATCAGTCAGAATACATTGCACCTTGCGATGCTCGTCGAGGTTAGACCCGGCCCTCGCCCTCTTTGAAGATACCAGAATTGCTCATCACATCCTGTCCCAGCATTCATCTCCGGCTTTACCGGTTCTGCAGGATGTGCCATCGTCTCCATGTCCAAGGCTGCCCTCTCCACCGATGGGAGATACTTCAACCAAGCCGCCAAACAGCTCGATGAGAATTGGCTCCTGCTAAAGCGTGGAATGGAAAACGTCCCCACCTGGCAAGAATGGTATGGCTGCTTTACATGTCTATGTCCTACAGTAAAATTGACAACTGATCTGTCTCTAGGACCGCTGAACAGGCAGAAGGAGGCAAAGTTGTCGGCGTTGACCCGTCGCTCATTACAGCGGGTAAGGAGAGGAATCGATCTCGAATTCAGCCACTGTTTAGTATTGACCATTGCAGCCGAGGCACGCAAGCTTTCTGATACGATCAAAAACACCGGTGGATCCCTCGTTGGTGTCCCAGACAACTTGGTTGATCTTGTATGGGGAGGAGACCGACCCGCCCGCCCAAGGGAGAAGGTCATGGTCCATCCTATAGAGTTCGCTGGGCAGTCATTCGAAGAGAAGATCACAGACTTGCGAAAGGAGCTCACCAAGAAGAAGAGGGCCGGCATGGTCATATGTGCGAAAACCATTCCAACTTAGCACCGTTGGGCCTAACTAACTTTCACTCGCAGCGATGCTTGATGAGGTTGCGTGGCTTTACAACTTGCGAGGCGCTGAGTACGACCATCCCGGTCCTCTTGAGTCTCTTGAACGATTCTAACCTGCTCTTGTAGTATCCCATTCAACCCCGTCTTTTTCGCATACGCAATCGTTACTCATTCCACGGCCGAGCTCTTTGTTGATGAAGCTAAATTGACTCAAGCGGTCAAGGAGCACCTTGGGGATAAAGTCGCTTTGCGACCTTACGAATCCATCTTTGAGTCCCTAAAACTGCTCAGCCAGGCAGTGGCCAGCAACGGTGATGACGGCCACCAGAAATTCCTGCTGTCTGACAAGGCTTCCTGGTCTCTTAACCTGGCTCTGGGAGGGGAGGAGAAGGTCGAAGAGGTCCGGAGTCCCATCGCTGATGCCAAGGCCGTCAAGAATGCCGTCGAGCTCGAAGGAACGAGGGCTTGCCATATCCGTGATGGAGCCGCTCTGACGGAGTACTTTGCCTGGCTTGAGAACGAGCTGATTATCAAAAAGACTGTGCTCAACGAGGTTGATGCCTCTGATAAATTGGCACAAATCCGCTCCAAGCATAAGGATTTTGTCGGCCTCTCCTTTGACACCATCTCCTCTACCGGACCAAATGCTGCTATCATCCACTACCGAGCCGAGAGGGGTAATTGCCCAAATATTGACCCCAATGCTGTTTATCTTTGCGATTCAGGTGCGCAGTACCTCGATGGGACAACTGACACCACCCGCACTCTTCACTTCGGCAAGCCAACGGAGATGGAGAAGAAGGCATATACGCTCGTCCTCAAGGGTCTGATCAGCATCGATACTGCTGTTTTCCCCAAGGGCACCACCGGATATGCGATAGATGCTTTCGCCAGGCAGCATCTGTGGCGGAATGGATTGGACTATCTGCACGGTACTGGCCACGGAGTTGGCTCATACCTGGTGAGCATTTTTGGCGCCCACACATAAAAACTCTCTTCTTCAACTTCATGCTTACTCATTTGATAGAATGTCCATGAGGGACCAATGGGCATTGGCACGCGAGTCCAGTATGCAGAAGCTCCCATCACCGCGGGCAACGTCTTATCTGATGGTAAGTCCTTTTTCTGTATTGGCTCGATGCTACGTTTGGCTCACTGTCGCGCAGAACCTGGTTACTACGAAGATGGCAATTTCGGCATCCGAATTGAAAGTATGATACCTAATCCCCCTCCTTTTTTTTTTTTTTTTTTTTTTTTTTTCAAATCAGCTCTAACAGTGGTTTTAGATATCGTTGTGGCCAAGGAGGTCAAAACCCCGCATAAGTTCGGGGATAAGCCATGGATTGGATTCGAGCATGTCACTATGACACCTCTCTGTCAAAACTTGATGGACACTTCTTTGCTGACGGCAGAGGAGAAGAAGTGGGTGAATGACTACCACACTGAAGTCTGGGAGAAGACGAAGGGATTCTTCGACAATGATGAGTTGACAAGGAATTGGCTGAAGCGGGAGACACAGCCGATTTAAAAAAAAAAAAAAAAAGGAAAAATCCTATCAATATGATGTCGATAGATGTTTGAACCATGAGGGTAGTTAACATTCTAGTATTAGTTATTGAATGTAAATCAATATATAATTATATTCCATTGCAATTGAATTGTTTACTCTGCGATACATACTACACGCGGTGAAGTTTTGTGATGAAAACGAATGCTTGGGATCAAAGGAAGTTCTTAGAGTGGCATGCACGATATTTAAAATGAATTACTCCGTACCTCAGGCACCTAATATCGCCCTTGTAAAGTCTCTTGGATATCAGCACCATTGAATTTGGTGCACTCATTGTAGCTCTCTTGATCAGCTTCCCGACTCCGAACTGAAACGATCCTTGACGCCCCATCTTCGCAAACGAGCAACATCTCCGACGTCACAAGCTAACTAACTAAGTAAACTTCCAACACACCCATTCCGCAGACCACACGATTGACAAAAAAACCACACCACACACACCCACCCGCATCCAGACCCATCATGGTCAAACCCCCCGCCGAATCCAAGCCGACCACAGCTACCATTCCCCAGGGAGATCTCCATCTCCGCAGTCTGGCATGAACTCCCGCAACGGCTTTCCCAACTCCGGCCCCAGCCCCTCCGATCGAAACTATGCGTCCTCGAGGAAGTTGGAAAACCCGGCGATCAATCCGCTAGTTACGAACAATGGCTATGGCCCTTCGGGCTCGCGAGAGCGTAGGCCCGGCGGGTACGGAGGGCTCTACGATACGCAGCCGTCCGAGTCGCTGGAGAGGGAGCGCCGGACGCCCTCCTCGTCGCGCTCGCGGGCAAGGTCGCGGGCCAGGGATGATGGGCGATTTGGTGGAGGGCAGGGCGGTCGGCATGATGATGGAGGACAGTATGGAGGAGTGAGAGGCCAGACGCCGGTGGGTTCGGGGCGGAGTCAACAGGTTGATGGTTGGTGAAGAAGGCTTTTTCTATACTGTTGTTTTATTGTCCTTTGACGAAATACATGGGTTGAGGGACCACTTCGTGGCTAACAGGCACTTGCTATCTACAGATATCATTCGTCTTATCCATCAGGAATGGGATGTCATGTCCAGCGACGACTGTATACCAGTCCAGATTGGGCTTCAGTTGATGGACAGCAGCACCCTCGGCCAGGCGGACAGAGAACCAGACTTTGTACGAGCGCATAAGGGTTTAAAGAAGGCTTTGAAGGCTATTGTCAATGGTTGGTTATATATCCTTGTTTTCGATCGCTTCTTGGGGTCCATCTTGACTTTGAACAGAACATCATCAGGGGTTTAGCGGCGCGATTGGCACCTATCACAGCATTCAATCTAGCATCCAAAACTCTCAAGGCCGGCTTCGATCGTTAAAGTCTACACTCGCAGAAGCTAGATCGGGATTGCTCACGACGAAACCGGAACTCCAAGGCCTAGCAACGGCTGCACAAAGCTATGATGATTTGTTGCAATTGCTGAACCAAATAGAACATATACAATCCCTTCCGGAGACGCTCGAAGCACGAATATCAGAGAAACGATTTATAGCCGCTGTGGGTGTTCTGAAGGAAGCAATGGACCTAGTACATCGCCCAGAATTCGAGAATATTGGCGGGCTCGGAGACTTGCGAACTTATTTTGCCAACCAAGAGACATCGTTGATGGATATTCTCATTGAGGAGCTACACGATCACCTGTACCTCAAATCCCCGTATTGCCAGGACCGCTGGAAGACACCCGCGGAGGATGGAATGGGTGGCGCGAGTACTTCGCGTGGAATCGCTACTTGGGATAAGCCAGTGTATAAGTTCTTGTCAAACCTCAATGTGACTACGCCCCTCGTTGACGATACATCCAATAACCCGGAAGCCGATACATTTTCCTATATCCATTTGATTATCGAAACTCTCCACAAGATGGGAAATATGGAAGCTATGGTTGACCGTATCGAACAGAGGCTCCCCGTTGAACTCTACGCTGTCGTTGACAAAACGAGTGCCGAAATAGCCGCCCGGTATCAGGATTCTACTCGCAGGGTGCAGAAAGATGCTCATGCCCCTGATAGGCCTCTGGATGCTATTGAGGAGCGTGGCCATATCCTTTCCGAATTTTTGTGGGGTTTGTATGCAAAATTTGAGGCGATCGCTGAGGGACATCGTGTCGTTCACGACATCGTTGTAGGAATTGCCAAGAGGGAAGGTAACCAGAAAGAGGCATTAAAGAATGGCTTCAAGGAGCTATGGAAGTTGTACCAGAGTGAGGTGCGAAAAACACTTAGCACCATCTTATATATTGGCTGCTAATGCTATGCTCAGATACGCTCTCTGCTACATGACTATCTTGCCACAGACGGGGCCTCCACATTCAGAACTGCTCCCGGCGCGGCAGAGGATCGATATTCCTCCATCCAACGAGACAAATCCAAAGCAAGTCGTCCAGGCCTTTTATCCGCTATAGCAAAAAGCTAACAAAGGTTCTAGAAATTATTCAAGTTGTCCGAAATCGACCAGAACTCAGCCGATATCAAAACTGAACAAGCTGACTTGGACGAAATCTTGCGATCATCCGTGCCCGGTCTCGTATCCAAATCGCGGCAAAAGCTTTCATCTAGCGGCCCAACTCGTTCCGATCAAGAAAGCTCAGGGACAGGCCATAAATTACTTATCGAACCCAATGTCTTTAACATTAGCCTACTCCTACCTCCAGCTCTGTCCTTCATCCAACGCCTCACAGACATCGTTCCGATTGATTCGGATATTGATGTTAACAAGCTGACTACGTTTTTGGACGATTTCATGACACATGTCTTCCAGCCACAACTAGAGGAGGCTGTGACAGAATTATGTGCCATGTGTTTTATTGCAGCGGACGCATATATGGAGGATCCGCAATGGAGCTTGCACTCGACAAAGCCAATATTCAAGGTATGGGCTTTTGTTTAGGGCTTTTTGCTTTTGTCTTTTTGGATACAGTCGCTGATAATTTCAGGGAACAATCACCTTCATGCACCTTATCAGGAGGTTTAGCCGGGTCTTGGATAGTATTCCTCATGATCAAGCTTTCACACAATTGTTGATCGGCCAAATGGTCACGTACTATGAGAAATGCTGCGGCTGGTATAAAGGTAATATCTCTTTGTTCCCTTCATAAATTTGGGGTCTTCTCTCTAATAAGCAAACAATAGCTCTTGTGAGCCGAATGTCTTCCCTTCACCCAGGTGGCATCCGATTGAAAGCTTCCGCAGCATATGCAGAGGCTGAGGACACCCGCAGCATCGCGACCCAGCTTTGGGAGAGCCATGTGAGTGAGCGACAGGAGCTCATGAACAAGGTAAGCTCGCATGTGTTCATTTACCCCTTTTTTCGCCCTGCACTAATCTCGACCAGGAAATTGATCTATTGATCAACCGGACAAATAATACATCCTTAGAACCGTACGATATTGTTTCAGACCCAAAAACAGTTTATTCAGTTTCATTGCTCTATAACAGCATGGTAAGCTTTTCATGCTCTCTCAACTTTTCGGGGACTAATGGCGTCCCTTTAGAATTGGCTTGTAAGCAGCCTGTCGAAACTGCGACATATCACGCCATATACGGCTGATTCTTCTCGAGGACACTCAAGGCAGCTCTCAGGTGGCCGTCGATGGACATTTTCAAAAACAAGATCTGAACTCTGGGCCCAATCTCCTCGTTTACCTATGACCGAAGAATCGGTTAAGGGCTTTGATACAACTCTTGAATCGATCAAAAGTCTGGCAATCACCGCTCTCTTGACACTCCATCTGGACATCCGATGTGGAGCGATTCACATGGTCACTCGCAGTCTAAAAGGCGGCATGAGCTCCCAGCGAGCAGAAGCCACGCCATCAACTCCTGTATCCTCGACGGACAACAATTGGACCCACATTCTCTCGGCGCAGCCGACTTCTGCATCTCCTGCCATCCTTGAGCTCAACAACGACCTTATTTCTTTCGACGCCAGTATAACCACCTACTTAGGGCCCAGAGAACATTTCTTCATCACCTCCGGCCTCGCGAATTTGATAGACCGAGCATTCGTCTCTGGCACCCGATTCATCGGTGCAATGAACGTCAATGGTGCCCAGAGACTTCAACTGGACGTCCTCGTCCTGCAGCAGAATCTTAAAAATATAATCGTACCCCCACCCCAACCCGCAGCCAAGTCGACACCCAGATCGCCGTCTTCCGAACAAAAAATCAACGCCGTCATCCAGGAAACTGTTGCCCTTCCACGTAGCGCTAAGTTCCTTGACTGGTTCTTAGAAGGCCCGGATAAATCCGTGCAACACGCCAAAGAGGAAAAAGAAGCCTTTAGGCGCGGAGATGTTCAAGCCATGGAGGCCGGGAACGGCGAGCCGTTTACGTACGATGAGTTAAAGGTGCTGGTCGAGCTGTGCTTTTCTGCAGTACTCAAGGGGCCAAGGGGAACAGAGAGCCGAGAAGACTTTTTGGCTGCGAAGAGGGGAAGTGGAGATGCATTGTTGCGACTGAGCGAGGTTATGTGGGATTCTTAGTTTCTGCGAAGGATTTAGGCGCGTTATTTTTCTTTTGCTTGTTCCCAGGCATTTCTTTTGATTCCCCTCGATGAAAGGTGTTTTGATACTCCGTACTCGCTACATATGTGTTGCATTTCCTTTCCCCCTCTCCTTCACAGCCGAAAGCAATAGCTTCACTTGTTATGCTGCATTTATCCGCTATGATCTACAGAGTACAGTTTCCCCTCCCCCTTCCTTTTTTTTTTTTTTTTTTTTATTTTTTTTTCCAATCAACACAATGAGAATCTTACCGTGCAATTTATTCTATAGGCCGCGCTATTCGTATCGCTGTATAATTTACCCAGCCAGGGCCCAAAATCTACATTTCAAAACCAGCTTGGTCTATTTTTTCGTTTTTATCAGAGTAGATATTCTCGAGTTCAGAATCATATCATACTAGAAGAAACCAATTTATAATTAACTACTTGTTCAAAAGCTGTTAACAATTCAAAAATTCCGATACCCTTGTCGAGTAACAAGTCAGTCCAGAATACCAGCGCTTGCAGATGCATAGGAGCGGCAAATCGCGATCCGCGCGCCCGGGAACTCCGCCACCGGGAGAGGGATCTACGCGACGAGCCGCATCTCCGCCGCTTCTTCTCCACGTTCCCGGGTTCGGGCCAACCATCTCACCTGATATCACCTGACAGATCTTGGGTGCCAGGGATGTAGGTAGGATTCTCGTTCACCGTCGACATCCCAGTTCACCAGGGCCAAACTATTCACCATTTAGGCCCATGTAGCCGCAGGACTACATTGCTTTTTACTGACGGAGCTGCTTTTTTTATAGATAAGAGATAGTAACGTCTGCATTCACATGGCTAATCTTTGATGATTGCCCTTCCTCTCATGTAAGAGGGTTTAAATACAGTTAAACCTTTAGAAAACGATAACAAATATAAAACTTCAAACTTCATAAACGTCTGAACCCTCCCCAACCATTTGTCCATCGGAAAACACATTAAAACCTTGATTTTCGCCACATCGAAACGAGACATTTGAAGCAAGCACCGAGTCCATCATCACCGTGTAACGCCACCATGAAGGAGATTAATCGAAGGGAGATAAGGGCATGCCACTTGAAAAAGATAAAGCGTCAAGTATCGTAAGGTCGTCGACGTTCCATCCATCGGTAAAATACAATCTGGATACGGCGGCCGGGTGACAGAGCCTTTTAAATATCATCACCCGGAACGACATAAGGCTGAGCAAAGAAAAAAAAGGTACAAGGAAGGACGAAGACCAGCAAAAAACGATAAAAATGCATTGAAAGCTGAAGGCGACTGACGAAAGGGTCCTTTAGATCTGGACGTCATCGATTTCGAGCTGCGAGAGGTCCTTGTCGTCGTCGTAGTCTGGAAAATCGAGGCCGGCTTCTCGGCATCTCTGCAGCCACTTCATCGCGAGGACACCACGACGGTTGACCTCAGCCTTCAGCTTGGCATTTTGGGCGCTGATTTCTGCAATGGCTTGAGTGGTGGTCATTTGGGTTGTGTCCCAACGATCAACCATGGTTTTATTATCCTCTTGCAACTTCGAAATGTACTGCACAGCACGTTGCAGGATAGAGCCTTTTGCCTTTTCGCAGCCAGGAACCAGCTTTGCGAGTTCATTGATTCCTTCGTTTATAGTCTCGCGACGACGTCGTTCGACTAGGCATGTGTAAGAAAGGTAAATATGTTTGAAAGCCGGAGACCTGACAACTTACCTTCTTTGTGATTATTTTTTCTTTGGGTATGCCACTCAGGAGAACCCACGGGAGGTTTCGAGTGGCTGATACTCTGAGCTTCGCGGGCAGCGTAAACAGCTGCAGCAGTGGAGTTGTGCCCGTGCACACCTGGCATGGCAACTTGCGTAACGTCTTCGCCGAACGCGGCGATATTGTGGCCGAGGGCGTTGTTGTCAAAAGCCGACTCTGGGGCCGAGAATTTAGGCTGGGGGTGAGCGGCGAGAGCGGCCTTCGCAGTCATCGCGTTATCATCGGAGACGCCATTCTGACCACCGACGTGCTGAAGAAGCTGCTGGTCAATGTGGCTCAGCTCGGTGGGGTTGTTTAATCCATGGGTATCGTATCCTAATTGAAATCGCTTAGCGGGGGGAGCTGCTTCTTGATAACCATAGTAATACTCGGGCGGGAACTGCGCACCATGGATGTTGCCATTGTTCGGGTGCATATTGGCGTTGGTGTTCGCCATGGGAGGCGAGCGAGCCAACCGCTGGCTATCACCAGCGTCAAGAGATTCGCGTTTGCGCTTTCCGTCAGCGGTGGAGATCGAGCCGATGTTGTCAGACATGGCTGCTTGTCCTATCAGCTTGGCAATTCAAATACGTTGCAAGGCTGCCGGAAAAAAAATAAATCATGTTAAGGCGAAGGATGCAACTGCACCGAGAGTAGGGGTGGGGGAGGCGTCAGGAATTCCAAATGGAAAACCTGACAGACTTAAGGTGTATTTTGGGGGCTTGAAAAATTCCCTACCGACCTTCGATTTGAGGGAATAAAATCTGCGAATCAAAACCAATTAGAAAAAGTCCATGCAATAAAAGAAGAAGAAGCAAAAGTTGATAGGTGTTCAGTAAAAGTAGTAGAGGAGATATGGTTGAGTGTGGATCCAAGGAAGAATGTGATGTTGGTGAACGCGTCAACAGTTAACGCTGGGAGAACAACAGAGGGGCAATTTCAAGCTAAACAACAGAAAAGATGGTACCTGTGAATCTGACACCTTGCTGTAGCGAGAAAACAGTGAGCATCAAAAGAGTAGAGTGGTCTTAGGGAGCAAAGGTAGGACTCTAGTGATGTGGGAGGCTAGCTCGACGTCAGAGGTTGCGATGAGCTCGACTGCGGACGCTGAGATTTCCCAGCATTTTGCTGTGGACCTTCGTGGCGAGCAGCCGGGTGGAAATGGAGCATGATGAAGCAGAAACAAGGCAATATTCGTGTTGAAGACGACGATAGCAGGATGGGGAGGTATGCTGGGGATGGTGCTGGGATGGAAGCCAGCCTACCTTTTGATGGTTTATCAGGTGACGAGAAGTCACCTGCTCGCTGGCCTGGAAGGGTGGATGTGAGTGGATATAGATCTCGAGTCAACGAGAAAGTAGACAAAAAAGGCGCGAAGATGGAAAATTGCCGGGCGAAGGAAGTAGAGCAGATGCAGAAGAAGCGAGCCTGAATGGCAACCTGGGATTTTGAGGCAGGAAATGGAGGATGGGACGCGAAATAAGAGGGAGCGGAAGCTTGGGCGAGGGAGAGCGAGAGGGCGAGTGAGAGGAGGACTCACGTGGCGAACAGGTGACGGGGTGGCTGCCCCTACGGCCGGGCAGGCGAGCCACCCCGCCGCCCTTCCCCGTTTCCCGATCGGGACTAGCCCCGTTGGCGGTGTTCGTGCACGAAGAGCCGCCCCGGCAAAAGGTCCCTGCGCCGCATCGCCGTCATCAGTACTCCGTAGACAGACTAACACTCGCACATTAGGCATGTTCCGTATACGGAGTACACTGAAGTGCAGGCTTTTAGCTGCCGGAAGACGACATCTATTCGACTTTAGCCTCGAACCCGCACTCACTCACTTAGTCTATCCAGACGACATCCAGTTTCGCATTGCCGGGAGACGGGAGCTGCGCGCAGACAAATATTAGCATAAGACCCTGCCTTTCTATTTTTGGGCTAGGGCATCTTCGATCCGTCCTTACTCTGTACACACGGTGCACACAGATGGGTTATCCACTTACAGGACACTGTCCTCCGTCTGGCGTCAGCACCACACCACCTCCCATCACCGTCACCCACCACCATTCAACAACAACTCTTATTCCCTTCCTCCAGCCAGGTCATGTGCCTTGGTCCCGTGGCCTGACGAGCCCTCACTGACCACTCTTGGCGATGATGACAAATTAGCCCTTGCTCTGAAGATCTCCCTTAGCCACTATGATTGGATGCTTCTCACCCCGCAGTCATGAGGACCCTTGGCTCCTTCTGGCCATTCCAGCCCACCCAGACGCTTCGGACCTCCGACTGGGCTAGACCGGGTGTTTACGCCCGGTCGCCCAGCTAGATCAACCGCAATTCCGCAATGCGGCCATGGCAGCTGGACTGCGGACGCTCTTCTGCCCCTGATTGTATGGCTTTCACCGTTACAGTGTTAAGAACGCAAGACATCCACACCCTTTCGAGGAACTGTCCCATGTTCCGGCTGCAAGGAGAGAGTACAAGTCAGTGATTCCCCGACCCCGGCTTGTATAGTTGATGCATGAGCTATAATCGATACTTGATTCACTTCTACCTGCCTCTCAGTTAGACCGCTATGGAAAGACACGTGTATTTAAAGAATGGCGTGCCTGCTACGCGTTATTCTGAAGGTTATCCCTTCTTCAACGCTTTGGGTCCTTTCCGATGGGAGTTTCCTCGGTGTAGGTTCACGCCGAGTCTTGAACAAGCTCGATCTCTAACGCGAACGCGCTGCCCTTGCGTCTGTGATAGACTGCTACTCGCTCACCAGCTTTCCTGTATTGGGATGCAATCAAGTTAACAAACACACTGGAGATGTTCATCCATATGTAAGCGAAAGGAAGACAGGTGATGGGAGACGAACATTACCAAAGGCTCAGAGAGGGCATCGGACTAAGTCTCCCCTTTGCTCTCCTTGACTCCGCTGGGCTATTAATGACTAGAGAAGTATACAATGTCTTGTCGACAAGACGAATTCGGTCCCCGTTGCCATATATGTCAGGCTGGCTACCGCATCATGCCAGTCTAAAGGTCGAGCTCGTCCCTCACTGTCCGGAGAGGACGTCAAGGAAGCTTTTCATATCATTATCAGTATTGTAAGAGTACGAGGTACCGTACATATACTCGCAACTCATCAGCCACGATCCATGTTTCGATGGATTGACGAGGATACTAATAAAAACAGAGGTGGGGATGAAGAAGAAAAAGCGACAAAAATTCAGAAGAGGGTGGAAAGTCTGCTTTTTATGTGTGTTTACCGTCTCAGCGTGGGTCACATGGGATCATGGGATCAGGATATCCATCTTGGAAAATTCCAGGGCGCAGGGTGCCGTAGCCCTAGGCACTGCCGCTCAAAAATCCGTTTTTGAACATGCTGGCTATGCGGCTGTACTCAAGTGTGTGCTTCATTATCATTATGCAGAAGAGCGCAGGGCCAAATAATTAACTGTCATGCACTCGGGATAAACAACCTGTCAACCCCTGTTTACAAAGCCATCTAATAGAATCATGATCATAAATTACCAGATGCTTTGTTCTAAGACAGAAACCAGATTTAGCATGAAAAAGCCGCTGACAAACACGGTACATCCTCCTAGCAGTCAAACCACATTTGATATCACTCTCCCTGCCTCCTGACAACCCTGAAAACCATCTTAGGAGGCAAATCTGTATCTACAAAGCAAACGCCTTCCTCAGCGCGCCCAAGTCTCTCCCAAACCACAATGTCGACGTCAAAATACCTCCGCTCCTCTTCTTTGCTGTTGTCTCCGTCATCTGCGTTTGCCTTGCGAATCCCAATTACGCAGCTCGTCCCCGCATATCGCGCCGTGTCCTTCCCCTCCATGCCCTCTTCCTCTCCAGTCCGGTTGGCAAACACAATGATGATCTCCTCACCGTCCCAGCTGTCCCTGGTGATCAAGGGCCAGAACCTCTGGATCCAGTACTGGAACGTGTCTGTGTCTGGCGTTTGTGGTTCGCCAGCTAATTCCTCAGAGGTAAGCCAAGTAAGCCATGCCATTGAGACGATGACCAGCTTTGCTCCGCTGTCGAGGACGTGCGTGGCAAACTCGTATGCAGTGTACGGAGCAATGAACTTGTAAGGGTTGATGTCCATGCATATTCCAACGGCCGTGGGAATGTGGACCGTCGATTGTGGGCGATTACTGAGTGTCTCGCCTGGTTTTGATCGTACAGAAACCGGAAGTGGAAAATATCCCTTTCCATTCTCTCCCTCAGATGCCCAGGGTTCATCCGTGTAATAGAGGAAGCATTTCTGGTAATTGAGCAACGTATTTCCAGACGAATCTTCAATAATAAGCGAATTGAACCGCTTCTCATGTTCAAGGTTGGATGTTTCGGCTTCAGAGGATTCTTGCATCGATGTCTGGTCCGATTTAGTAGCACGGATCTCCGGATAACCGACACAGACCACACAGCCTAGTCGGCGTGCAGTCGAACGAGCCCATTTTGCCGTTGGTCCGGAACGAGTAGGCTCAAGGTAAGGTTTGATAGTCTCCAGAGAAGAGAAATTGTAGCCTATATAAAAATGTCATTATGGCCAAGATTCAAATGAGAGGATCTCAGTGTATTCAAGTGTCCAAGCCGCCTTTACACCTACCAGTAAACGCCATCTCCGGCAAGACCAGCAGGTCTAGTTTCCGCGCTTCATCGCCATGACTTTGCTCCCATTTGTTGAGGATCTCCTCGCCGCGTTCAATATTACCGTCGACATCTCTCAGGCGCGGTGAGAACTGTAATGTGGCGATTCTCATTCTTTCCACCTCGCACTTGCTGGAGAATTCCCCGGCTTAAGCGTTATTAAAATAGCCTAGGGCAAATCAGCATTATATTTTATAGTTTCTATAATTGTAAGATTAGGGAGTGCTTCGCTTAAACAGCAACAGTGAAGGAAATCAACGAATGTAAATAAGAAAAAAATAAAATAAAATAAATATATAAATAGTAAAAATAATATCCGGGGATACGTACGGTGTCGTTGTCAAGGCCGTCATTGACTACTTGACCAATTTGTTAAAATAATTCCGTTATAACCAGCATTTAATTAAACATTTATATGTAAGAGTCAGCTATAAAATATGTCACAGTACATACACACGGAGTACAAAGTATCCTTGATTTATAAAATTGAATCCTATCGTGTGACAGCGATACAATCTGCACCCATTGCTGTGGTTCACATCCAATGACTTGTTTGACAGTTTTACAATCCTTGATGTTGCATTTACTTCTCGATATGGCAAGTCAAGCAAAATCGCCAAGCACGATATCTCAAAAGATTCCCTGGTCTTCGATGCCTATCAGGAGTTCTGCCGCTGCTGGCGGCCAGTGCATCACTTTTTGGAAAGCATGAAGAGGGCATTATGTTGTGTTAGTAAGCAGATAATTCAAGGAGATAAATGTCTTGGCGGTAATCCGAACTCTAAGTGGCTGACTAACTAGCTGAGCTTAATTTGACCACATCAAAAAGCTTCTTCAGAGCGCTGGCGGGCACTTTAAGCATTAGTTTATCTCTCAGTTCACGCAGTATATATTCTCTCTTTCCTCTCTTCTTCTTCTCTGTTCTTCACTTCTCTTCTGTTCTCCCCTCATGGATAACAACAATATATATATATATATATATATAAAAGAGGAACAAGGAAAAAGGAAAATTACCTCTTTACCATGGTCGTCACTAAGGAGATGGTGAAGTTGGTGGGTTGGGTCGCGGGAGCTTTGAGGATGTCAGTCCTTAAGGCAGGGATCCAGTGCGTTGCTGCCACTGTGGCTAGATAACGGGCGGCCCACAGGTATGAGAGAACCCTGGCCTAGCTATGCTATCATCAGTCCACAGGGGAATAGGGTTCCTGCACCTCTTGTTCTATCCGCAGATCTATGCCTTTGGGGAGATTGATGGCTCTCTACGAGGCATGGCGAAATATCAGATATGCGTCTCCTCCGTGGTCACCGACAGCATTGAACTTTGTGGTGCCGGCATACGTGGCGCATCAAGGTACACCGTACACATTAGCGCGCATACTCATCTTCTGGATTTATGTCCCGCACGTTTTAAAGGAAGCATCCAAAATTGAAACGCTGGCCATACAAGATGTTAAAGAATTCTACTCCACTTACCAGCGCCATGATGGACGAAACGGACCAATCTGGCGGCCAAACCTAAATCCTGCGGCTGGAAAATCTGATTGTCACACAAAGTGAAGTAGTTTTGGTATTACTTGCGACATTACTCCAAGCTGCTAGCTTTTATTGAAGGAGAAATCACGACGTCATCACACTCACTGTAACAGCGGGGATTTTGCCAATGATTATAAATTGGGTCAAGTTCACTCCCATCACTGCACTTCCAGAAAGAAGAATTGCAATCCATTCGCGGGCAGTGAAGTTGTTATCATTGTTACAAATAACATGCATCCTACCACCATGCTCAATGGGCAGAGCTGCAAGGACCAAAATTTCCAAAGGCTAGTGATAGAGGAAGCATTCCCCTAACCTAAAGCTGGATAGGTTTGAAATGCCACAATGGGTCTGCATGACGCAATAAGAAGGATAAGAGCAGTGCAAAATATGTGCCAAGTTATAATGAAATTTTCAGCCACTAAAGTTGAGGAAAGAAGATCTATTTGTTAAGGAGGATTAGGAAAGGAGCAGAGAGCGTGTTCAAAAATGACTGTGTGCCGAACAAACGTGTAGCATCTTTTCAACCTGGCTCTATTCTATCTCCGGAGGCTGATAAGGCCGCCAAGACCTGAAGCAGTGCCTCAGTGTCAGAGACCTCTTTCAACATAACACCATTCATGATATCGCGATGGAATTTATTTCATTGACAGGAGGAATCAGTTCTTACTTCAGCTTGATATTGGTCAATTCGCCAGAAAAGAAAATGTCCTTTCTTTGCATCTTAGCTATGGCACCATGGAAGACAGTACATATAATAATGGTTCCTCTTTCCAACACATCGCCACCATAGATCCACTGGTCGGAGAAAGGCAAGATTCTGCAGCTGAAACCCATACTGGGCTTACACAAAGGGATGTAGTCCACACCCGTTCCTTAAGGATGACCCCTGGCACAGCGGCAAAACAAGCTGCAGTCCAAGAACCAAACGCATGCAGCTCCGAGTCAGATTCAGAAGCCCCAAGATAAGCCGAGCGCTCAAGGAAGCCGTGCAACACTTGTGCCAAAGCGTTATGATTGAAATTCGTCACCCAGAACACAAATTCCATGCTTGGTAGCGTTCATGACTTGCTCTCTAATGCAGTTAATGATTTTGATTCAAATCTCTCAGTTTCGACGCCAGGCTGTATGAGAAAAAGGGCAACACTTCTCAACGTGTGGAACCTCAAGTACGTATTCTCGCCCCGGGATACGCTGCTGGTTACATAACCGACGCAGTATATGCAAACCGCACCAGCAGCTTCTTCGCCAGGCGAAACGCTTTCCATGTCAGCGTTCATTGACCTGTGGCACGGTTCATATCTCATCAACAAGTGATGCTCCTACTCAGAATCAACTCGACCCGGTGCTCAAGAGCTGATAGGATCATGCCAGGTTTTCATTCAATAAGCAAGACGGCCTCGCGCGCCTCATCATCAACCACCGACATATGCTAGTTTAACCACCACACTGGAGACGTCCAGAAGCATCATTCATATCCGACCGAGGCATATCTATTCTGTATGTAGTACGGAGTTTGGAGAGAAATGTTGAGCGTTATTCATTCATGTAGGAAGCTAATATACATTAGAGAGGTGCATTTTGAGTTCGTGGATGTCGAATCTGTTGGGTCGACCGCGGTTACTTTTAAACAGGGGCTAGAATCACAAACGAACTATATCAGGAATGAGAGGCGTTGGACACCGGTTGTAAGTTAACGGAGGAGTTTGTATGATGTCACGATCCGTGTTCCGTGCATAGGTGAAGCTGAATTCCAACTCAATCAGCGGACTTCTTTGTTAAGGTAGTGAGTTGGAAGATCTCCAACATTAGCAAATATTGGCTTCGATGAAATGATATCGCCTACCCATATCCACATCTCAGAGGATCAAACTATTTATTTGACATAATCGTTTGGAAAAGAGAGGATTGACCGTCTCTCGAACATTACAGAAGATTTGGATACTGCTCAGATACAGCTGCCAAAGCATATTATCTGAAAATCCCAGTGAAAACCTCACTATTCTTAGCCGGGGTTTTGAGGAGCCAAGAGTGACAAGCTGGCAGATGTTAAGTTCAGGTTTCGTGGCTCGGACAAAGGCGTTGTTCCAACTACATGGACGTTATCTGAAACATTGGCCGCAGGGACAGTATTCTTCTTGGCGTCAACGGACGTCTAGCATCTATGCCCTCCGGCACATTCGACATCTTCGACTTAGGAGGCGCTAATAACCTAAGCTCAAGAGACCGTGTCGTGCTTCTTCCCTTTGATGGCCTGAGTGGTAATTTTGTTTCCCCAAGAAATACCAACCACTGATCCATTCTCTTCAGAATGAAAGTCAGAGATAATTTTCCCTTTGTTTAATTTTTAGTGTTATTTCTTGGATAATATCTGGGTGTCAGAAACTATTCCCTGGTTAGCTCAAGGCTTTTAACCAGAGAGCTTTCACTCTTTTGGCTCAGTGGGCCCGTATTCCGATTCTCAGTGGGCACCTGGGTAGCATTTTAAGGAGTGTGAGGGTGAATCAACGCCGAAAACCCTCCAACTTTGTCCTCAGTGGCGCCTTAATATGATTCAGTCAAAATCTAGATTCCTTCTCAAAACATTAGCGAACAATGTTTAGTGGCGGCATCACAGCTGTCATGTTGGGATTGGAGAGCCGGATTCTGTACATCCTTAATAGGAGAGCATCTTGGGTAGGAAGAGGCTCGGAGGTTGCTGGCACACTAACCATGCGAAGGGAATAGGGAAATTGTATCATCAAGGGTTCAACCGTTGGCAACAATGAACAACACGTTAGCAGTAACTTGTGAGATGTTGCTCTGTTGGGAGAGCGAATGGAGCGGTTTTAGGTAGGGTTGCCCGGAGAGTTGCGTGCCCCTCCGCCCAACTGTCGCCAAGGACCATCGCCACTTTGGCCCCTCCTGCATGGTCAACCAATGCCGGCCATGATTCGGCTTGCGAAATCTCACAATGGGCTGAAGTCCCGGAATGAGGCTGCATGTCAGCAATTGGGCGCCGCCATGTCAGTGCACTTGCTTTTGCTGATTACCATGGCTCTTGAAGCCCTTTTATGTCCGGGCCAATTCGCCGGAATGGGGCTCACTCTGTCTTCAAAGGATGTCAGAGAGAATATTAGTATCTACGAGATATGGTGAGTCATGCCTCCAGAGACTCGCGTTGATGAAGTTCAGACATCAGCGTATACCAGCAATGACGGTTCGAATCTCATTCGTTTTTTCCTAGGCTCGACTGAGTTGCATGCCGATTAAGAGTTTTCGGCGCAAGAAAGCGGATACGGACTCATCTTCCACGGACTCCCTCCATGATAGAGTGAAGATTAAGTTCACCACTCTCTTCTCCCGCACGAAGCTCTTCGGTAGAACAGCTGCCGTTGTTGACGATGGCGTTGCTGATCCAAAAGGACCCCTCGGGCTGAATATCCTCCATTCACCGTCAGAGCCTCTCGTGGATTTCATATTCGTTCATGGCCTGGGTGGCGGTTCCAGGGAGACATGGAGCAATACATCTTCGGTCTGTCACTTCTGGCCGCAGGAATGGCTTCGCAAAGATCCTGCATTTAAAAACGTGCGGGTGCATACCTTTGGATATGATTCGCATGCGACCAAGGACAGCGTCCTGCACACCCATCATTTCTGTAGGTCTCTACTGAGCGAAATGTACACATCGCCGTATCTCGGTAATACAGACACGCCAATAGTGCTCATAGGACATAGCATGGGCGGCATAGTCATCAAGAAAACATACCTACTAGCCGTACAAGATCCAACGCATAGGACACTGGCAAAGCGCATCCACTCTATCTATTTTCTTGCAACGCCCCATAGCGGGTGTGATTCGGCCAGACTTTTGAACAATGTCCTTAGGATCGCCTATTCGTCCCGCGATTATCTCTTAGATCCTAAAGTGGGCTCCGCGGCTATTGACTCTATCAACGACGAATTTCGCAATTACGCCGATAACCTTCATCTCTGGTCGTTCTATGAGACTCGTAAAACTAAAGTGGGTCTCTTCAGTAGGCTCATTGTCGGGCCTAATATGGCGAAGTTGGGATATCGTGGAGAGAAGCAAATAGCAATGCCAGCGGATCACCGTTCAATATGCAAATTTGATTCACCGAAAGACCTATGTTATCTGATCCTCCGCGATTCCCTTGCAGAGACTGTTGAAAGTATCTCTAAGATAGGTAAGATGCACTCTACCTTTTGTCATGAATCCCACTAACTTTGTATAGTGCCGAAATTGGAAGAGAATCCAGCATGCGAACAGATCAAATTCTTAGAAAATTATTTGGACTTGTCAGGTGCAATAGATGATGACCTCCTAGTGGCTCAAGATGATCGTATGCCAGGAACTTGCGAGTGGTTTTTCAAAAAGCAAAATTACCTGGATTGGTCTGATTTCGCATCGGACACGCCGAGGATACTGTGGATTAAGGGGAAACCTGGATCTGGGAAATCTGTTCTTGCCGGATATGCCATCGATCGACTCCTAGCATCGAATGAAAGCTGCAGCTACTTCTTCTTTAAGCACGAGGACAAGTCCAAAGCCCGGCTTAGCTCGTGTCTCCGGTCGCTCGCATTTCAAATGGCGCGCATGGATGTCCAGATACGAGAAACGTTCTCGAAGATGCAAAAGGATGGAGTGAATATTGATAACGAGAATGAACATTCCCTTTGGAAGAAACTGTTCTTATCTGGTATCTTGCAGGCCGCTTCTACCACGAATTATTGGGTTATCGATGGCCTAGATGAATGTGAAAATGTCTCCTTTCTCTTCGACTCAATACTGCCTCAACTTGACGAGTCGATACCGCTCCGGATTTTAATCACGAGCCGAGAAACCCCGGAGTTGCAGGGGCATATTGTTGGGCTTAGTCGTGATCAATTTCGCTTGGAGATCATCTCACCGTCTGATATTCGTTCTGACGTTGAGTTTCTGGTTGGCGTAAAGACGAAATCTCCAGCCTTGAAGGATGCTGGAGACCATGCTGCCCTCGTTGAAAATATTGTAGAAAAAGCTAACGGATCATTTCTGTGGACGGACTTGGTGCTTAAGGAGCTGCCTATTTGCTACAGCGGAACTGAGATCAACCGAGTTCTCGACGGCCTGCCCCAAGAAATGGAAGCTTTATACCAGAGAGTGCTGGGTCAAATGGCTCTTAATACGCGAGGAAAGAACTTCTCTCAAGCAATCCTTACTTGGACAACGTGTGCGATGAGGCCACTGACGGTGAAGGAGCTTGCTGGAGTTTTGAAACTGGATATTAATGAAGAGTTCCCTAAGCTGGAAGAGGCCATTTTGGCACGCTGCGGTCAGCTAATTTCGGTTGACGAATTTAGCAATGTACGATTAGCACACGAGACGGCGAAGAATTTCCTCCTTAAGGACGGTTTGGACTCCGAATTTGCCGTAAGTGAGACCGAGGCTCACACCCGAATGGCTAGAATATGCCTCATATATCTCACCGGAGAGGCCATCAAGCCCCGTAGCACTGGCGGAAGTCGATCTACCTCCGCCGTCCATGACACGGACTCCGATTTCTCAGTCTATGCTTGTGAAGCCTTTTCATACCACCTTGTTAGAGCCGACTCTCGTGAACACGATATCTTACTTCTCGTCAATAAGTTTTTGGAGTCAAATATCATCCCTTGGGTAGAGATCATGATGGCTCACAATCAGAATCCTATCCTGCTGATACATACTGCGAAGAATGTCAAGAAATACGTCAATTCGTGCGCCACAGAACTGTCACCTCTTGACGGCAACGTGAAAATGGCTAAAGAGCGGGTCACAGAACTAGTCCATATTATTACCAAATTTTCTGATGCTCTCTTGACCTCGCCGTCGGCAATCTACTCGGCGATCCTGCCATTCTACCCGACGGAATGTACAGCATCCAAACCTGTGGGCCCCGGGCGCCCACTTTCCATACTAGGCCTGTCGGATGTTCAGTGGGTTGAGCAATTATGTTCCATGAGTTTCCCAACAAGGGGAAATCGACTCTCTTTGCCGTGCTGATGAATTTCAAAAGCATTTCTCTGCTCTAGCGACCACATTGTGTCTCGCGAGATCTTGCTAAAACATCTGGAACACCGTCACTATTCGAACCTTTCTTTTGGATACGACACATTTGGTTCTATGGAGCCCCACAGAAATAAATCACAAACCAAAGGAGGTATGAAAAAGTTCCCAAGTGACAAAGTCAACTCTCTAGTCCAGGAATTTTGATGAGGACACGTCACGTCGGGAAACGTGACTTGACTAAACATCATCCCACGGCTGAGGGTTCCTGTATGGTGTTCTATTTCGTTCCTACGGCACCTCCCCTGATTTGTTCCCCCCCTTTCCGGTTATGTTTCCGCCTTTACTTCCGGGGTATTTGAAGTACAGAGATTTTATGCGACTTTCCACGAGCCTCACTTCGGCAATCTTTATCC